TATTTTAAATTTTTAATTACAAAACATTTTTTTTAATTATATATTTCCTATTTTCATTATTTTTTTTTAGTATTATAATATTTTTATTATTATAATTATAATAATAATAATAAAAATTATTATTATTATTATTATTAACATTTTTTTTTGTTAAATTTATATAAATTAACGGAAAAGTTACAATTAATTTTAATTAATTAAAAAAAAAAATTAAAAATTAACGAAAATTGCAAATATTGTGATTATTATTAAAAAGTTAATTATAGAAATTCCTGTACGATAGGAAGGTGGATTGGTTATAAAACTGGTCCAGAAAACGCATGAAAAGAGTTTAGCGTGAAAGCGCAAAAGACGAAGAAGAAGAAGAAGAAAATGAAGAATAATAACGAGAGAGGGGATTTGGCAAGGCGACTAACCCATGACACCTGTTACGGTCAACGACCAACCTTGCTAGGCTATAGAATTCAAACGTAAATTATTCCTATTCATGAAACCATCTAACCTTCATCAATTATAATTATTATTAATTATAAAAAACAAAAACAAATAAATAAAAAATACCACATACATATTTATACCAAAAGAATGTACATAAAATTCCATGAGAAAACTATAACAGAAATTGCACTAAAAACGTACTAAAATACATATTAAAAATGTACCAGAATTTCTATTAAAAACAAAAGAATTTGTACCAAAAATACCAAAAAATACCAAAAAATTACCAAAAAATAAAACAGAATTGATACCACAAAACTTTATCAAAATTAACATCAAAATTAACAAAAAAAATTATGAAGAAATATACCAGAATTTTGCATAACAGAAATATAAAAATTCTGGTACATTTTTTTGTACCAGAATAAATAACATAATATATGTTGGAATTTGTACCAGAAAAGTACCAAAATACAAATAAAATTATACCAGAAATATCAAAATTCTGGTACAACATTTTCTACCAGAAATATCAAAAAATTCTGGTACAAATTTTGTACCATATATATCAAAATTCTGGTACAATTTTTTGTGCCAGAAATATAAAAATTCCGGTACACTTTTTTTGTACCAGAATAAATAACAGAATGTGTTAGAATTTGTATCAAAAAAGTACCAAAATGAAAATAAAATTGTACCAGAATAAATAACAGAATATGTTAGAATTTGTATTAGAAAAGTACCAAAATGAAAATAAAATTGTACCAGAATTTTGTACCATATATATCAAAATTCTGGTACAATTTTATCGTACCATAAATATCAAAAAATTCTAGTAAAACTTATACCAACAATATCAAAAAATTTTGTACCAGAAATATAAAAATTCTGGTACAAATCTTGTACCATATATATTAAAATTCTGATACAAATTATGTACCATATATATCAAAATTCTGGTACAATTTTTTGTACCAGAAGTATCAATAAATTCTGGTACAAATTTTGTACCATATATATGAAAATTCTGGTAGAACTTTTTGTACCAGAAATATTATAATTCTGGTACAACTTTTTGTGCCAGAAATATCAAAATTCTGGTATAAATTATACCAGAAATGTCAAAAAATTCTGGTACAATTTTTTAGTACCAGAAATATCAAATTTCTGGTAAAACTTCTTATACTGGAAATATTACACAATTCTGGCACAAATTTTGTACCAGAAATATCAAAAAATGTTGGTACAAAAATTGTTGTACCAGAAATATAAAAATTCTGGTACAACTTTCTTTGTACCAGAAATATCAAAAATTCTGGTACAATTTTTTGTATCAAAATAAATGCATAATTCTGCTATGTATCAATTTTGGTACATTTTTGGCATAAGTTTTTCTACTTTTCTGTTACATTTTTAGTATAAATTTTTTTACTTTTCTGGTACAATTTTGGTCAAATTTTTAGAGTAAATTTTGGTACATTTTTTGCATGTTTTCTAATTTTCTAGTTCGTTTTTATATATAAATTCTGTTACATCTTTGGCATAAATTTTTCCACTTTTCTGGTACAAATTTCTGATAAATTTTTGTCATTAATTTTGGGTATATTTTTTACAATTATTTTTTTTTCTATATCATTAGAGACTATTTGGAAAGATGGAAAAAAATGAAGATAAAAAAGCAAAAAAAAAAGTGATGCACAAAGAAAATTGGACAATTTTCCACAGTGAACTAAAATTCCGTTTCTGATATATATATAAACCATCAGTGGGATTCTTATACAAGCGCACTTCCGGTAGACTCGTTTGTCTCACGATTGTTGAAAAATTGCTTACTATTAGATGATCCGTTATATATACAAATCACAAGTGTATATTTCAGTTACTGTAATTTTAAAACACATTTTTTTTCTCTTTTTTCTCCTAAAACTAAATCTTTTAAGAAATAGGATATCTATATTGTTTAAAAAAAAATAATAAAAAATAAAATGAGTCTCGCGCAAAGTTGCAATTATACGGTACATCGCACGAGATTAGCGCAGCGTGACTTGCGTGCGAACTTGTGAAAAATTTTCTTTTATAAATAACAACAATCACGACTATTTTTTCTTATTGTATAGCAGATTATTATCATTATATACATATATATATGTATAGTCGACCATAAAAAAGGCATTTAATTAATTTTTTTTTTTTATTAAAATCTACTTTAAACGCGCTCATTATGTGTTTATGAGAATTTTTTTTTCCAACTCATTGTGTAACTCAATGGGAAAATTTCCTCTCCATTTGAGAGGATATTATTAAATTTGTAACAAATATAATATAAAATCTGCAAAGTGTCACATTGGTTGAAAAAAAGGGGTCCATAGAGTATAAAAATATTATTCTCTCGTTTTTGCAAATTTCAAATCCTCTTAATACTAAACGAAAACTCTTAATCGAAGAGGAAAAATTTCAACTACTTTACCTTTTGCAAATGTAGTTTCTTTAAAAAACAAAATTATTCCAAAAGAATTAAATTAATTAATTAATTAATTACATTCCTTAAAATGTAAAAGAAAAATTATTTCCTCTCCTATTGAGAGGAAAAATTATTTAGAGAGAAAATTAACCAGCTTCGAAAATTGTCGCATTGAATAAGGGAATAATAAAACTATTTTCTCTTTTCGAATTTTTTTAATGCGAAACAAAAACTCTTAATCGAAGAGGAAACTGCTAAACTACTCTCCATTTACAACGTACTTCATCTAATCTAATCTAAAAGCGAACCAAGTACTTTATCTATAAAAAAAATAATTCTCCTACAAAGAGTTTTTTTAGGATAAAAAATAACATAGATTTCCTCTCAATTTAAGAGGAATACTATACTCAAAATAAAAATAACCCCTAAATATTCTTGTTTTGAGAGGAAAGATCAGAAAAGTTTAATTTTAATGAAAATATGTTAAAAATAGAATCTTTTTTTTAATATTCTTATTTTAAGAGAACGAAGAGTTAAAGGCTATCAGGGAAATTTTCCTCTCAATATGAGATTACTTTTTTCGAGTCTAAAACGTTGTGTTTATCATTGTTCTCACTTTTTTTTTCTTTTTCTAATGAGATTTATCGACTATACCGAAAAAAAATATTCTTGAAAATAGAGGAAAATTCCTCTTTCTAAAATCCTCTTGAATCAAGAATATTACTCTTAATTGAAGATTATTTTCTTCTTATTTTAAGAGGAATATTCTTAAATAGAAAATAATCCTCTTAATTAGAGAGAGTATTTTTCTCTTATTTTAAGAGAAATATTCTTACATAGAGAATAATCCTCTTAATCGGAGAGTATTTTCATTTTATTTTAAGAGAAATATTCTTAAATTGAGAATAATCTTCTTAATCGAAGAGTATTCTTAAATAGAAAATAATCCTCTTAATCGAAGAGAGTATTTTCCTCTTATTTTAAGAGGAATATTTTTAAAAAGATAATAATCCTCTTAAAATAAAAGGAATCCTTTTAAGCGATATTGTTGAGAAAAATATGCGCATTAATATTAATTAGGAATCCTCTTAAATCAAGAATATTTTTTTCGTTGTATATAGGATTAAAATAAATAAACAAATAATTAAAAAAAAATAAGTAGTAAATAAATAAGTAAAAAATAAATTAAAAAAAAAATAAAACAATAAACTTGACCTGGTGTATTTGTTCATTGAGTACTTTTTAGAGGTCATCAGCTGAATGCGCGCGTGTATATATATATAGTATATGATGCAGAAGCGAATGTAACTTAGGAATCTCAATGGTCATTCTTAGATGGCCATTAGATAATGCGACGAGAAACTGGTTTTCTCTCTCATTGGAAATAAATAAAAAACCAAAAAAAAAAAAACAAAAACATTGATAAACACAACACAATTTTTTTTTTATGTATTTCCTTTACGCCTCTTTCTCATCTTCACTTATCTCCCCATGCATTTGCAAATGTATACAATATTATACTCTGCGAATTAAAAATCGAAAATTGAAGGCACGCCTTCGCAAATAAATTTCTCAATTTATATTCTCTATCTGCGAAGAGAGGAATGGTGTTTTTTTTTTTTTTTTAATAAATGCAAAAAATAAAACCGAAAAATGACAATCAATCAGATAACAACGTATGGACTTTTAAATTTAATATAAGTGTTGTCAATATATAAAAATTAAAAAAATAATAATAATAATATATTATAAATAATATAATGTATAATAATAATAATAATAATAATAATAATAATAAATATAACAATATATTATGATTATATTATTATAATAAAACTATTTATTTAATTATTTAAATAATTGTTATAATGACACTAATATAAGGATCTATAAATAATATTTTTTAAGGTTATGTTCAGTTATTGATCATATTCAGTTTTGAGGTTATGTTGAGCTAACATAAACATAACCTAAGTTTTAAGGTTATGTTTGCCTCTTAATTTGGCGCCGAAATATTTTTTTATACATTATATTTTATTTTTATTATTATTATTATTATTAAATTGTAAAAAAATAATTAAAAAAACAATTTTTTTTGCAGATGTTCAATTATTGTGGAATAATTTTGCTAATAATCGGAGCCAATCATGTATTAGCGGCGAAAAAATGCGAGGGCAATGGACTAAAATACGTTTGGGGTGATGCACTCACCGATTCAATTGACTGTATAGGACCAAACAATATGCAATATCCTTCGTGAGTAACAAAAAAATAAAAATTTATATAATAATTAATTAATTACAATTAAATTATTAATTATTTTAAATCAATTTTAATTAATTATTCCTCTAAGTGTGTAAGTTGTCTGTCTTTCATTAATAAGTACCTATAGTTTTCTTATAAACCAAAATTCTTGTTTTTTTAAATTTTGCAATTATTTTAGGGCGGCAATAACTCGTAATTTTAAAAGTCTTTGGACAGGAAATAGCCGAGTGGGAAGATCCCATCAGCCACGAACAATCGACCCTCAATTAACAAGACAAGCGCTTCTCAGAAATTATAAAGTCGCTCAGGGAGATTACAGCATTGCTACCAACACCAGATCCGGTGAGTGATAAATTTTACTTCAAAAAAATTTCATTAAAAAAAAAACAATTTATTACTTAATTAATTAAGTTCAGTATTTTAAATAATTCAATTAATTAATAATTGAGAAATTAATTAATTCATAACTTATTATTAGTAATTAATTTGTAATTAATTAATTAAAAAAGATACTAAATAATTACAAATTAATTACTAATTACTAACTAGTTATTAATTAATTAATTACAAATTAATTACTAATAAATTACTAATTAATTAATTACAAATTAAATACAAATTAATTACTAATTAATTAATTACAAATTAATTACAAATTAATTACTAATTAATTAATTACAAATTAATTACTAATTAATCACAAATTAATTACTAATTAATTAATTACAAATTAAATACTAATTAATTACAAAATAATTACTAATTAATTACCAAATAGTCACAAATTAGTACTAAATAATTAATTACTAATTAGATACTAAAATAATTAATTAGTAAATAGTTACTGAATAATTAATTAGAAACTAAATGATTAATTAGTAATAAGTTACTAATTAATTACTAATTAGAAACTAAATTGTAATTAGTAATTAGTTACTAATTAATTAACTACAAAGTAATTACAGATTAATTAATATTAATTATATATTTTATATATAACTAATTATATTAGTTAATTACGAATCGTTTACTAATTAATTATCAGTAATAGTTAATAAATTAACAAATAATTATTATTAATTAATTGTTATTTAATTTATTTTAAATATTAATTAATTATGAATAAATTAAAGAAAATTTTTTTTTTGCAAAGCAGGTGCCTTATAGTATTTATTAGCGACATTCCTTTACCTCATATAGAGTCCTCCTCACATATGCACAGTTGACCTTATGGCACGAAAACCTGGTTTGTCGATTTTACCATCCTCCTATATCCTATGTGTCTTCCTCTTATTCTGTTCCACTGCAAAATCAAGGAAGTGACATATTTTATTATTATTATTTTTTTTTTTAATTATTAAAATTATTATTTTTTAAAAATTATTATTAAAATTATTATTATTATTATTATAATTATTTTTTTTACTATTATTTATTATTATTTATTATTTCTTTTTTTTGGCTTTCTTTAATTTTTAAATAAAAATTTATAGCAATAACAAAAAATTCAAAATTTTGAAAAGTTTTTCAATTCCTTGAAAATTAAATTTCAAAATATTTAATGGCAAAAAAAATGTATAATTTACAAATATAATGGTAAATTAAATATTATTTTTGTTGAAAAAAAAAAAATGTCAATTTATTGTTTTCATGAAATAACGAGAAAATCGAAATCCGATCCTGCTAGTTACATTACTAAACGACACCGTTTTACTTCAGACACAGACAATACAGTTATGTATCGTCTCCTGTAAACTTGTAACGGAACGAAATACCCACGTTATTCACCATATTTGAGTGAAGAAATCTCTCATTCCTCAAAAAAAAAAGTTTTGTTTAAAAAAAACAAAAAATTTGAAAAAACTTTTTTTTTTATTTCCTTTTGTGAAATTATTAAATTTCTATTTAAAAATTTCTATTTAAAAATTGAATTTAAAAATTAAAAAAATTTTAATTTTTGAAAATTTTGATTTTTTAGCTCGCGCCTATTCGACAAAGGAAACATGTGGTTCACCGGCACGATTATGTAAGACGCGATATAATACAACAGCGCCAATGTATGGCGTGAGTTTAACGAGTGGACAACCAGTCACGATTGTTCAAAAATTTCCCGATTTGCTGCAACAAGTTGTATTTGAGGTTTGCGAGTAAGTGTTTGTGGTTTTTTTTTTACTTTTTAATTTTTATATATTTTTTTTTTTTGCTCCCAAAAAAAAACGTAATAAAAATTCCTTTTATTTAGAAATTAAAAAAAAAATTTCCCTACTAAATAATTTTTTTTAAATTAAAAAAATTGTTTTTATTTTTTAATTATTTATTTTATTTTTTAATAATTTTTTAGTGTTATTTTTGAATAATAAATTTTTTTTTTCATTTCCAATTTGCATTTATTTTATTTATTTAGAAAAGAGAAATAGAAAATTGAAAGAAAGAGAAGAAAAAAAATATTATTTACAATGAGAATTTAAAAAGAAGAGAAATATTGTTGATAGATATAAACTTAAATATTTTTTCAATCGTATACCCGATATACTTGGGTGGTTGAACGCCTTGGCTAGCGATAATCAAAGTTAAGTGCGCCGTAGTACGGTTACTACTTGGATGGGTGACAGCCTTGGTTATTTTTCACTGCGATCGAGAATAAAAAAAAGGAAAAAAGAGAAATAAAAAAATGGAAAAAGAAAAAAATGGAAAAAGAAAAAAAAAGGAAAATAAAAAAATATGAGAGGGGAAAAAAGAGAGTAGAAAAGAAGGTAGAAAAATTGAGAAAAGAAACAAGAAAATTAAATAAGGGAAAAATAAATGGAGGAAAGAGAGGAGAAAATATTGAGGAAAAAAAATGAAAAGTGAAAATAATACAGAAAAAAGGGTAGAAAAGAAGGTAGAAAAATAGGGAAAGGAAAAAGAAGGGAAATAAAAAAAAGAAATAATAAAAAGGAGGTAGGAGGGAAAAGAAAGAAAATAAATGGAAGAAGGGAAAGAAAATATGGAGAAAAAAAGGAAAAATATAATATAGAAAAAAGAGAGTAGAAAAAAAGGTAGAAAAATGGAGAAAGAAAAACAAAAAAAGAAAAAATAAAAGGAGGAAGAAGGAAAAAAGTAGAAAATAAATGGAGGAAGGAGGAAAAAAGAGAAAAACGAAAGAATGGGAAAGGAAAGAAGGAAAATAAAAAGAGAAAATAAATAAAATAAGAAAATAAATATAAAGAATTAAGGAACAAAAAAGAAATTGAGGATGGAGGAAAAAATATACAAGTAGAAAAAAGAAATAGTACAGTGTAATAAAGTAAAAGAGGAAAATAAAAATAGGATAAGAAAAGAAAAAAAGCAAAAGGTTTCCGAAAGAAGATGAAAAACTATCGACCCTATTTCTCAAAACACAGAATATTGTCAAAATAAAATAAAAAAAATTCTACAATAATTTTATTATTATCTGCACGTCATGAAAATTCTTTGATGCATTCAAAGATCAAAGAGTCAAGACCTCAAACGGTACATTATTAGTAGATAAAATAAAACTTGACTTTCTGAAGTGTTTGCAAGAGTCGTGAGCAAAATTAAGTAGTTCAGTGGAACGAATGAAGAATTGATAATAATATAATATAAGGGTCCCAATTCCCTGGTGGCCTAAATTTTCAATAATCATTCCCAATAACTACCAATCATTTCTTTTTTTGTCTTTTTTTTTCTAACGAAACTTTTCTAACTGTTCATAAAAATAATTTTTTCTTTCTAATCAGATTTTTTTTGGTAGCAATTAAAATAAAAATAAATTAAAAATTACAAATAGCAATAAATAAGAAATGATTTCTTTTTTTTTAGATCAAAGGAATGCGAACTAATCCGCGGAGAGTGCACGCAAACTTATGTGCCCTATCTTTTTTTGGTGATACCCCTTGGTCCTGTTACACTCACCGGGCAAGATTATGTTCTCGTTGAAAGTGGCTGTGTTTGTAAACCGAAAAATTCAGTTAACGCTGTTACTAATCCGCCAGTTGTGCCGAACTTTTAATTTTAATTTATCGTCAATTTTTTTTTATTCATTAATTACTTTTCGAAACCAAAAAAGAAAAAGAAATTTCATCAAGAGAAACAATTATTATTTTTAATTTTATCAAAAATTTTATAATTTTTACTTTATTTTTTTCTAAATTAAGTATAATGTTGAAAAATATTTTTTCTATGAGGAAGCAAAAAATTTTTAAAAAATTCTTTTTTTTTAATTAAAAATTTGGAAGCGTTCACTTTTGAATTTTTCCAAATTTTACTTTGGAAGCGTTAATTTTTTAATTTATTCAATTTTTTCTAATTTTCAAATTTGGTAGCGCTGAGAATTAAAGAAATATACATAATTTCGAAGCGTTCATTTTATAATTTTTTAAATTTGAAAGCGTTCGTATTGGAAAAATCCAAATTTTAAAAGCGATTTAATTTACAAAAAAAAAATTTGCAATTCAGATTTTTGGAATCAAAAATTTTTGAAAATATCCAAATTTAAAAACGCTCAAACTAAATTTTTGAAATTTGATTATTTCTGAAGCGTTAAATTTTCAAAAAAAATTTGAAATTACTTTTTTGAAAATTCAAAAAAAAAATGTAAATCTCTTGATGAAAATTTTTTTTCTATTTTTTTTTCTTGGAATTATAAAAATTATTTTATTTAAAAAAAAAATGAAAAATACTTCCAAAATATTGTTTTGGACGCGTCTAAATAGTGAATAAAAAGAAAAAGATGAAAAATTGTCGCGACATTCTCAGAATTTAGTCTTGGAATTCGATCGAGTTCACCAGCTATACAAAGACTCGTTTTCTTGAACGAGAATCGACGATCAAACGACAGAATCAACAGCATCAGAGGGAGCAACTCATGGAGCCGGTTTCGCGAGCAAAATTTATAAGCGCACACACTCCACAAGAGAATATTAATGTTTTATCTCGTAGGTGAGATGTTCCTCGTTAATCCGTTTGATTGCTCTCTACCTTTTATATATATATATATACAATATACATATATATATTATGTCAGTGTCAGATTTAAAAAAAAGAACAAAAAAAAATGACTCATGTGTATGTGTGCAGATGTTGGGAGTTTCTTGACTCTTTGACTGCGAGCTATTTTGCTCATCTCCTCTCTTTATTATTGTACAAGATCTCGAGAGTAAGTCATCTCGAGTAGATTCTTTCAAAAAAAAAAAATTTCTTTTTTATTTTGCCATTCAATTTTTGTCAGAATTTTATTTTTTTTTCAATTTTGTCAACGAAGCTTATTTTAAAATTGCAAATTTGGAAGTGTTCATTTATTTTTAATTTATTCAAATTTGAAAGCGCTGATAATTTTACAAGAAGAAAAAATAATTTTTTTTCGAATTAGAAGGCGTTCGATTTTTTTCAAAATCCAAATTTGGAAGAGTTCATTATTGAATTTTTCTAAATTTTACAAAATTTTACTATGGAAGCGTTCATTTTTGAATTTATTCAAATTTTAAAGCGCTAATACTTTTACAAAAAAATAAATTTTTTTTGAATTAGGAAGCGTTTGTTTTGTTTTTTTAAATCCAAATTTGGAAGCGCTCATTTTTGAATTTATTCAAATTTGGAAACTGATAATTTTACCCAAAAAAAAAAAAAAAATTGGATTTGGAAACGTTTGTTTTTTTCGAATTTTGGAAATTCACGAAAATGTATTTACAAAATTTTTTGGAAAAATTTGAAATTCGGTAGCGCTCTTTTTTTGAAAAAAAAAATCGAAATCTAGAATCTTGAAAAATGAAAAATAGAAAAAAATTCGTAAATAGAAATTTTTTGTTTAATAATTTTAAAAAAAAATTTTTTTGACACTACAAAAATATAAAATTCTGGCAAAAAAGTTGAAAAATTATTGGACAAAATAAAAAATTGAAAATATTTTCGTAATCTTGTACATGTGTAGATAAAATGTGTATAGGGGAATGGGGGGACAGAATAAAAAAAAAAGAATTTATCCTGATTTAGAACAATAAAATATCTATCGTGATTAATTAAAATAATTATAATTAATTAAAATTTTTTTATATATATATAAATATAGTTGCAATTATTTCCTCACGTTATTATTAAAAATTCATTTGTAGATAACAGAAAACTCGTAGTATAGAAAAATTTTTTTTATTACTTTTTAAAATAAATCGACAAAAAATGTTTTATTATAAAAAAAAAAAAATGTCATTAATTATAAAAAAAATACATTTTCAAAAAATCGAATTTTTAGGTGTTTTAAAAAAAAATTTCAATTTTTTGAAAATCGAAAGACAATATATTTACGTATATAATAATTTCAATATATTTGTCTTGGTGTGTATTTTATCTTGTATATAGAACTGATTATGTATGTTTTTCAAAAAAAAGAAAATTATATTGATAATAAAATGATATTATATAATTTTATTACAAATTTTTGATTTTTACTTTTTTCGAACAATTTTTTGAAACTACTTTAATTAATTAATTATTTATTTATTGAAAATATATTTTTCTTTCAAATTTCACAAAATTTTACTTTGGAAGCGCTCATTTTTAAAATTCAAATTCTAAAGCGCTGGTAATTTTACAAAAAAAAAAAAATTTTTTGTTGAATTAAAAAAATTTAATTATAATAAAAATTAAAAACTTAAAAAAATATGTGTAATTTTCTCCTCAAAGAAAAAAGAACACACAAAAATGCAAAAAACAAAAATTCTCGTGAATAGAATTTCAGATGCTATTGAACCTAAATCCCGTTAATTGGTTTCGAAGGAGAGTCGATAAACGAGAATCACGAGGTTGGATTACTTCCGTCTCGTAGTGCTTATGCAAAATAAGGAGACACAGTCGTGAAGGCCCTTGACCCAGAAAAGCCGTTTCGAAAAAAAAAAAAAATAGAAATGCAGGACTCGAGAGAGCCCCACACACACACACACACACACACACACACTTCCCACGATATTTCCTTGGCGCACGATTCACGATTCAAATTCTATTTAGATTTTTAACGGTAATTTTTTTTTAAATTCATAAAAATTAGGGAATTTTTCTTTTTTTTTTTTAATTTAAATTTTAAATATAAAAAAGGGTTTTTTTTTAATTTTCCAATTCTAATTTTTTTTTTTCTTATAATTTTGTATCCCATATTCAAATGTTTAAAAATTGATAATTAAATTAAAAAACATTTTACAATTTATAAATTCAAATCAAATTTTCTAAACATTTCGATAAGTCACGTTATACTAGAATTTAAATTTAAAAATATAATATAATTAAAAAAAAAAAAAATTCGTAATGAAAAATTAAAAAAAAAATCGGTCAAGGGCAATTAAATGTCCGCGTCATACATAAATTTTATCAAAATGATTATTTTTAAAAAAATTATTTTCAAATATTATTATTAAACAATGTTTAAATTTCTTAACGTTTTGTTTTATATTTATATACAAAAAAAAAATGAAATTACTTTTCAAAATAATAAATTTTGCTTTGTATAAAAAAAAAGGAAAGACTTTTTTACATTTTATTAAATTGCAAGCGATATACATATAGAAGGTCGACAATAAATAATTTTTTCAATATTAAAATTTTTAAATAATTACACGCGAGTGAAAAATGAATTTATTGCTAATGTTTAATTTTTATAATTTAATTATTTTAATAAATTGCCGAAATTTTTCAGAAAATCAAAATAAGCTTTCAATTTTAAATAATAATAATAATAATAATAATAATGAAAATAATAGTAATAATAATAGTCAATATAAAAATAATCAAAAAAGAAACGATATTAATTTTCGTTTAAGTGTTAATGATGAAAAAAATATCAACGAAGAACTAAATTTGTCTAACGAGACATGGATAACAAATTCATTTCCAGAGAAGGTAATAATTTTTTATTTACAATAAAAATTTTAAAAAAAAATTGTATTTTAAATTTGAAAAAAATTGATTCGTTTCACTTTTTATTTATTAATGTTGTAAAATTTATTTATTTTTCTTTTATTTATTTATAAATATTAAAACAAGATTTACAGAAAAAATTTGTTTCAGCCAATTTTGAATGAACAAATAAAAAATACAATAACAGTTGTTATTAGAAAAAATCTAACTGAAATGGATGAAAAATCTTTTCGAAACGAACCATTGACAATAAGAAAAACAATTACAATGATTAAAAATCCAAATACAAACTTTAGTACAGAAGCAGAAGAATAAATATTTTATGAGCCAATTGTAATGGAAAATTTTACAGAAATAAGAGAAATTGGATCACAATTTGATCAGGCAAATTTTAGTACAGATGAACAAATAAATTATAAACCAATTGTAATGGAAAATTTTACAGAAATAGAAATTGTATCAGAATTGTATCAGGCAAATTTTAGTACAGATGAACAAATAAATTATAAACCAATTGTAATGGAAAATTTTACAGAAATAGAAATTGTACTAGAATTGGATCAGGCAAATTTTAGTACAGATGTACAAACAAATTATAAACCAATTGCAATAGGAAATTTTACAGAAATAGAAATTATACTAGAATTGAATCAGGCAAATTTTAGTACAGATGAACAAATAAATTATAAACCAATTGTAATGGAAAATTTTACAGAAATAGGAGAAATTGTACTAGAATTGGGTCAGGCAAATTTTAGTACAGATGTACAAACAAATTATAAACCAATTGCAATAGGAAATTTTACAGAAATAGAAATTATACTAGAATTGAATCAGGCAAATTTTAGTACAGATGAACAAATAAATTATAAACCAATTGTAATGGAAAATTTTACAGAAATAGGAGAAATTGTATCAGAATTGGATCAGGCAAATTTTAGTACAGATGAACAAGTAAATTATAAACCAATTGTAATGGAAAATTTTACAGAAATAGGAGAAATTGTATCAGAATTGGATCAGGCAAATTTTAGTACAGATGAACAAACAAATTATAAACCAATTGCAATAGAAAATTTTACAGAAATAGAAATTGTACCAGAATTGGATCAGGCAAATTTTAGTACAGATGAACAAATAAATTATAAACCAATTGTAATGGAAAATTTTACAGAAATAGGAGAAATTGTATCAGAATTGGATCAGGCAAATTTTAGTACAGATGAACAAACAAATTATAAACCAATTGCAATAGAAAATTTTACAGAAATAGAAATTGTACCAGAATTGGATCAGGCAAATTTTAGTACAGATGAACAAATAAATTATAAACCAATTGTAATGGAAAATTTTACAGAAATAGGAGAAATTGTATCAGAATTGGATCAGGCAAATTTTAGTACAGATGAACAAACAAATTATAAACCAATTGCAATAGAAAATTTTACAGAAATAGAAATTGTACCAGAATTGGATCAGGCAAATTTTAGTACAGATGAACAAATAAATTATAAACCAATTGTAATGGAAAATTTTACAGAAATAGGAGAAATTGTATCAGAATTGGATCAGGCAAATTTTAGTACAGATGAACAAACAAATTATAAACCAATTGCAATAGAAAATTTTACAGAAATAGAAATTGTACCAGAATTGGATCAGGCAAATTTTAGTACAGATGAACAAATAAATTATAAACCAATTGTAATGGAAAATTTTACAGAAATAGGAGAAATTGTATCAGAATTGGATCAGGCAAATTTTAGTACAGATGAACAAACAAATTATAAACCAATTGCAATAGAAAATTTTACAGAAATAGAAATTGTACCAGAATTGGATCAGGCAAATTTTAGTACAGATGAACAAATAAATTATAAACCAATTGTAATGGAAAATTTTACAGAAATAGGAGAAATTGTATCAGAATTGGATCAGGCAAATTTTAGTACAGATGAACAAACAAATTATAAACCAATTGCAATGGAAAATTCTACAGAAATAGAAATTGTACCAGAATTGGATCAGGCAAATTTTAGTACAGATGAACAAATAAATTATGAACCAATTGCAATAGAAAATTTTACAGAAATAAGTGAAATTAGATCAGAATTAGAAACTACCACAAGGAAACAATTATTTACAATTCAAGTACCTTTATCGACAACAACGAAAGGAATATTTACAACCTTAGGTACTTTATTTGTTACAAATGAAACGATAGAATCTTTTTTAACAACAGATTTTGATGCAGCACTAAACACTACGAAAGTTGGAATATTTTCTACAAATGATACATTAGTATCTTTTTTAACAACAGATCCTGATACAGCACTAAATACTACTACTGAAATATTTGGTACTATAGAACCTTATCCAGCATCAGTTGCCCCAACAGTAGAAGGTCAAGTTGCAACAGAATTTACATCTGATACAAATACAGAGGCAGTATCTTCTTCAACAAACGATTTTGTTGCAAATACTACCAATGATGAAATATTTGGTACAACAGAATCATTACCAGCTGCAATATTATTAGAACCAGAATTTATAGCATTCGATACAAATACAGAGATAAATTCACCAAAAAATATAACTACAATATCCAATGATAAATCAATTTTAAAAACAGATAACCCAAAATCGGAACAATCAGAAACGACAGTATCTCTAAATTCAAAACAGGAAACAAAAATTTTATCAGAATCAAGAATTAAAGAAGAGCAACTTGCAACAACCAAACTAATATTTACTAAAGAGGAATCATCAACACTAAGGGAATTTATAACTGAGATCATTTCTTTATCTCAAGGGGTTACAACATCAAAAAAAATCAAGGATAGTTCTGTTATTGTTAATTTGAGAAATGATTGGGATAATAATGACAATGTTTATGATGAAGAAATACCAATGACTTCTATTCCAAAAAGACAAACTGTTTTGATAACGACTACCGAAACAATAATAAAAGAATCATTAATTCCAAAAGAAAAATTCACAGAAACATTTAATAATTCTTCGAATACAATTTCGTGTATCAAAGAGGCTGTTAAAAATTTATTTTGCTATTTTACGAAAATTTACATTTATATTGAAAATTTTTTTGAAAAATTCTTTGATACTGTATTTAATTAACTTAATTGTTTACTCGATAATTTTTATTATTATTAATAATTACTATTAATTACTAATAATTTAATTAAAATATTAATTTATTAATTCCTAAAATGTCCGATTTTTTCATTTGACCGAAATTGCAAATATAAACATAACTAAAAAAGAAAAAAAAATTGGCGCCATTTTCAAATTTCGGACATTTGTAATTTCGGTCAAAAGAAAATTTAGGACGTTTTTTTTGGGGAATTTTTTATGAAATAACAATTTCAATATTGGAACTATATACAAATAAATCTTAATTAGAATTATTTTTCAATTATTAATAAAAAAATTTTTTGAAAAATCTTACCACTAGTTCCATTTTTTTCCGTTTGTTTCCTCCAATGTTGCCAATCTCCATTCCGTAGTGACGCTTCCAGTGTTTTCCAAATTGAAAAAAAAAATTACACACGATTTTAAAAATCACAAGTACACTTATAATAAAATTAAAATATTAAATTACTTTTTTTTAAATCGAACGAACGCGATTTTAAGAAAAATCGAACACTCCCGAAATCACGTTTTTTTTTTTAATTTAATTTTTAGAGATTGAAATCGAAAAAAAGGAATATTTAAAAACTTAGAAAATATATTCCAAATAATTGCAAATTAATAATTAAATTTTATCACTCTCTTGAAATAGAAAAAATAATTTTTTAGAATTCATTCAATTATGTTAAATAAATAAATTATATTTTTTATAATAAATCCTGAAATAAAAATTTTTTAATTAAATTATGTTAAATAAATTAATATATTTTGTATAATAAATTAAAATGGCTTATTCTCTAAATTCTTAAACGGTATAGTATATAATAAATATATTAATTAATTAATTAAGATTAATTAAAATTAAAAATATAATTAATTACACAATATTGAAAAAAAAATTATTAAAATTGAAAAGAAAATATTATTTTCTCACCACGATGATTCAACTGAAAATAATGATGAATTAAACAAAAACATTCATAAGAAACAGTTAGAAAAAAATTTACAAAAACATTTAGGAAATATTTATCAAACGTTTAAGAAATATTTACCAAACATTTAGGAAATATTTACAAAAAATTAAAATATAAGACAACATAGTGACAAAAAATAAAATATTGAAATAAAATAAATTTTCACTGGTACTCCAGTTACTTTTTTTTTTACTTACATTTTTTTTCATACCCGTTTTCCCTACCTATAGCTATATTTAAAACGAAAAAAAAATTTTTTCCTACTTTTCCCGACTATATTAAAAAAAAAAAATTTCTTTACTATTTTTCCCGAATTCTCTACCTATACAGATTCGAAGACGAAAACGATTATCGAAACGAAACTAATATCGCCCAGGTGCAAAATGACCTACACTAGGGTTAACGTCCCGGGATGCAACCGTCACCTGAGCGATTTTTTCTGAAAAGAAAACAATTAATTAGTCCCTCATTAAAAAAAAATTATCAAAAAAAACTTTTAATTTTTAATTAACTTTTTTGAAAATTAAATACAAAAATTTACTGATATGCAAAATTGAAAAATTATTAAGATTAATTAATTTAATAAATTTTATAAATTTAGTTTAAATTACTTTTTTTTATAGAAAGAAAATTACTTTAAAATTACTTTGAAATTATAAAATATTAAAAATATTAAACATACATGAAATAAATAATAATCTAAACAGTGGAAAAGAAAACATTGACAATATTATTAATTTACGTTGTATTAAGGTAGTAAAATCCACAAAACGTGTAATGTATTTTCGAATTGTAGGAAGTGTTACAAATTTTTCAGGGGCTTTTCCGAAAATATCACACGCTTTTTTTTTAGATTATATACCCCTAAAAAAAAATACTAGAAAATAATAAATTTTTGTCAATGCTGTCACTATGTTGTCAGAATTACTTCCCTGTTATTTTTCATTTTTTTAAAAAATATTTTATTTGAATCGAATTTATTATTTACTGGCTCTCAAGTCCGAAATTAAATTATTATATATTTAATTTTTTTTAGTCAAGAAAATTGGACTTAAAATATATAAAAAAAAATTAATTTTCAACTTTAGAATCTATTTAAATTTGAATTTATCAAAAAAAAAACCGTTTTAAACAGGGAAGTGGTTTGAATAAAAAACGACTCATCGATCGGCGAATCATCCCACGTCGGGGCAATAACGTCATCGCCACTTCTCGAGCGCTTCAGGCCAACTCCCAAAGATCCCTTTTTTCTTGATCGCACTTCTGCGAAAGGTTGGGAGCACAAAAAAAAAAAATAAGAAAAGAGAAAAAAAATTTTAGGAAAAAAAAATTGTATGCTGGGGCCACTTTTCTTCTTCCACATCCTTCCTAGTCTTTTTTAGATATTTGCAAAAATTGAAATGGACCTGAAAACATAAAAAAAAGAAATTAAATTAAACTAAATTTAACTCTAAACACGCAAAATAATTCTAATAAATTTATTTTTCAAATCCGCCAAAAGTGCCTGGGCTTCCGTTTCCCGTTCCTTTTGGCTTTTTCAAATAAAATCGTAACCCACCCCTATTAAATTACCCTCACTATCCTCTCCTTTCTCACTTTCACTTAAACCAATATCCCAAATAACAAAATTCATTCACCTCTTCCACCCTTCTTTCATTCATCTTCAATATTATCTCATTCTTCTTTTTTCTCTTTTTGAATCTTACAACCTTTGTTTTTTTTCCACATTCACGCTCATATCTTTCTCTCTCACATACTTTCCAAACTCATTCAACAGTAACTTCATTCCATTCACCTCTTCAGCCATAAAAACCACGTCATCCGTATACGCTAACGAAAAAACCCTCCCCCTCCCTAAAATAACCCCTTCTTTATCTCTTTTTTTCATTTTCTCTTCCAAATCCGCAATTAATAAATTGAATAACATTGGACTTAGGGAGCAGCCTTGCCTCAATCCTTTCTATTTTTTTTTCATTTATTGATATTTTTTTGAAAAATATTGGAAAAAAAATCACCTATAAGGGAAAATTTCTACGTTGTATAAAAAATACGATGACAGCATCTCTTCAAATGGAAAAATCTTTCTTCAACTGAACCAATTGCCTGAAAAAAAATAATTTTGTTAGAAAACAAAATATTTGAGATCGTAAATAATTATCAATTATTACTACTTATTAGTTTTAGGGATTGTTATTAGATATATGATAGAATTATAATGATTTACAAATAACTATAATTTTATTGAATAAATCAATATAAAATTTTTTACAAAATACATAATAAGTAGTCTATTACAATAATAATTTTAAATTATATAGTTGTTCATCTTGTAACCACATACGACACAATAACTTCCAGAAAAGTTTTTAAATACTTTTTAAACATAAAACTATATTATTCTTAATCCAAGGAATTCATCAGTTCACATCACTTCACAATGAAATTTATTACTTACAACACTAACTTACTCGCGAATTTAATACATACCTCTTCGGCAAATGCTGAAGAGCAACTGAGGATTCAAAGTCTTTTCAAAGAAAAGTTCTCAGAAAATATTTAAAATTTCGAAAAATTTTGAAAATTATCGAAACATTTTCTCTATATATTTCAAAACAAAAAAAAAATTCACAAACTTTCAATCTGGATACATCTATGAAAAAAATTAGTACCGAAAACGTCATAAAATAGTCCCTCTTACAATGGAAAACCCTTGTGACCCTTTTGTGAAAAATGTAATGCTATAATTTTTTAAAAAAGTTTTTGTAAAATTTGTTAAGATTTTTTGTATCATCTTTTTTGTTTAATGGTTTATTTTGTAAATTTATGTGAATCATTTCAGAAATCAGTCTCTTCTGCCAAACAGGTTCGTTGTCAAGAATATTAAAATTGTCGAAGTCAAAATTATGGTTAAGGGTATCTTTGTGTTTCGCAATTACAATTTTTTTGTAATTTTTTTGTAATTCTATTAATTAATAAATAATTTTTTATAGTTTCTGATGAGGACGGTCGTACCGTCGAAACGTCAAAAATGCAGTGTTTTTTTATTTTTAACACTTTGACTTGGAAGATTGATAAATTCACAACATATATAATTTGTCTCAATATTTTACCAAGTGATAAATTCTAATATATGATAATTATTATTACGATAATAAAATAAAAAAATATTACGATAAATTGTACAATAAATTAAATAAATAGAATAAAAACTATTTTTTATTGCAACTATTGAAATATTGGAAATATTTATAATATTATTTATTATTATTATTATTATTATTATTATTATTATTATTACTGGAAATATTTATACTATTTATTATTATTATTATTTATTTATTTATTTTATTATTATTTTTTAGTGATCGAACTTGATAATTTTCAAATTTTTGTTTTTTTTTTTAATGGTAGTTATTCTTATTTTTTAAATATTTAATAAAATTAATTTTGTTAATAAAAATTAATAAAATATTTTTAAATAGAAAATTTAAAGGAAAAAAAAAAATTTCTGATTAAATTACATTGAACTGCGACTCAGCAATGCAAGATCTCCTCCAGGAGCAGCTCCGCAACAAACACCCAACCTTCACATATTGAACACCTATAAATTGATTAATTAATTTTCATTATTTTTTTTTTATTGTTAATTTTATTGAAACTTTTGTCATTTTTTTTGTTTTTACGAAATTTTAATTAATTAACAATATTTAATATATTAATAAAGAAATTAATTGATTTACAAAAATTTCAGTTATTAATTACGAAATTAATTAATTCACGAATAATTAAAAAATTAATCAATTTTAAAATTTCAAATATTAATTTTAATATTTCTTTTTCTCGAAAATTGTTTAAATTACAAACTTTGTAAGCGAAAAAAAAAAAAATTTTTTTGTATAAAAAGAAGAAAAAATTGTAATAAATATTTACGAAAAAAAAAATTAAATAAACACACGATAGGAATTTTAATATATTAATATAAAAATTTTGCGTTTTAAATTTTCTTTGTAAATTATAAAGGACAAATATTCCAACAAATCTAGAATGGAAATATGAAATTGGTTGTGTGGTAATTTTAAGGTTAAATTTCAATGTCTCGGAAAATTTGACAAAAAATATTGAAATATTAAAGAAAATTTTATATTTACTGCAAGAAAAATTGGAAATCTTGAATATATTTAAATGAAACAGAAGTTAATTTTATTTCTAATAAACATGTAATTTATATTTTAGATTGATAGAATTTGTTTTTCAGAAATGTGAACAAATGTGAACTGTAGTACGCAGTGATGCCAACGTAGGCAGAAAAAATTTCCAATAACTAATTACATTCCTACCAACATAATTAGAAATTTTTATAATTATTTTTCTTTAATTGTAATAACCTTCTTTTTTATTTATTTTCAATTTTATTAATTATAAAAACTACTCGTCTAATAATAATAATTATTATTATTACTATTATATTTCTTTCCAATAAATTTTTGTTAACTTTATAAAAAAAAAATTCAAATCTGGCGAGAGAATGCAATCGATAAATATTACCTTAATTTGTTTTCTTTACGAAACTTTTTTGTATTTTCGATTATTCATATATAATTGCAAATAATTACCCGAAAAAAAATATGTAAAACTAACGTTATGATTAAAAAAAATACTATAATTAAATTTTCTCCAACTTTCTTGGCAGGCGACAACATTTGCGTAATGCCAATCCAAGATAACAAAAACTAAACTTATTTTCACTTCTACCAACATGGAAAATAATTTCCTGTTGAATATAGAGCCCTTTTTTTATCTCCAATTTTCATATTTATTATTAATCGAATAAAAAATGTATATTAATATCAATTATTTGTAATTTATACTTAATTATTTACATTAAATATTTGAATTATATATTTACCTTTATATTTTTTTGTGATTCTAATTATTTTCAGGTTATTTTTCCTGTGTCGAGTTTTATCTAAAATATACTAATTTTCCTATTGCCTGACAATAAATTTATATAATTTTATCGAAAATTTATTTAAAAACTGAATTAAATTAACATAAAATATCTATAAACAACATTATGATTCTACAAAAATTAAAGGATTAAAATTTCTTTTGACGAAAAATGTGTTTCTTCTACATTTTTGGCGACGCCATTTGCAATATTAGCAATAATGCCAACCCAAGATAATGAAAACTCAACTTTTTCATTTTTGCCAACATTAAAAAAAAAATTATTTTGACGGTCGTCATAACCTTAAAAATATCACGTGTGTGACTTTGTTTTTGTTTTAATTTCCTTTTTTTCAATGAAAAAATCAGATTAAATAACGATATTTATATAAATAGGAAATAAAAAACAGAAAAAATGGGAAAAAATAATAGGCACATAAAAAATTTAAAATCCGAAAAGGCAAAAATAAAATTGAAAACAAGTAAAAAATCCCGACAATTGCCAAAGGGACAAAATGTCACGAACACGAGTTTTAAGTCGAAAAAAATTGTTATTCAAGAACAATTAAAACAACAAGATTCATCGGAAATTGTCAGTCGACGAAAATTAAATGTCAAGGTTAGTAAAAAAAACAAAAATTATAATAACAGTTCTAATCGTTTTAATAATTATAACCTATTTTTTGCAAAATTTTTACTATTTTTATTTATTTATTTATAAAAATAAAACTTTTTTTTTATTTTTTTAAGAGAAAATAAAACAAAATTTTGATTTTTTTTTTACTAGACTAAAAATAAATAAAAATTTCAAAGTGAATTTATTATTTTTTCTTACGAAAGTTTTGTATTTTTTTTTTTTAAATACGAAACTTTATTTATTTATTTATTAACTTTCTTTGATTAATAAAAAATAATTAAAGATTTTATTAAAAAAAAAAACATTTTTTAAACTAAAAGTTTTAAATATTTAAAAATTTGAAAAATTCAAAATTTTTATTATAAATTTTTAAAAAATTGGAAAAATTCAAAATTTTTATTACGAATTTTTAAAAAATTTACAAATTAAAATTGTTTAAACACTAAAAATTTAAAAAATTTTCAATTTAATGTAAAAAATTGAAACTTACAAAAATTAAATTAAAAAAACATTAAAATTTTTAAAAGATTTTATTTAAAAATAAACATTTTTTAAACTAAAAGTTTTAAATATTTAAAAATTTTTATTTCGAGTTTTTAAATAATTTACAAATTAAAATTCTTTAAACACTAAAAATTGAAAAATTTTTCAATTTAATTTAAAAATTGAAACTTACAAAAATTAAATTAAAAAACATTAAAATTTTTTAAAGAATTTAGAATCATTGGAATTTAAAATAATAATAATAATAACAATAATAATAATAAATATTTTTCTTTAAAAAAATCCAATAAAACAAAAATATTTTTCAAGGTTTTTTTTTAATTTAAAAACTGAAAGAAATTTAAAATAAAAAATATTCAAAATAGGAAATTTTCGTAAAATTTCAATACTAGTTTTTAAAGAATTTAAAATTTTTTAAATATTTAATTAATAGATAATAATAATGTGCGATTCCAAGTGAGATTTTGACTTTTTCGGAGTAGGTTAACCGATTGCAATGAAACTTTGGAATTTTGTTATATATAGTAAGACTAATCTTTAACGTAAATTTCAGCCTAAAATATTTGTTAGTTTACGAGATTTGCAATAATAACAAAAAATTTAAAACTGCTATATCTTCCGTTCTAATAAACGGATTGAGGTCTACTTTTTTTAAAATGTCAAGGAAAATGAGAGGAATAAATCTCTTTCAGAACATTTTTTTATAATTTTACAACTAAAAAAATTATTAAATAATAATTGAATAACTTTCGCGCGACTAACTAAAATTCAATCACTTAAACGCTAAAATGATCTTACCTGTGTTTTCTTTAATGTTCCAAAGGATTTTTATTGTAAATGTAAGTTTAACTTAAGAAATTTTATTAATTTATTAGTATAAACAATTGAGATTTCTGCTAGTTGACGTGCAGACGACATTGCGCACGCAGCATTCTCACATAGCCAATTTAGTCCACGAATCACGTCAGTTGGCTATGTGAGAATGCTGCGTGCGCAATGTCGTCTGCACGTCAACTAGCAGAAATCTCAATTGTTTATACTAATAAATTAATAAAATTTCTTAAGTTAAACTTACATTTACAATAAAAATCCTTTGGAACATTAAAGAAAACACAGGTAAGATCATTTTAGCGTTTAAGTGATTGAATTTTAGTTAGTCGCGCGAAAGTTATTCAATTATTATTTAATAATTTTTTTAGTTGTAAAATTATAAAAAAATGTTCTGAAAGAGATTTATTCCTCTCATTTTCCTTGACATTTTAAAAAAAGTAGACCTCAATCCGTTTATTAGAACGGAAGATATAGCAGTTTTAAATTTTTTGTTATTATTGCAAATCTCGTAAACTAACAAATATTTTAGGCTGAAATTTACGTTAAAGATTAGTCTTACTATATATAACAAAATTCCAAAGTTTCATTGCAATCGGTTAACCTACTCCGAAAAAGTCAAAATCTCACTTGGAATCGCACTAATAATAATAATAATAATAAATTTAATTATTAAAATTTAAATTTTCAAAAAAATTCAAAAATTGAAATAATCTTTAAATTTGAAAAAAAATAAAACTTTCGAAAAACTAAATTTTTAAATGAATTGAGAATCATTGGAATTTTTTTTCCAAAAAAAAAATTAAATAATAATTTAAAACATATTTTTTTTAGAAAAAATCCAATAAAACAAAAAAATTCAAATTTTTTTTTTAAAGAATTTAAAAACTAAAAGAAATTTCCAAAAAAAAATCAAAACATAAAATTTTCGTAAAATTTTAACAAAAATTGTTTAAAAAAATTTCACATTTTTCAAATATTATTAAATTAATTAATTAATAATAATAATAATAGTAATAAAAAATTTAATTATTAAAATTAAAATTTTCAAAAAATTAAATTTTTGAAAGAATTGAGAATTATTAGAATTTTCAAAAAAAATCCAATAAAACAAAATTATTTCAATTTTTTCTTTTTTTAAATAAAAAAAATGAATGAAATTTCAAAAAAATAATTCAAATCACATTTTTTTTAAATATCAGCGCAATTTTTTTTTTTCTAAAATTTCATATTTTCAAAATATTAATTTATTGAATTATTAAATTAATAATATTATTAAATTATTAAATTATTAAATTATTAAATTATTAAACTATTAAATTATTTATTAAAAATAAAAATTTTCAAAAATAATGCAAAAATTGTTAAAAAAAAAAATAAAATTATTTTACCAGGAACTATTGACGAGGCTACAACATTACAATTCAACAGTACGTCAGGATGCAGTACGTGAATTAAAAGAAATTCTCAATCTTCATTCAAATGAAATATTACGTGTCTATTTAAATTCCCTACTACAGGGAATTTGTGCCTTAACACTTGATCGTGAACGTGCAATAAGACGTGAATCACTTAAAGTTTTATCAATAATATTAAGTCCAATTTCACGTGAACAATTAACACCATTCATTGATATTTTATTATCATATTTAAATTGTTGTATGACACATATTAATCCAAATATTAAAGAAGATTCCCTTTTATTTCTCGATGTATTAATAAAAAATTGTGGTAATTATTTAGCACAAAAATGGCGTAAAATATTACCAAATTTTTTGGAAATGATATCAAAATTAAATATTGAATCATCACCTGGCCGACAATTATTAATAAATTTAAATTCCCAAAATACAAGTTCAAAATGGCGTATAAAAGTACTTACAAGTCTTGTAAAAATACTTACTGGTTTATTGCAAAATTTACGTGCGAAAAAATTAAATTTAACAACAAATATAAAAACAATTAATGCAACTGATAAAATTAATTATGCACCAATTTATTCATTAAATTTACAAATATGTGAATTAAATTTAACAAATGAAAATAATTTTGATGAATTAAATTCATTTGATTTGGAGAAATATATTAATTCACTGTGGCCATTATTATTTGATAGTTGGTTAGAAATTTATCCAAATTGTAATGATAAATTAAAAATTAATGATTCAACAATTAATAATGAAGCGGGAGAATTGTTAAAAAATATTTTTGATATTTTTCAATTATTTATTGATATTATTGAGGAATTATTTGAATATGAAAGTAATGAGAAATTTATATTAATTAATTTTAAAATAAAAATGAAATTTTATGAGAATTTTGTGAAAAATTTCATTAAACCATTTCCATTTGAGAGAAAATTAATTAATGAATCAAGAAATATGAGACGTAGACAAAATGATTTGAATATTATGGAAAATAAATTAATTGATAATTGCAATTGTTTGGAACAAAATTTAGCAATTTGTCGTTTATTCATTTGGTTCACGACTATTCAGGAGAAAAAAAATCGTACGACAATCGATAGGGAATTGTGTGGTGAAATTTTACAATTTTTAAATGGTGAGTTGAATTTTTTTTTTTCAATTATTTAAAAAAAAAATTTTAAACTACTTTTTAAGTCAATTATTTGTAGAAATTGAAATATTTTTTAATTCAATTATTTAACAAATTTGATAGAATTAAAATTTTTGTTATTAGAAATTTGAATTTGAATTTGAATTTTAAATAAAAATGTTTTTCTCTAAATTTTTTTTTTTTGCAGAAAAAATGGATAATTGGTCAAATCGTGATACAATTGCATTATCACAATTATTGAGAACATTGAGAACATTATTTTTGCAAGCAAGCAAAATATGGTACCAAAATCGTTGCTCATTACGTGAAACATTGAAAGCATTAATTAATTTAAATGCAAGGCAAACAAATAATAATAATAATGAAATTCAATTACAATGTTTTGCATTATTAAGTGAAATTGCAATTAATCATAATTTAAAGGAATTGCATAGTGAAGTAGAATTTGTTAAATTCATTAAATCACTTCCAAGTCTTTTACTTAAGGAGACAATACAAGATAATGTTATACAAACAATTAATACAATTGTTCTTCGTTTTAGAAAATCAATTGAAAATGATTTAATTAAATATCAGAAGGAAATTATTGGTAAGATTTTTAATTTTATACACAAAAAAAAACGATTTTTTTATTTTGTTTTTTTTTCATTTTGTAACAAAAAACGATTTTTTCAATTTCGAACAATATTTTAGAATTTATTTAAATTATAAAATTAATTTGTAGAATTTACATTCCTTTTTTTGGAAAATATAGTAAAAAATTTACATTTTTGCCATTTTGTAAAATATTGTTTTTTCTTCAATTTGTAAAATATATTTTTCTTTCGTAATTAAATATTTCTTTTTTCAATTTGTAAATTGGTTCTTATCGGAATTTGTAAAATATTTTTTTTTTTCGCTCAATTCGTAAAATAATATATTATTTTCGCAATTTGTAAACTATATTTTTTTTATTCGCTATTTGTAAAATATTATTTTATTTTCTAAATTGAAATCTATTTACCTCTTTTTCTCTGAATAAAAAGAGAAATGTTAATAATTCAGTTTTTGTTTTGAATTAACAATTTCTATTTTCAAATTTTACAAATTTATTTCACTAAATATTCTAAAAATATATTTAAAAAAAAAATTTTTTTTTAATAAAAAAATACGTCTTTTGTTTCAGAAAATGCGAAAAAAATTGAAATTCATGGAACCGAAGACGAACGCACATCGCGTCTTATGATTCTCAATCTTTTCTATTTTATCGACAATGAAATTTATCATTAACAATAATAATAATTTAATTCTTACCTTTAATAATAAAAAAAAAAAAAAAAAAATTGTATATAAAATTATCTCCTCTCTTTTTTATTATAAAAAAAATACCTTTTTGGGGGCTGAGAAATTAATTTAAAAAAAAAATTAACAAAGAAAAAAAATTAATTGTTGAGAGAAGAAAAAAATTAATAGTTGAGGGAGAGAAAAAAAAACTATTTACAGTATTTAATTATAAAATATAAATAGAAAAAAAAAGAAAATATAATTAAAATTTCGTAATCATATTTTCTGAATTTGTCACTTCATCAACGAAAAATGCGACATTATCAATTCCACTATTATTCTCTTGATTATCATTTATCGACGAGTATTGTTGTCTATTATTATTATTATTATTATTCAAATTTGAATTAGACGATTTTTCCGTGAGCAATGATTTTTCGTCTTTTATTAAATTTTCCACATTTGAATTTTTAATTGATAACATTGGCAGTTCTTTACTTAATATTGGCCATTTTTCATTTTCACGTAAATTTTCTTCAATTTGTAAATATCTGCAAAAAGAAAAACAAAAAAAATGTGAAAAATTAATTTTTAACACTAAATTTTTATAAATTTATTTCTAAAATATTATTTATTTTTTAAGGGAAAAATTTTGTTTTTCGAAAATAAAATAAAGAATTTTAATAATAATAATAACAATTATTAGTATTATTATTATTTTTATTATTACTTTTTATTATTATTATTATTATTATTATTATTATTATTATTATATTCATATAAAAATTAATTATTTATAGGTATTATTTAAATTACAAAAAATAATTTTTTTCTTTATAAATTTTTGTAACTTACATGAATAATTATTATTATTTTAATTTTAAAATATTTTTAAAGTTTATTATTTGTTTAAATTCGATTTAAATTCCAAAATTTTCATTCAAAATCAACGAAAATTCAATTATTTTCAAAATTTTCAATTCAAAATCAACTAAAATTTGATTATTTTCTAAAACTTTCAATTCAAAATCAACTAAAATTCAATTAGTTTCAATATTTTTAATTCAAAATCAACTAAACTTGAATTATTTATAAAATTTTAAATTCAAAATCAAGTAAAAATCAATTATTTTCCAAAATTTTAAATTCAAAATCAACTAAAATTAAATTATTTTCCAAAATTTCGATTTAAATTTATCAAAAATTCAACAGTTTTCCAAAATTTCAATTTTCGATAAATTTAAATTGAAAATTTTGAAAACAATTCAATTTTAATTGATTTTGAATTTAAAATTTTAAAAATAATTTTGAATTGAAATTTTGGAAAATAATTGAATTTTAGTTGATTTCAAAATAAAAGTTTTGAAAATAATTAAATTTGAATTGAGTTTTTGGAAAAAAATTGAATTTTGGTTGATTTTGAATTGAAAATTTTGAAAATAATTGTATTTTAGTTTATTCTGAATTGAAATTTTGGAAAATAATTGAATTTTAGTTAATTTCAAATTGTAAATTTTGCAAATTATTAAAATGCAATTGGAATTTTGAAAAATAATTGAATATTAGTTGATTTTGAATTGTAAATTTTGAAAATAATTAAATTTCAATTGGAATTTTGGAAAATAATTGAATATTAGTTGATTTTCAATTAAAAATTTTGAAAATAATTGAATTTTAGTTGATTTTGAATTGAAAAATTTAAAAATAGTTGAATTATAGTTTATTTTGAATTGTAATTTTGGAAAATAATTGAATTTTAGTTAATTTCAAATTGTAAATTTTGAAAATAATTAAATTGCAATTGGAATTTTGAAAAATAATTGAATTTTAATTGATTTTGAATTTGAAAATTTTTGGAAAATAATTGAATTTTAATTGATTTTGAATAGAATTATATAAAAAAAAATTTTAATATAGAAAATCGTTTTTGTTGAAAATTCTACAAAATACTAATTCAAAGAAATAAAAATTCAACAAAAAATTAATTATGACAAATGAAAATTCTAATTAATGATTTTTAGAACATAATCATACAACTCAAAAATTCATAAAATCCGATGTCTGTAAATTTATAATTAAAAAAAAAAAAAATAAATAAAAAAATAAAACAAATAATCTTACCTCTTTCTTGAATTCTTGATCCGATGAAATTTTCGTTTACATCGTTTTTCAATAAGAAATTCAATAACAAATGTTTCGATAACAAAACAAATGAAAAAATTTCCAAACGCCATTGCCAACAAAATTACCCTCCAATCGTAACCAATTGGCATTACAAGTTGTAATGCATCAATAATCCATTGTGCTGGCGATAATGTTATATAAATACCAAAAATTGTCATTAAAATAATTGACAATGTAAATAAACGATTTGTATAAATTGCCATTCTATATGGTTTACCACGTGAAAATATTATTGCCATTGTTATATATTGAAACATTGATATTGAAAATACTGAATAATTCTCCCAGCATGCATAATTTAATGCCTCTTCATTTTTAAATGGTTGAAACCATGGGAATTGTTGTACGCCAAAAAATGCCGTCAATTGAAAACAAATATTAATCAACATTTGTAATGTTAATGATAATAATGGGGTAAAACTCAATATACTTGTCATTGGTGGTTTTTTTGATAATTTACCCTCATAAGCTTGTGTTTTACCAAAGAAAAAGGCAAAATTTACTATTAAACAAATGTCAATAAATAAAAATTGTAAATCAGTGACATTTGAATCAATTGAATAGAGAATTATCGCTGAGAGAAATTCGGTTAGCGAATAGGTGATCATAAATTTAAATATACCAAATGATGTAACGAGAGCGGCGCGACCCTGTTGTATTACTGTTGGAACGCATGTGATATTTGGTATTCGTGACGTAAATGGACTCGCGATACTGCAAACAAAAAAAAAAAATTAATAATTATTTTGGTAAATTTTTGAAATTTAAATTTTCTAATTAGTTTATTACCTTGATTCGGCTTCCGAGAGAGAAATTCCCACGTGAGCTGCTTTTAAAGCGCCGCAATCGTTGGCGCCGTCTCCACACATAACTGATGAACAAAAGAAAAGAAAATTATAATTCTATTTTTAAATTGAAAATATAGATTTTAATTTAGAAAAACAATTTTTCTTTTCTGAATTTGAATTAAATTAATTTAATATAAATTTATTTTTATTTAATTTTTCAGTTTTTTTGGTGAATTTTTTTAAAAATTAAATTCAATTTTAGATTCAAGAGAGAAATTTTGTTCTTCTTTTTTTTTGTAAGGAAAATTACAAACCTGCATAATAGCCAAGTTGCATTAATTGAACGACTAATTGTTGTTTTTGATCACTTGTCATTCGTGCAAAAACTGCGCCTCTCACACAAATTTTTGGCAATATTTCCGGATAATATTCATTGATAAGTTGCCACGTTTGTCCAGTGAGTGCAAATCGATAATTTTTTTCTATTTGTATTTTTTTCTCTACACTCTCGAATGCTTTTTTTATCGATTCTTCCACTTGGCTCTTGAAAGAAATTTAATTAATTTCACAAAAATGAAAATTAAATGCATTTAAAAAAAAATTCCATTGGGAGAAATGTGAAAATAAAAATTAAACTCACGAGTTTAACCGGAAGCCATTGAGCGTTGAAAAATATTTTTGGCGGTGATTTTTCATCACCTGGAATTGCAGTGACATTAATTACTGTTTCTTCATGTGAAACAATTCCACATTCTTTTGCAACACTAACGGCAGTTTGAATATTGTCACCTGGAAAAAGAAAATGAAAATTTTTCTATTTCAATTTTTTAAATTTAACAAAAAAACAATAACAAAAAAAAAATGTGAAGAAAATTTTTTTTTTTTTTTTTAACTAAAATAAATAAAAATAAATTAATTACCTGTAATCATCACTACATGTACATTGGCATCTCTCAATGTTTTTATAACTCCAATTGTTTGTTCTTTTAATCGATTATCAAAAATCACAAGACCAAGAAATTTCAAATTTTTTTCAACCTTTTCCCTCGACAATCTTTGAATCTAAAAAAAAGGAATTTCCATAAAAATTGCAAAAAAACAATTTTTCCAACTTAGAATAATAAAAACAGAAAATAAAAATAAATAAATAAAAAAATTACAATAAATAATGAAAATAATAAAAATAGTAAATGGAAACAATAAAACTAATAAATTTAAAAAACAGTAAAAATAGAATTTAAAAATCAAAAACCTACTTTGGCATAAGAATAATTGAGAGTTGCCGAACCCATGGCAATAACACGATATCCTTGTTCGGTATATTTTTTCAAATCGTCCATTAAACCCTTTGGAACTGTTTCTGGTCGACTGAGACTAAGAATCATTTCCGGTGATCCTTTTGTATAAACTTTAAAATTTTTCGATCCTAATATTCTAACTATCACAGACATTCGTTGCAAGGAACTTGAAAATTGATATTGATTTATTATTCCAATTTCGGCAATATCATTAACATTTTTCATGAAATTTTCATTATTCGATGGTTTCACTATTGTTGGCGCCAATAAATCATATTTACTAGTGTCCTCAACTTCCGGTTCCTCCAATATCCATCCGGTACTTTCAAACATCTTTAATTATAATTTTTAATTAATTTCAATTTTTTTTTTTAATATTAAAATTAATTAAATAATTTATATTATTAGACAAGAAAACAATTTTATTGTATTGACAGAAAAATAAAGAAAAAATAATTGTAATTAATTAATTTTTATTATTTCTATAATTAATTTACTATAATTTTTTTTATTATTTTATAAAAATCAAAATTGTTTTTTTTAAATTCTCTAAAAAAAATCTATTTTTCCGTATATGCATAATTTTGCAAAATTAAATTTAATTGCAACAATTAATTATATCGGAATTAAAATCTCTTTTTAGTTCTCTAAAACAGAAAAAAAAAAAAAAAGAAAAGAAAAAAAATCTATTTTGCTCTATTAAATAATGTTGTAAAAAAAATTTAATTGTAACTTTAATCGGAAATTAAAATATCTTTTTAAAATTTTCTAAAACAGCAAAAAAAAAAATATAAAATAATAAAAATTAAAATGAAACATTAAAAATAATTGAAAAATTAATTTTTATTGATATTTTACAAAATTCTACGAAAGAAAATTAATAAAAATTGAGAGTAAAAAAAAAAAAAATATATATAAATACCTTAACATCTAAAGGATCTCCACAAAGTTCACCTTCAATTAAAGTTAAACTATGGCATACGAGCATTCCCTGAAATATTTCATGATTTTTCAACTTTGGTATATTTTTTTCAACCTCTCCAAATTCATTATTTTCATTTGGAACAACTCCCCACATATCTAATCCATCTTCGGTAAGAGTTCCCGTCTATAATCAATGGAAAAAAATTCATTTAATCTAAATTTAAAAAATCCTTATTTTAAAAAAAATTCCAAAAAAGTATTTAAAAAAATAAAAATTTAGGATTTGAAAAATGTATTTAAAAAGAAGTATTCTAATTTAAAAAATAAGTATCCTAATTAAAAAATGTTTTTTTTTTTTTAAATTTGTAATAAAATAAAATATTTTCGTAATTTTATTTTAGTTGAAATAAAAATTACCTTATCGAAACAGGCACAATTAATACTGCCGGCAACATTTATGACACGATTATTAATACAATAAATTTGTCGCTTTTTTAATCTCGATTGAGCATATATTTTACCAACAGTCATTACTGCTGGAAGTGCAGGTGGAATTACTATTGTTATTAAATCTAATGATTTTACAGCTATTACCCATGCTGAAAATCCTCTTGATATCTTAAAAAAAAAGAAAAAGAAAGAAAAAAATAAGAAATAGAAAATTTTAATCGAAATTTAAAAAAAAATCTATTAAAGAACTTTTTTAAATTAAATTTTAATAAAAGAAATTAAAGAATTTTTATTCTAAAATTAAATTCTAAAACAAATTAAAAATATTAATAATTAATAATATTGAATTAATTTTTTTGTCATTAAAATAAACAATATTTATTTAAATAAAAATTAAAAAATTAAAAGAAATTTTAAATAAGGAAACAAAATTTTAATAATTAAAAAAATTAGTACAAAATTTTTAATAATTACAAAAATTTTAAATACAACATTTTTAATAATTAAAAAAATTTTAAATACAAAAATTTTAATAATTAAAAAAATTTTAAATATTACGTTTTTTAATAATTAAAAATTGATTAATAATTAATAGAAAAGTAAAAACTAACTTTTTAAATAAACAAACAAAATTTTTAATAATTTAAAAAGTTTTAAGTAAAAAATTTTTGAAGAAAGTAAAAATAATTTTTAATAATTAAAAAAGAAAAATTTTAAATATTCCATAAAATTATCCAAAAATAATAAAAAAAAATTTCAACTTACTTTACTGACTAATGCGTAAATTGAACCAAGTAATGCGATAAATGAAAGAATTCCAATAAATTTATATGAATCCTGATCAAATTTAAAATCCGCAGGCGGTGGATAAAGAATTGAAGCAACCAAACTTCCTTTACTTGTTTGCAGACCAGTTCTAATTACTCTAGCTAATACAGGTTTGTCTCTGTAATATCTAAAAAAGAAAATTTTTTTTTTTAATTTAAATTTGTTTTGTTAATTATTAATTATTAATTATAATTATTAATTAATTCAATTTAGTTTAAATATTACAAGTATTTCTGATAATTTTATAAATAAAAATAGAAAAAAATAGAAATAATAATAAAAAATAAATAAAAATAGAAAAAAATAGAAATAATAATAAACAATAAATAAAAATAGAAAAAAATAGAAATAATAATAAAAAAATAAATAAAAATCCAAAAAAATAACTAAATTAAAAAAAAAATTAAATTTACCTTGTTTGAATTATAAGTGTTCCTGAGTAAAGTGTATGATGAGCACAATCTTTAGAATTATAAAACATATGATCATTTGGTAACGGAGTTTTTGTTACTGGTACTGATTCACCTGAAAGGGAAAAAATTTATAATTTTATTAACAAAAAAATAAATTATTAATTTCTATAAATAAATAAATAAAAATATATAATTAAAAAAAAAAAAAAAATTTTTTTAAATTTAAATTTTTCACCTGTGAGCATTGATTCATTAACGATACAATTTCCAGTGAGTAACACAGCATCACAAACCACCAATCCCTGAAATCTAGGGAGTTCAATAATGTCACCAGGTACTAAATCAGAACTAGATACACTTTCAAATTCCCCATTGTCACGTAAAACACGAACAGTCTCCGTAGAAGCGACAGTATTACGAAGATTTTTTTGATTCTATGATAAAAAAAAAATTTTAATAAATTATTTTTAATAAAAAATTAATTAAATTTTAATTATTTAATTAATAATATTTTTAATTTTAATTAAATTTTTCAATTCGAAATAAATAAATAAAAAAAAAAAATTTCAATTATTTAATTAATTAATTTTCAATTACCTTACGAGTTTCAATGACAGACGTTGTGATACCACCAATTGACATAAAAAGAATTGCAGTCGCGTAATAATAATAAAATGACGAAAACCAAAGTATTAATGTGAAAATTTGAAAAATATAAAATGGATTCAAAATTTCTAAAATTATTAAAACACCAATACTTGTTACAGGTACGATTATTTCATTGTAACCATAGGTAATTCTCCTGAAAAAAATATATATATTTTTCTATTTGAAATTTTAAATTATAAGAAATTCAAATTTTCCCGCCATAAAAAAGTAGTGATAAATTTAGGGGAATCACAATTATAAATCGTGGGGGGGAAAACAATTTACAATACCTTAAAAGTTGTTCATTTTTCGATAATCCCTGTTTATTTCCTAGATGAAGTTCAGCGTTTGGGACATATTTTTCGAGGCCAATTAATTTTGAAAATTGACCAGTTTCTTCGTCCCAAATAAAACATTGTTTTTTGTACCAAAATGCTTTATATTCTACAACATTTTTTTCTATTCCATTTTCTAAATGAAAATTCAATTGTTTTCCTTCGATATTTTTTAGTAATTTTTTGTCCTCGTTTTTTAAACATTTTGCTATTGATTTATTTCTAGTAAAAAAAAAGAAAATAATAATAATAATTTTCAATAATGTGATTAATAAAAAAAAAAAATTGAAAATTCTAAAATATGAAAAAGAAACAAAAAAAATTGTTTTTTAAAAACTTACCCTAGATTTGTTGTTGAAATTGTCAGTATATTTTTCACAAAATATGTTTTATGCTTTTCTTGATAGTTACTCTAAAAGTAAAAATGAAAAAAAGAAAAATGTTAAAAAAATTTTGAAAAACGAATTCAATTTTATCGCCTTTTTTGGATTTTAATTTCCGCGGCAAATTTGAATCTTTAAACTTAATTTTTTTTTGTTTTAAACATTAAATAAAAGTAAATTTATAAATAATTTTATTTTAATAATTATTTATAAATTTTTTTTTATTATTTTAATTTTAATTATTTAAATAAATTTTAATTATCATTTTAAATAAATTAATTAATTAAAATAAAAATCTTACAACAATGAGAAGTTTTGTTGCTTCATTTAAAGGGCATTTTTTATGTGTTGCGTAAAGTTGTAAATGTGGATACCAATGAAAAATGAGTCTCAATAATCCTGCAGTAATAATGTAGGACAAATAAATGAAAAGTGTCGATAGAAAATTCTGCTTGAATCCATGTACGTACTAAAAAAAGAGAAAAAAAAATTTTTTTTTTCCTATTTTCCTTGTTTAGATTATATTATATAATTCAATAAATAATAATAATAATAATAATAATAATAATAATAATAATAATAATAACAGTAAAATTTATGAATGTTACAAAATTCATAAATATAAAAATATAAAAAAATAAATAATAATATAAGTAAAAATAAAAAAAGAAAAAAAAATTAAAACAAAATTTTTTTTTAAATAAAAATTTTTTAAATTCTCAACTTACCATAACATCATGATTGGCAAGGATTTTTTGAACTTCCGGTTTCTCTTTAAATTTTAGGCCTGGAAAAAAAAATAAAAAAAATATATTTCATTTAAAAAAAAAAACTGAAAAAAAATTAATTTCAAAATAATTATTTTTAATTAAAATTTATATATTTTCTTTTCTTAAAATTAAAAAATAATAATTAATTGTATCTAAGTAAATTATTCATTTTTTCAATAATAAAAAAGGTAATAATTATTTTTTTTTTTCTAAATTTTTAAAAAATAAAATATTGAGGAATTTGTTAAAATTAAAAATGAAAATTTATTTTCCGTCCTTCATGTCAAGTATTTTCTAGAATAATTGTTTTCTCGTCATTTAATCTTGATTCTGTGAAAATTTGTATTTTTTTTTTTTTTAAATTCATTGAAAGAATTCTACTATCTTGTGATAATTTTTTTTTTGTTTTTTTCTTTTTGTTTTCTGTTAAAATAAAACAAATTACCATTGACATCAGTCATAACTCGTGTATCTTCGATATTTTCTGACGCTGATGAATTTTTTTTTTCTTTTTCAGATGAACAATATTAGTCTTTGAGATAAACTACAAGTTGTGAATTTGTTTTCACAACTGCAAAGGCTGAAATGAAAGAAAAAAAAATTTATTCAAAAACATACACAAAATTCCACTTCTTTTTTTAATAGAAAAATTTATTCTCATTTTATAATTTTATAACAAAAAAATAAATTGTTTTTAATTTTAAAAAATTTTTATCGAATAACAATTTTTAGTTTTTAATTAATAATAAAAATTAAATTTTTAATTAAATTTTATTTAAAGATATAATAAAAATTTTAAGGTTTTATTTACTTAATAATAAAAATTAAAATTTGTATTATAAATTCAATTTAATTAACAAATAAAAATAGAAATTTAAAATTTTTATTTATAATTATACTTATAAAAATAAAAAATTTTTTTTCGGTAATTAAATTATTAAATAGAAAAAAAAATTAAATTTTAAAATGAATTTTTCAAATAAATACTAATTACTTGAAAAAAAAATCAATATTCATCATTTTTTTTTATCATTTCCATTGAAATATAAATAATTCACTAATTTTATTACGTAAATTAGAAACATATAAAAATATTGCAATCAATGTATTCTCAAAATTACCAATAATTATATGATACCTAATTATAAAAATATAATTTTCGAAAATTATTTTTCTATTTACATTAAGTCATTAAAATTTATATATATAATGACATAATTTGTAATAATTGCCAAAAAATAAAAAATCGAAAGAAAACAAAACTAATTTATTAGTTATATTTTGTGCTTTCATTAAAAAAAATTAAATACACATTAAATTCTAATTAAGATTTTTCTGTTTAATAATAATGGAATTCAATTCATTTAAATTATATGATATTAATTTTTTTTTTTTTTAATTTAAAATTGTAAATTATTCCTCCTAATGAGATTGACGACAACTTTCATTATTTGTATTGAATATCAATTTTCTCTCCACAAAATTAATTTATTTTCTTTTTTATTATCTGAATTTATCTTTTTTTGTAATAAAAAAATTTTAATTTATGAATAAATATTAAAACATTAATTTTATAAATATAAATAAAAAAAATTAAAAAAAAATAAATTATTAAAAATATTTTTAATTATCAACTCTGGGACTCATTTATTGTTTTAATCAAATAAAAAAATAGATAAATTATTAAAAATATTTTGAATTTTAAAATATAAAATTCTTTTTTAGCATTTAAATCAAATTTATTACAATTCAAAAAAAAAAATTTTTCCTTTTAATTGCCATTTACATTTTTGTCTCGTTATCATTTTTTATTTTTTCTCACTTTTTTTTGCGATAAATTTAAAAATCATTCGCAGATTAAGATTTATTGCGATTTATTTATTATTGTTATTATTATTATTTTTTTTGTTGAATAATCTACATTCATTTTACAATCGTAATAATTATTATCTTAAAAATAAAGAGAGAGAAAAAAAAAATTAATTTTCCTCTTTTTTTTTGCCCTGTATAAAAAAAATTACTTAATAATTGACAATTATAAATTATTATAAGCGTTAAATTAAAATTAATAAATTTAGTTTAAGAGAGAGAAGAGAGATGGAAATATATGATTTCATTGCATAAGTCCATTTAATCACAAATTAATTGACCTAGTTAAGATAACATTATAATAATATTATCAATTTAAAAAAAATAGATAATTAGAAATATTTGTTTTTTTTTTGTTTTCTTTGTTTGTTTGTATTTTTCTTTTTTTTGTTTGAAGTAAATTGTATTTAAAAAAAAAAAAAAATATTACAATTTCAAAAAACATAATTTATAAATATTTTTAAGAAAATCGTTCAAAATTTATGCTAAATATTTGCGATTATTGTTTATTTATTCAAATTAAAATTAAAAATAAAAGTAAAAAAAAAATAAAATATATATATAAAAAAAAATTTAATATATAAAAATTATTTTTGTCAATTTAATTATTTTTTTAATTTTAATAAATATAAATTTAATTTACATACCTACTTTGTAATTGTATTTAATTTATTTTTTACGAGGGAACTTTTTATTATTATTATTATATTATTATTTTATTAATATTATTATTATTATTTATTATTATTTTTATTACTATTTATTTTTAAATTATAATTTTTTTTAATAATACAATTTTATATAATTATTATTTTTTTTATAATTTATTTGTTATAATTGTTTTAATTTTAATTATTTATCATTTTATTATTATTATCATTATAATAAGTATAATAATAAAATAACAATAATAATAACTACATTTATTTTTCTTTTTCTTTGATTGAAAATGGGAGAGGAAATGTCATTTATATAATATTATATATTATAAAAGATTATAATAATTGCCTATATAATAAATAATATTTATTTAATGAGAAAATAATGATAAAAAAAATTATTTTTTTTTCTCCAAATATTTTAAAATTAAATTAAAATTAAAAATAAATTAAAAATAAAATAAAAATTAATTGAAAAATAAAAATAATAATTAAATTAAAAATAAAATTAAAATTAATTAAAAATAAAATTGAAAATAAAAAAAAAATAAATTAAAATACAAAAAAATAAAAGAAAATAAAAATTTTCAAATATGGAAAAAAAATTTCACACACAACATTTTGTGAAAATAATAATAAAAATTAAATATTTCAAAAACACTCACCAAAGAGAAAAATTACACAGTGGGGGGTGAAACGGATAAGGATGAGAAAAAAAAAAGTTTTTGCCTTTTTTTTTTCTTTCTTTCACAAAATTCTTCTCTTCTAAAAACAACAACACCAAAAAGGCAAATGACTTGGAGATGTGATTTTTAAGTCAATTCGCTTTCTTTTCGCCTTGTTCTTTTCATTCCCGATTATTTTTATTTTTTATTAATCACCAAAAAAAAAAAAAAAGAAAGGGAAATATTAAGAATTATCAAACACACACAAAAATATTTAAATATGGAAAAAAAGCACGATTTTTCGATAAATCTGTATATTATAATCGATGATTCAATGTAAAAATAATAATGAAAAAAAAATAAAAATGAAAAAAATAAATACAAAATGAAATAAATTTGAAAAAAAATTTTTCTTTTTTTTTCAGAAAAATATTTAACCCCCCCCAAAAAAAAGAAAAAAAATTTATACAAATAATATATATATATAGGTTTATGAAACGAAGCACCTGCGCGTCGTTTCAAGTATTGTAAGAAACTAGCAATATTTTAAAACTGAACGTGAGTTCTGTACATTCATTATAGGTTTACACAGAGAGAATTCCCCTCCAAATCATTTTTCTCTCTCTCTCTCACTCACTCTCAATATAGACACTATAATATCTTTTGGAACTGACAACGCAGCATTTAATACATTTCATGTTAATTGCCCAATACAATATAATACATATATGATGATTAATCAGTTTTCTTTTTTTTTTTTTCGTTTCGGCTTATGGGATTCCCTAATTTATTTATCTTGTTCTATTTTTAAATTTAAGGCTTAAGTACAAGGAGGAAAAAAAAAATTTTTTTTTTGTTTTTTCATTTAAATATTTTGTTTTTTTTTTAAATAATTTTCATTATCAGGTTTAACAAATTTTCAATTTTTAGACAAAAGAAAATGAAAAAAATAAATAAAGTTTAAAACGCCTTGAATTTAAAGTGATAAGAATTTTTTTTTTTTTTTTTTTGTTAGTATCAATGTTTAAATAGGTATAATAAACTTCAAAAATGATTGATATTTGCTTTTGGAATTGAAGTTGAAATTAGTTTCAATATAAAAAGTAGATTATTTTGAGTCATAGAAAAATAATTTGAGTCAAAGTAGAATAATTTGGATCAAAGTAGAATTATTTGAGTCAAAGATCAATTTAAGTCAGAAAAATAATTATTAAATCAATGTAGATAATTTTGAGTCAAAGTAGATTAATTTGAATGAGAATAACTCAAATTAATTTTTGAGTAAAAGTAGAATAATTTAAGTCAAAGTAGAATTATTTGAGTTAAAGATCAATTTCAGTCAGAATAATAATTATTAAATAAATGTAGATAATTTTGAGTCAAAGTAGATAATTTTGATTCAAAGTAGATTAATTTAAATGAGAATAACTCAAATTAATTTTTGAGTCAAAGTAGAATAATTTAAGTCAAAGTAGAATTATTTGAGTTAAAGATCAATTTCAGTCAGAATAATAATTATTAAATAAATGTAGATAATTTTGAGTCAAAGTAGATTAATTTAAATGAGAATAACTCAAATTAAATTTTGAGTCAAAGTAGAATAATTAAAGTCAAAGTAGATTAATTTAGATGAGAATAATTTAAATTAAATTTTGAGTCAAAGTAGAATAATTAAAGTCAAAGTAGAATTATTTGAGTCAAAGATCAATTTAAGTCAGAATAATAATTATTAAATCAAACTAGATAATTTTGAGTCAATGTAGATAATTTTGTGTCAAAGTAGATTAATTTAAATCAAAATAATTCATATAGGCTTAAAGCAGATTTTTTTTGAGTCAAAGTGGATTAATTTAAATGAGAATATCTCAAATTAATTTTTAAGTCAATGTAGATAATTTTGAGTATAAGTAGATTAATGTAAATGAGGATAACTCGAATTAATTTTTAAGTAAATGTAGATAATTTTGAGTCAAAGTAGATAAATGTAAGTTTAAATAACTACTATTAAATCAATTTAGATAAATTTCAGTCCAAGTAACTTTATATTAAATCGAAGTAGAAAATTTTGAGTCAAAGTAGAACAAATTAATTTTTAAAAAAACTCGTATTAAATCAATGTAGATAATTTTGAGTCAATGTAGATAATTTTTGAGTCAATGTAGATAAATTTGAGTGAATGAAAATCATTTTGAGTCAATGTAGATAGATTTAAGTTAAGAAAACTCATATTAAGTCAACGTAGATTATTTTGAGTCAATGTAGAAAATTTTTTGAATAAAAAAAGAAAAATTTTGAGTAAAAGTCTATGATTTTAAATAAAATTCAAAAAAATTATAAGTTATTTCTATTATAAGTCGTAATTAATCAATTTTAATTCAAAGTAGATTAACTGATTTATTTTCTACACCTAAGAAAATTTTTTGGTGTAAAAATTAAATTTTTTAAATCAAAATAAATTTTGCTCAAAAGCATTTTTTTTTTTTTTAGTAAACTGTAAATAATTCCAAATCTATTTAAAAAATAATTATAAAAATTAGAAATTAATTAATTAATAGTTAAAAATAATTTGTTATAGATAATAGTTTAAAAAAAAATAATAACAAAATATTATTATTTTAATACATATACATTAACCATAAAAATTACACAACATCTTATAATCAGTGAATTAAGAAGGAAAATTTACTGTGTTTTTATTTTTTTTTTTCTCTTCATTTTTCTTAATCTCCAGTGCAAGGTTAATAATTAATTAATTTTTTTTTCTTTATTTTTAGAAAAAGTCGAGGTTTGATGGCCTGTTAATAATTCTATGATATTTGCATAATTAATAGGAAAAAGAATTTTTCAAAAAAAAAAATTAAAAAAAAAAATATCGGAAAAATAAAAACTGATGATTTTAATAAACCGGTAACATTTATTAGCAAGTGGATATAATTTATTCTAAAACTCTAATCAGTTATGTAAAATTCAACGATTATTTACATTGAGAAGTCACTTTTATTCAATTGCAAAATTTTTATGTAAATTTATTTATTTGCAATGCATTTTATTTTTATTATTCTGATTATTATTATTATTACTATTTTTATATTTATATAATTATTATTCTTTTTATATTTATAATTATTCTTCTATTTATTAAAAAAATAGGTAACTTTTTTTTTACAAAATATTAATTTTTGTATGAAAAATAATTAATAAAGAATAAAATAAAATAAATAATAAATTTAAATAAATAACTGTAATGATAAAAAAAATTTTAATTAAAATAATTTGTCCAGAGTAAATTTGAATTTCGTGCCAAAAATGTATGGCGGGAAATTTAAATTAAAAGAAAAAAAATATATCAACATTGCTTTTAATTAAATTTACAATTAAAATGTCTTTTGAAAATCCTCGACACATAAATGTGGTTATTTACTTAAAACCACTCATCTTTAAATGAGATAAAAATGTGATTTTTAAAGAATATTCCTTTAGAAGAGCGCGCAAAATTGATAAAAAAAATTTTTTTTTTTAAAGTCATTACAAAATATTTGATGATAGTTTTATGTATTTATTATTTTATTACTGTGCCAATATGTATAAGGAGGAAAACACTCTTAATGTGAAAAATATAAAAATTAACATAAAACTAAATAAACAATATTAAAATGATAACTGAAAAAAAAATTGTTAAACAAATAAATAAAAGGAAAATTGTAAAAAAAAATAAAAATAAAGTAGTTTTATTTATTTATTTATAAAAAAAATATACAATTTTAATAAATAATACAAATAAAATATAAACTGCAACAAAGATAAATAAAAAATATAAATGATAAATACAAATAATAAATATAAATAATAAACATAAATAATAAATATTAATTAACAAATATAAATAATAAATAAAATATATTTTTTTTGCATTTATTTTGTATTTTATTTATTATTTTATTTATTTATAAATATACAATATCAATAATAATAACATAAATATAATTTAAAAAAAAAGAAAACAAATTTTTATATTCGCATTATTTAGAATTCAAAAGATTTGAATTCTTTTTTTTCTCTCTCCTTTTTTTTGTAAATTAATTTTTCATCATTTATTATGTGTTTAAATGGGATTAAACGCTTATCCAAGAATTATTGCATTTAAAAGAGATTTACAATTTGATGTCTATTCATATATATAGAGATAAGATAAATCTGCCGGGAAAATTTACCCATAAGAAAAGTTGTCATTTGCGGAATGTTCAAGATAATGTTAAAAGTTAAAAAAAAAAAAAAAAAAAAAAACAGAAAACAGAAAAAAAAATATTAAAATAAAATTTTTATATTAGAAAAAAAAATTTTTCCAAAATAAAAGTCTTTGGTACAAATAAAAAAAAAATTTGTTATAAAAAAATGAATTTTAATTTCAATTATTCATTTGAATTATTTTTTTTCTTTATAATTGTTATGTTTATTATTTTTATACAATAAAAATAATAATAATAAACATAATAATATTAATAATAATAATAATAATAATAATAATAATAATAATAATAATAATAATAAAAGTAACAAAAATTATTCCAACAATTACAAAAAATTTGATTAATTTTTTTAAAAATATATTAAGACTGTTCAGAAGTGTAAATGAAAAAAAATTTCAATAAAAAAAAAAATACTATATAAATATAATTATATATGAAATAAAATGAAAAAATGATAATAAATCCGTTCCTGGAGGAAAGACCTGAAGGTCAGAACTGTCTCTCTTACGCAAAACAATGTACTAGATTCCGTTTAGCCTCGTAATTAATTAATAACAGATATATATTAAATTAATCAGGTGTCATTGAGATAAATATATATAATTTACGTAATTTAATTTAATTGAAATTAGTCTTCAAATTTGGCGATAAATTAATTAATACAAGACAATTTCAATATAATTATAATTCTTCATTATTAATACTATTATTATTATTATTATTATTATTATTATTATTTTTATTTAATTTAACAGAAAAATATAATTTTTATTATAATGGTATTTTATAATTAATATTAATTATTAATTACATTATAATTATTATATTTTTATATTTATATTATATTATATTATATTCATTGTATTATAATAATTATTAATTATTGCCCTTTTAATATGTTTAGCATATTTGAATAAACCGCCAATGGCGCTGCGTGTTTGTTCCTTATACAACTACTCATTTCGTTTCTTTATTCTACTTCATCTATGGCCAAACTTTTCCCGCAGGATCTTTACGATCATGGAAGCAAATTTTTTTTTTCATTGTCAAAGAACCGAATAAGAAAATTCGGAAATATTTCCTGGGGTCTGGCTTTTGAAATCGTTACTAAGAAATTAATTAATTCATTCTTTCAAAAGAAAGAATTAGAAAAATAAAAAAAAAAAGTGGCTAAATTATTGACAAACGGCAAAATGCCACTGATGTCAATGCTTTTGTCACGTAGATTAGAACCGCGATTAGCTTTTATTTTAAAAAAACGCAGGGTAAATGTTCGTAGAGAGAAAAAAAAATGAATCAAAACTAATTTACATATATTCCTGAAAATTTTCCAACAAAAAAAACATCGCCGGCAAATGTAAAGTCAAAATTAGTTAATCATATAACCTCAAATATCAGGTCGAGAAAGATAAAATAAAGAGCAAACATAACCTTGAAATTTAGAATAAGTTATATAGGTCAATGAACAGATATAACCTCAAATTACAGATATAAAATATAAAAATTATAAAGCTAGAGTAAAAAATTAGATTAAAAATTACTTTTTATCAATATTTTACAAACATAAAAAAAAATACGTGGGAGGGGGATCACGCGTATATAATTTATGAAAAAGGACAGGAAATAATTATTTCATCTCGTCGAAATGGGTGCAAGTAATGAAATAAGTCATTGTCAAGGTTTCGCCAACGCGAGAACGCAATGTAAACTTTTTTTAAAAAAGTATGGTTATTTAATTATCGACCTGATAATATATATATATGAATAATTACAGTGACGATAAGATTTTCGATAAACATTTTTTTTTCTTCATTTAGAGAGATTTGTCTCTATTATACTGTCGTCGCAATTTTTCTTTGTTATTTCTTTTTTAAAAACACCACTTTAAAAGAATAAAAAAAAAAATTGTTACAATAATTATAACAATTTAAAAAATTTTTTTTTATTAATTACAATTATTTTTAAAATTTTCTTTTTTATAAAAAAATACTAATTTAAATTTATTATTTTTTTATATTTTTTATTTGTAAAATAAATTTTAATAAATTTTTAATCGATTTTTTGAAATAGATTTTAAAATAAATTTCACAAAAATATATTGAAAAATAGGTATTTAAAAAAATGGTTTAGCAATAATCGCAAAAATAAAGAGTAGAGATTAACGTCACTTTAAGCATACATGTAATATTTTTTTTATATTTTAAAAAATATGTCCATTGTAATCACTGTAAATTCAAGATCGTCGACTTTATGTAACAACGTATATAATAAAAAATTAAATTATTGTTGAAGGTTTTTTTTTCTAATTCCAATGGAAAAATGAATATTTCTATTCTATAAAAAGGAATAAATATTTATTTTAATATTACATAATTAAATATGTAATAATTATTATTACATCAATTATTTTTTTTAAAAAGGGATTTTTTAAAAAATTATTAATTCAAAAAATTTATTTTTGTCCTTAATGAATATTCGCAAAATAAAAATAAAAAAATAACTAAGAAACAAAAGTACACGTTACATATTATTATTTAGAAATTAAAATTATTGTTTTTAATAAGGGAATTTCAATTTAGAGAATTTAAAAAGTTTAATTAATTTTTATTAATTGGATTAATTAGTTCTTTTTTAAATAAAAAAAAAATGTAACTGGATGAAAGCAGATTTGAACGTAAGGAATTAATTAATTCGAATTGTATAAATTATTCTAAAGGCCTTCGATTCTAACGCGTTAATAATATTATTAGTACCAGCCAGGGAATGTCACTTTTTTTATCAATCAAAAAATCTACTTGTTCCTTTTTATCATATTTTTCTTTTACTCAATAATTATTTACATTTTATGTTTCAATTGATTTTTATTTTATATCGCTGTTTTTTTTTTTTTTTTTTTTTTTATTAGAGGTAAATTTTTTTATTTTATTTATGGGTAATTTTTATTTATTTTAGGAGTAAATTTTTTTTTTTATATTTATTTTAGGGGGAAAATTTTTTTTTTTTATTAGTAATTTTTTTCATTTATTTTAGAGGTAAATTTTTTTTCTATTTCTTTTTATATTTCCCTGAATTTTTTTAAACGTTTTTTTGTTAATGAGCAGAAATTTTGTTTTTTTTTTTAGTTTTTTTCTAGTCTAAGGAAAAAAGAAATTATATTCAGTTGTCATTATAATATCCGTGTTCAATGAAAAACAATTTTCCAATATGCAAAAATATTTCCGCAATAAAAGTATTGGTTTCCCATTTTTTTTTTTTTTATTCTAATTAGAGAGAGAGAGACCCAGGAATGGGGAGGGGGAGGATAGATAAGAAAAAATTATAAATTAACGTTAATTATTGATTTACCGCGGGGTAATCATCTCTTTTACGTTACGGAACGAGTTGAAGGTTAAGTTAAAAAAAGAAAGAAAAACGTTTTCATTTCAACCTTGAAGAACCAAAAAAAGAAAAAAGAGAGAAATACATAAAACAATAGAAAAAAAAAATTTATCGTGAGACTATTATTATTATTATTAATTATTATTAATTATTATTATTAATAATTATAATAAATTATAATTTTTTATGTAGCAGAATTATTTAAATAAAAAAAATAATTATAATAGAAAATTATTTTCATTATAATTATTTATAATTTTGATAAATAATAATAATAATATAGTTATAATAAAATAAATTAAATTTAGTTATTTTTTTACATGTAAAAAATTCACTGAATAAAAACTGAAATCGAGTGTAAAAATAAAGTTATTATCATTATTGTTTTAAGGCCATGTAAAAAATATCAAAAATAAAAATTAAAAAAGAATGTCAAAAAAATAGTATTATAATTAAATTAATTAATAAATTAAAATAATAGAATAGAATAAATAGAAACAATTGAATGTTTTTAATTAAAAATAAAGAGAAGAAGGAAAAAGACGATTAGTCAAATAAATTGAAAGCGATTTGAATCCATCAAATTAATTCAGGAAATTCAATGTCACAAACGTTTATTATGCTTGGAATATTAATTATTATTATTATCATGGCAATAAAAAAAAGAGAAATTTTCAATTGAAAATTTTGAATGAAACCCTTTTTATTAATATTTTAATAGTAGAAAAAAAAATAATTCAAATCAGAAAATTTTTTTTTAATATTTCAAGTTTATAGAAATTATTTAAAGATTCAAAAAAAATTCTCATTTCTTCTCGATACTGCGGGATCGTTGTGTAAATAAATAAATAAATACTATTTTTTTTCTTCCTTTTCTATGATTTCTATTTTATTAAATAATAATTAAAAATTTAATTTAATTTAATTAATAATTTTAATTTTAAAAAAATCGATTTTTAACGACAATTTGTCGAATATTTCTAAAATTAATTTTTGAAATAATTTCTATGTACAATAGAAATAACATGAAATAATTCTATTTATATTTATCAAAACTTTTTTAACATCAAAAATAATAAAAAAAAATTTCAAATCCACTTTTTGTGTGTGAATTTTCAATATGTGAAAAAAATATAAACTTCAAAAAACGAAAAATGAAAAAAAAATTGTATACAATATAAAATTCGCACCTTTTTTTTTTTTAGTGGACATTGAAAAATTCCAAATTGGCAGAATTTTTTTTTTTCCCATTTTGTTGTCCTCCACATATTTCAAAAATCATCAATATTCATTTGTGACAAAAATTCATCGTCATTGGGATCATTGAAAAAATTTCTCACCTCATCCCTTACGTTTTGTGTATTATCCTCAGATTCTTCCAGTTCATTATTTTTATTATTATCGACATTAATAACACTGAAAGCCAAAAGGAAAATCAAAACAAAGCAAAAAAACATTATTATTTATACATAATAAATATTTAATAAGAAATTTTATAGAATTTAATTTCTGCGGAAACTGAAATTTTTTTTTTTATTTATTTATAAACAAATTAATATATAATAATAATTATTATTGTATAAATTGTATAAATTTATTTATATAAATAAATAAATTTTATTTTTTTTGTTCAATTTTCAAAAATTATTCAAATTGAATCGAATTGAATTGAAAAAAAAAATAAATAAATTACCTTTCAATTTCCATGGCGTTGTTAATATTCAAAAATTCTGCATCAAATTCATCATCGGATTTAAGAAAATTGTCCAAATTTGAAATTTCTCGATTTATTATTGTTGCTTCAATATTTTTCTCCTCCAAATTATTGTCAACAATAATTTCTTCCGATTGTGTCAATTCATCGCTATGGCGAAATTGTTTTAATCGATTTTGCAAATTTGATGTATTTGGCGAATTTTTTTTTCTCTTTTTTTCAACAACATTTGTTTCACTATTTAATGTCGTGATTCTAAAAAAGAAAAAAAGAAAAAAATTTACGACTATTTTCCCACAAAATTTGTGAAAAAAATAATAATACTAAATAATATTTTAGCTTAAAAAAAAAGAAACTAAAATTAAAAAATAGAAAATTAAAAATGTTCGGTAAAAATAAAAATAAAAAAATTTATGAAAACAAAATAAAATTCTAAAGGTTTTCTTTTTTTGCTATAAAAAAATTTACCAAATGGTAAAAAGAAAAATACAAAATTATAAAGAAAAATAAATTAAAAATTTAGTTCGTTCATTACCTTTTTAAAGTCGTCAATTCCTCATTAATTGTTTCATCGTCAGAATCTAATAAATCATCAGCAAAATTTTTTCTTCTTTTTGAATTACTATCATTATTTTTATTATTATTCACATTTGTTTCTATTGCCTCTTGATTTTCACTATTACTTTGATTATTATAATTTGTAATATTCGATTGAGTGAAATTTTCCCTATGACGAAATTGTTTTAAATAATCATGTAATTTAGATGACGATGATGATTTTGATTTTTCATTAGATTCTTTTTCACAATTAGTATTTTCTCTTTCTAATTTTTTATCTTCCTCTCCACTTTTATCCTCATCAATTTGAATTTGACTACCAATTAATGTTGAACATGCAATATTTCTTGGCTCATTAAATGCGGAAATTTCATCTAAATTTAATTGCGATAATAATTCATTGTCCTCATCATTGTGAAGAATTTGCGTTGATAACATTGTTTCGCGTATGGAATTTTTTAATAATTTTTTCCTATCACCATTCGCATCAGTTTCTAAGAATTCTGTGTGAGAAAAAAAAAAGAACAAGAAAAAAAAAATTACAAAATGAATTTTAAAAAAAAAAAATAAAAATTTTATTTTTTCAAAAAAAATAAAAATTTTATTTTTTCTTTATTTGTTTGAAAATAAATAAATACAATTTTTATTAAATCAAATTAATTGTATTTACATTTGGCGAAATTTAAGTTTAATAAAAAAATTTTATTTAGCCGAATTTCAATTTAAAAAAAAAATTCAGTTTTAAACCAATTTTTATTAAATAGAATTTTCTTTTTACATAATTTTCTATTTAATCAAATTTATATTTAGCCGAATTTTTAATTATTCAAAAAATATTTTTATTAAACCAAATTTTTATTTCACACAATATTTATTTTTGGGGAAAAAAAATTTAGCATTAATAAAAAAAAATTTTATATTAAAATTTTCATTTAACAGAAATTCTGATTTGTAATATTAATTTAAATTTTTCATTTAACCGAATTTTTGATTAAATTAAATAAAAATTGCTCTGAATTTAAAATTTTGCTAAATTGTCATTCGTAAATAATAAAAAAAAATTTTGCGGAAAAGAAAATTCAATTTAATTGAAAATTATTTAAAAATTGAAAATTTTGATAAAATAAAATTTTAGTTAAATCGATAATCAGCTAAATAAAATTTCACTTAAATATCAGCTAAATGGAAATTCTATTTAATAGAAATTTCGCTAAATTGGAAATTTTTTTAAATAAAATTCTAGTTAAACATCAGCTAAATGAAAATTTTTTTTAAAAAGAAATTCTTCTACTAAAAAATTCCATTTAATGGAAATTTCGCTAAATTGGAAATTTTGCTGTATAAAATTTCAGTTAAATATCAGCTAAATGGAAATTTTAGTTTAATTATTTTGCTAGATAAAAATTCCATTTAATGGAAATTTAGCTAAATTGGAAATTTTGCTGCATAAAATTTCAGTTAAATATCAGCTAAATGAAAATTTTGTTTCAATAAAAGTTCCGCTAAATAAAAATTCCATTTAATGGAAATTTTTATAAATAAAATTTCAGTTAAATTTATAATCAGCAAAATAAAATTTCAGTTAAATTAATATTCAGCTAAATGGAAATTCCATTTAATAAAAATTTTATTAAATACAAAATTTAGCAAAATAAAAATACTTTTAAATAAAAATTCAGCTAAATAAAAATTCTGTTCAAATTAAAATGCTGCCAAATATAAATTCGATTTAATAAAAATTCCTTTTAATAGAAATTTAGCTAAATAAAAATACTTTTTAAACGAAAATTTATCTTAATACAAATTTGGTAAAATGGAAATTTCCTAAATATAAGGAAATTTTATTAAAAAAAAATTTTAAATAGAAATTTATTAAAATAAAAAGTCGGCTAAATGGAAATTTTGTTACAATGGGAAACTTTGCTAAATAAAAATTCTATTGAACTAAAATTCGGCTAAATGGAAATTTGATTTAATAAAAAATTTCTTTAAATACAAAATTTAGCAAAATAAAAATACTTTAAAATAAAAATTCTGTTGAATTAAAATTCGGCTAAATGGAAATTCCATTTAATTAAAAATTCTGCTTAATAGAAATTTATCTAAATAAAAATATTTTTTAAACAAAAATTTGGCTTAATACAAATTTGGTAAAATGAAAATTCCCTAAAAGAAGGAAATCACATTAAAAGAAATTTGTTTAAATAGAAATTTATCAAAATAAAAATTCGGCTAAATGGAAATTTCATTTCAATGGGAAAACCTGGTAAATAAAAATTCTGTTAATAAAAATAATAAAAATTCGGCTAAATGGAAATTCTATTTAGTAAAAATTTCTTTAAATACAAAATTTATTAAAATAAAAATTTAGCTTGAAATTTTCTTTCAATGGGAAACTCTGCTAAATAAAAATTCTGTTGAACTAAAATTCGGCTAAATGGAAATTCCATTTAATAAAAATTCAGAAAAATAAATTTTCTGATTAACTAAAATTCTGTTAATATTTGTTAAATTCAAAAAACATTTGTATAAAAAAATATAGAAAAAATTTAATTTTTCTAAACAAAAAAAACTCACTATTATTTCTTTCTTCTTCGGCTTCTTCTTCTTCTTCTTCTTCTTCTTCTTTTTCTTCGTCATTTTCATCATCGTTCGCCTGATTATTTTTATCATTATCATCATCATCAAGAATATAATTCGTCTCATCAAAATTATTCCCCCCCTTCTCTTGTGATTCAATTATTTTCTCCATTAATTTTGTCGTGACAATTCTTTCTTTTTCATTATAAATTGCAACAATATCACGCCAATGTATAAATGCAATAATATAAAATTTTGTCCTCTCAATTGTCACATCATTTAATAATAAAACAGAACCAACTTCAATTGAATTTGGATATTTAAAAAATATATCACGATGTATACTAGCGTCAATTTCATCGCTTGAATCTTTTAATATTATCATTGGATTAATAATTGTATTTGAATCCATTTGATGTATGAGTGCGGCAAAAAATTTTGTTCTCTTCATTTTGTATTCCCCTTTTTTTGCATTATGTTTAATTGTATGTAAATCTTGATTGGAAAAAAAATTCACAGGCAAATCATCAATCATCATTTGCCATGCTCCACTTGTAAAACGATTTTTTGTATTTTGTGAACAAAAATTTGATATTCTTGTTTCATTTAATTTTTCAATTGTTTCATTTTCTTCAAATGATGATAAATATGCCATTGGCATATTTGAAAAATCAATATTTTCCGGTAATAATCCCGCTGGTCCTGGAAAACGTCGACTTATTACTTGTTTTGATTTGGAATTATTTTTTGAATCATTACAATAACGGGAATTATTTGATTTTTTTTCCATAGCCATTTGTAATGTAATTTGTTTATAATTTTTATTTTTTTTTAATTTTTCATTATCATTATTTTCATTTTCATCATCAATAAAACTCACTTGTCTTTGTATTTTTTTCAAATTATTATTGTCATTAATTTTTGTTGTAATTTTTTTTTCATCTCTTTTTAAAATACTATTTATTAAATTATCACGATTTGATTGTTTTTTTCCCATATTTTCATTATTTACATTCAATATTGATGATTTGGAAATTATTTCTCTATTTGTACGATTTAAAATATTTTTTATTAAATTTTCACGATTATTAATGGATTTTTGAGGGGAAAATTCATTTTTTTGATTATCACTAAAATTTACATGATTTTTTTTTTGATTCTCAATAATTGAAAGAATTTCTCGATTTTCTGACGAATCGCCATTTTCCAATGAATTGTGAGGGGAAATATTTAATTCTTTTGATTTTTCCCGATTTTCCAATGAATTGCGAGGGGAAAAATTTAATTCTCGCAAATTTTCACAATTTTCCGCTAAATCACGTGGGGAAAAATTTAATTCCTGAGAATTTTCCAATGAATTAGAAATAGAAAAATTTAATTCACGATTTTCCGATGAGTCGTGAGATGAAAAATTTAATGGAGAAATTTCTGTTGTTGTTGTGGATTTTTCATTTGGAAAATTTGTCACTTTTTTACGACAAATTTGCAATAATTTTGTGAGACGTGAATTATTTTTATCATTATTCATTAATTGTTGTTCATTATCATCATCATTTTCAATTGAACGTAATGAAATTAAATAATTTTCTTCTTCTTTCGATGATGGTGATGATGTTGATGATAATGAATTATTAATATTATTATTTTTTGTTGCATTAAATGCAAATGATAATTGTAAATTTTCATCAGGTGGAATAAAATCGTCGAGAAAATCCTAAAAAAAAATTATTTCACGAAAAATTGAAAGAAGACAAATTTAAAAAATAATTCAAATATTAATATTTAATATTCAATAATAATAATAATAATAATAATAATAATAATAATAATAATAATACCTAATAATATAAATATTAATAAAATAGTTAATATTTAATTTTGTATTTTATTTGAAAAATTAAAGTCGAAAAAATAAAAAATAAAAGTTTATAATAATAACAATAATACTAATAATACTAATAATAATAAATAAATAAATAACAAAAAAATAGAAAGAAATAATAATAATAATACCTAATAATAATTTTTTCCTTTTTTACGAAATCGTAATTTTTTGAGGTTATTTTTTTTTAACACGCGCAATTTTTTGCAAATTTGTTTCTTAATAAAAAACAAAATTTTTCTATTTATTTATATTATCATAAAATTGTAATCTATGTGTAAAAAAAATTGTATATCTCTGCCCTAATTCAATTGTTCCATTTATAATTTTTTTAAGGTTATGTTCGTTACAATTTCTATACTTTATGATATTTATTTTTTTCGTTTTGCTTAATAATAATAATAATAATAATAATAATAATAATAAAAAAGAAATATTACTACATTTAAAATAATAAATAGACAAAGTACTGAAAAATAGATTTAGAAAAAAGAAATTACGAAATTGAATACAAAAAAATTATAATAAATATATATATGAATTTACCTCGGCAATATTCCAAACGTCATCTGGATCCATTTTTTTAAAACACTAATTAATCTGTGAATATTGATGAATAACGCTGTTTTTATATACAATTAATTAATTAATTACTAATAAACTTTACAAAATTGAAAACATTGCAAGCATAGACATTCACTACGCGCGAAAAACTTTTATTTGTTTACACTCGTCAATTAAAGCTAGGTTACAAAATGTCGTTGACCAATAAGATTGCAGCTGTATTAATTTGTCCAAAGGAGGTAATTTTTCATTCGTTAATGTAAATTATCAGTCAACGATGGATGGACAGAAGAACAACCAATAGTGTTGCTGAAAAATTAATTATTATTATTATTTGTCCAAAACGAAAAATTTCATTGATCGACAAATAATTATTCAAAAAATGCGGGAAGATTTAAAATTCAAAAGTATGAAAAATTAAATTTAAATTTTTATTAAATCGAAATTGTTGAAATAAAAATGGAAAAATAAAAATACTTCTATGTAAATAATAATAATAATAATAATACTTGTAAAATTTTGAAATTTATTTTATTTATTTATTCAAATTTCGTTTAATTTAAAAAGAAAAATTTCCCTTTTTGCCCTTCATTTTGAAAATAAAAAAAAATTCTAAAACATTTTCTTCTTTTTTAATTTGTCAATTCTTTTTTCTTCACAAAATAAAGTTGATAAAATGTCAAATAAAATTGTGGAATTATAAATAATGCAAAACCAGCGGTAAAATTATTTAAATTTCTTGGATTGCCAATTGGTAATGACTTGAAAATAAATCAAAAAAAAAAAAAATTAATTTTTAAATACAAAAAAATAAAAATTTTAATTATTTAATTAAAAAAATAGTTTTTAAATGCAAAACAAATTATTTAATTTTTTTTTAATACAAAAAAAAATAACTTAATATTTAGTAACAAAAATAAATTACTTAATTTTTTAATTAAAGAAAATTTTGAAATACAAAAAAATTATTGTATTTTTTTTTTAAATTTTTAACAAAAAAAACAACAACTTACTTCTAACCAACGACGATCAACATTTGGCTGATTTATTTCCCCATAATTTCTCACAACTATTCTCGAAATATGAGATTGAATAAATTTTCTCCCTGTTAAAATTCTCATCATTTTTTTTGGGGGGCTATGAGATGAAAAAAAAATCTATGAGAAAAAAAATAAAGTAAACTACTTTTTTTTGTCACTTGAAAATTTTTTTACAAAAAAAAACAAATGAATCATTTTTTTTTTAGAAAAAAAATTTTATTCTACATTTATCGTCCTTTTTTTTATAATTTACGATATATTTTTCTACAATTTATTGTACGTCTTAAAGTCTAAATTTTTTTTTTCTTAAATAAAATACAATCATCATTATCATTATAAATATACAGAATTTTCAAATTCTGTACAAAATTATTGTGAATTAATGTTTATCCTTCTTTTAATTTTTATTTTCTTTACTAAACCAATAATAATAAAAATAATAATAATTGTTATCACTTTGTTTAAAATTTAATTTATACGAAAAAAATTCTAAATTAATTTAATATTAAGATCCGCCATTTCTTTTTTTCTTTTTACACCACATGCTCTTATTCAATCTCATTATTATTTGTACATAAAAAAAAAATAAAGAAAAAAAAAAGAAATTCTATATTTACAGTTTTTTTTTTCTTGACGGATCTGTGAATTTTTTTTTTTTTTTTTTATAATGGAAAATTAAAAACGAGAAACATTACATTTTCTAAAATGTACAGTCATTACTGAAAAAAAAAAATATTGATTTGAAAAAAGAAAAAATCCAATTAATGACAAAACATACAAATATAAATATATTTTTATATTATATATGGAAAATTCATTAATTTCATCAAAAAAATTCAGTTGTTGCCGATTAATCAATTAATTATTATAAATAGAATAATAAAATTTATACAAGAATTATGAGAGGGGGAAAAAAATAAATTTTTTTTTTCTCCCACAAAATAAATAGAAAAAGTAGAAAAAGACAAAAATTCCGATAAATTTCCCAAAAAGAAAATGAAAATCAACTTTTTTTTCTTTCATTTAAAATAATTTTTCTCACTTAAAACAAATTTTTTTTCAAAAAGAAAAAAAGGTTTTCCTTCAAAAAAAAAAAATAAAATGTATGACAAAATCCAAATTTGGACTTTTTTTTTATTATTTTTCTTTTTAATTTTCTCTTTCGTTTTTAATTTAAAATATAAGGGAAATAATTTTTATGCAAAAAATTTTATATTATTTAGTAATTATTTTTTTTTTTTTTAAATTAATTATTTTTGTAATTTCTTTAATAATTATTTATTTAAATAACTTTCATTTTATTTATTTAAATTAAGTGAAAAAAAGGAAGGAAAAATTTTCTTTAAACTATTTCTTTTACCTTTTTACATTCAAAATAATTTCCTTCATTTTTTTTTTGTTTTTCGAAAGATTATTCCAGAAAAAAAATTTTTATTTTCCACCTAAAAAAAAGGGGGAAATTTTTTTTCTTCAAAAATTGAAAGAATCCAAAAAAAGGGGGAGAAATATTAGCAAAAAAACGAAGAGAAGAAAATATCTTTTTTTTTGAGAATTTTACCGGAATTATTGAAGAATTGTGTTTTTTTTTTTTTTTTTTTGTCATTTTTGGAAAAATAATTTACAACCATGGATGCCATGATGGATCCATTCGACACAAATTATCATGACTATTTGCAGCGGCAACAAGTGTACTAACTTTACTATCGGTACCATCAAAATTAGCCAATGAATTCAGTCTTGATATAATTGCCGTCACTGCTCGTGTTACCATTGTTATTAAAAGTTCACCCTTCATATCGGTTGGCGTTTGTTGTAATGTTGCATTCTCTGGATCGTCTTGTTTTTTATTATGATCAGCAATCACTTCGTCACGCAAAATTGCCCTTAAAATTGCATGCACCTTGAATGATGGTTGAACAAGACAACGTGCCGTTGCTATTGCACACGCCGTCAATGGACCTGAAACGCCTTTTTCCGGGCAAGAAAAAAAAAAAAAAATTAATTCCACTTCCCTTATTCAGCAAAAAAATTAAAATTTATTCCATTTCCTTATTTTTTTTTCCAAAAATTATAAGAGACAAAAATTTACCTGTATTTGTCAAAAATTCCAAAATATTTGGCGTCAATCTAAATGGAACCGGTCGATTTGCATCCAATTCGCCAGATGTATCGTCAACGTCAAATTTAAAGTAGGCAACGTTAATTAAACCCGAGTCCTGATGAACGTACATCATATCTGGATTGAGTCGAGTCAGATGCAAAACATATTCCGCAAAGCAAGCCAAAGAAAGTTGTAGTGTAAACTAAAATAGAAAAAAAAATAAATAAATAAAAAATTTTCCGCAAATGTAAAATTTGCAAATATAAAATGAAAATTACCATTTTTCTAAATGTCCAATAATCAGTGGCTGCTGGAAATGTTTTTAGGGCCCAATCTCTGAGCAATGTTCTTGGTACCATTGTTGTTTGTACCTCACGAAGAATATCGCGTAACACCTGATGACTCGCTTGTGTTCCACGTGCCTGAACAGTTGCTAATCTTTCATAATACCGTGCAATTGGAGCATCATGTTCAATACTCATTTTTGTACAACCCTGTTTATAAATATCAAGCAAAGAAACTGAAGCTGGATTATCCTCAACGAGACGCATTTGCGGTGAAACAGCAACAACTCGAGGTACAGTAAAATGTAAAAATCGTCTTGATGTTTCCTTTTGTCGAGTTAAATAATGATTTAACATTCTTAATAATTGTAGAACCCTTTCCTCTCGTCTAGCATCACCTAAACCAGCATCATTAACAACCAAATATGGATAAAGTCTTCCATTGTGTCCCCGAATCCTTAAACGTCTTGCCGCTGTATTATGTCGTTGAACCACTTCAACTCGAGGCATAAATCTCGCAATTCTCACATAATAATGCGAATGTTTCGGTAGTAAAAATTCTCCAGGCAATTCTACTTCCGCTGTTTTTAAACTAAAATTACTCAAAAATCTACATTTCTCCTCAATAAGAAATGATTTTGGCAATAATTTTGTTTTCGCCTCTAAAATTTTAATCCATTTCTTCAATTTATTGATAAGATTATGCAAAAGCCTTGCACCCGGTACAGTAAAATCAAAATCACTTGTAAATTGTCCCTTCATTCGTTGAAATACAGGATCCTGAACTGTCGCCTGTGCTCGTCGTGCCAATGATTCTGAAGCCGCTGATCCAAAGCTATTATTCACATTTTGCGATGATGAAATATTTTCAATACCAATACCAAATGTCGATACAAGTTTTTTAACAAAATTCAATGTATGCGGTGTTATTGTTGCCTCACTAACTGCTCCACGATTTTCAAATGCAATTGCATAACATTTTGCTAAACCCTGTCTCAATTGTCGTAAAACCTCCTCGTACCAAGTTTCACGAAACCATACCATTTGATCAACAATACCCTCTAAACTTGATAAAATTGTTGGATGAATATCACGCTGCATGTGCATAATTTTAGAACAACGCCACATTGGTGGTGTTGCTCTAATAGGTCCTGTTTCCGGTGCTCCCTGCTGTACTCGATTTTCCTCTTGTACTTTTAATTCAGCACTTTTATAACGTTCCCTTTGTTCAATTTTTAAAGTAAGATACAATGTTCTTATTGAAAAATAAACAGCCTGTGGAAACATTCGACCAACTTGGCTCAACAAATTTAAAATCACATTTCCCTCATGACGAACGAGGCACATCAATAGTTGCGGAATCCATGGTAACCATTGAATTGGAGGTACACCAACTGCATATTTATCAACAGCCTCCATTAATGATGATTTATCATCATCATAGGTAAGTAACCAAAGTACTTTAGCTAAATTTTTTCTCGATTTTGATTCATTTTGATGACGACTTGCGTGTAAAAAGCAAGTGATTGCCGATACTCCAATTTGTATTTGTCTCGCGTCCCTAGTGAATATATGCTCCAAATAATCCCCCCATAAAGCCCATGCTTTTATCGAAGTATCCGATAATTGTACCGCAGCCGAGAATGCCTTATTAGCATCGTCCGATCGTCCCAATTGTGCCAATAGCATCCCTTTTAGGGAATAGAATTCCGCAGTCATTTCTTTAGTAAAATATTTCAAATTCGTCGACTCTATCACTTCCAATCCCTCTTGTAATTCATTCTTTCCCGTTATTGACGCCATTTGCAAATAACACTTCACCTGCTGTCTTATCTTTTGAAAACAATCCACAATCGGCACACTTGGAATTGTATAAATCCGAGAAAGTGAATCCAAACAAACACCACATAAATTATGCTTTCTTGCAATTTTACCAAAATGAATTATAGCCTGCGCGGAAGCATGTACACCCAACATTGAATGATTTGTCGTTTGTTCTGGTTGTGAATCATAATGATTCGATACAAATGTATAATGATGTTGACGCCACGTAAATATATCCGACCAATGACTTAAATCATCAGCAATTACTGGTAAACGATTCCTCCAAGTTTTAACAATAGCCTTCATATCGTGCACCGAATTACTACGTCCATGAATCAAACCCTGATGAATTTGCATCGCTTCCTGTAGTTCCATAATCTGTTGAGCTGCTTGCAATAGCGGCAAATGTATATGACTAACGATATGTGGAAGTCTTCTCCATTCTCGCATACACAAACCAGATGCTAATTCCACGTATCGTTCAACAGCCGAGAGATGCTGATCGTCATTGTGGCAAATAACCAAAAAACCCCTATACAAATTAACCTTCCAAGCCATTTCCTTGGGGCAATTCTGTTCCACTTGAGCCAACGCCTCCTTCATTAGCGGCCAATTAGGAATACGCCAAGAACTCTCGAGGATTAAAAAAGGATTTTTTTCCGTCTTTCTTGTACCGTATTCCAACAATAAATCCCATTGATTCAATTCCTTAGCGCAGCGTATCCAACGTTGTTCCCAAAGTATCGCCTCTCGTTGAATTTTAAACGGAGCTGGTGTTGTGACAAAATCTTGTTTAAATTTCGTCATTGCAAGATCGTAGGCACCTTGTGCTTGTTCAAAAAATCCCTGTTGCTCCAAAGCGGTAGCCTGTAGAGTCTCTTTGTAATGAGCATGCTTTTGCCATAAACCCGACCACATATCTTCTTCGCAAAGCAAAGAATACATATCCGAAAGGGAATCCAAAATCTCCGTATGTGGACTATTATCCGGTTCAAAGTCATAACAATCCGCCTCTCTTTTAATTTTAAACTGATTATTACCATTGTCAAATGCCATTTGTTCCAAACTCAATGTCATTCTGTGCCAAAGATTGTGGGATTTTCCCAAATACTTCATAACTGCGGGTCTCATCGGCACCGGGGGATTGCAATGCGCTAGAGCCTCGACAAAAGTCGCTATTGCTGAGGGATGACAATCTTTTTGAATAACATGAGTACCACTACAGATAAATGGTACCATTTCCGCAATCAGAGTGTTTTGTTGATGCTCATCTAAAATCGCCCACAATCGTGGAAAACAGTCCAACCAAATCGCTTCCGCCAAATTTGTATCCATATGACACAATTGTGCCGCCGCGTTCAATAATTCCTCGGTCCGTATTTTTTTCGCATTCTCCAAAAATTCACCCTGCTTCGCTATCAATTGCACCAATGTCGATTTACGACTTTCAATCTCCTCAGCCACTGGATCCACATTTGATAAATCCAAATCCATCAACTCATCCTTCACATCCTCATTCATCTCCATTGGTTCCTCCTTAACCGAACTGTACATCAAAAAATTCTTCTGCTCCTCACCATCTGACATATTTATCAATGCCGTTGCACTTGGCAGCAATATATCCTGATTTGACATTTGTATATGAGTGGTACTATTCGCTGTCACTATCAACAATTCAATACACTGTTTTATCCAATAATGCGGACCCATTGCATCCCAACTTTGACTACAAATTATATACAATAATCGATCATGTAAACGCCTCTTCATCGATCCGTCAAATACTTCAAAAAATTTCGCTCTAATATGCGGCTGTATACAACGCAATCCACACAAAAATGCCGGCTCCAACTTCGATGTCAATTCACTTGATTTCAATGTATCGTCCCTATAAACAAAATTAACCAACTCCAAAAATTGACCATTCAATTCTAAATCGTCCGGAAAACGTTTCTCAACATACTGCATCATTTTAACCAACAATATTGATTTCTCCCTTAAACTCGGTGTCTGATTCATTGCTATTGGATTTTTATTCTTCATCCATTCTTCCAGCATTTTTGTTATTGCTTTCATTACTTTGATGTCTTGGGTTTTTTCAATAAGTCCCACGAGAATTGAACCGATGAATGATTTTCGCATTTCGACACCCATTACTCCTACACGATTTTTAACGAGGTCGAGACTTAGTATCAAAAGTTCGCTACCAATTTGATTTGTCTCAGTTGGTGTTGGATGAAGATGATCCTTAGCCATACGATGCAATACTTTCATAAATGGTGTAATTAATCTATCAATGTAATTTTGATTATTCGTACAAGCGGCTTTTAACATCATTAGAGTACCAAACAGAGAACTAGGAGTTGCTGTTGCATTTTTATCATAGGTGTTCAAACCATCAGCAACAAATTTACCAACAGTACTGTAAAGTGTATCAAGTTCTTCATATTTACTAGCAACTGTCGAAGCAGTTGGTTCTGTGGGAAATATTGTCATTAAACGTGACAATAAACCATGCACCAATCTTATTACTTTTGTATTTGTACTTCCAATACAAGCACCCAATCCCCTTTGCAGTGGTTTAAAACCCGATAAAACTTGTTCCCGCTTCATAACACCCAATAAAAATGTCAATAATTCCAGAGCTGTACAAATATTACCAAAATTTGGTTGTGAATTATCAACACTTGCAAATACTTTATCCAACCAAGCTAATTTTAAATCACACGATTGGGGCCAAACATCGGGTTTTAGGGCCATTTTCAATAAATTAACACAACGTCTCGATAATTGTTCTCCGGGATTTCCTTGTGTTGTTGTCGTTGTCATATCGTTAACCTGACACGCTAGACGTAGGAGAAAATTAAGTATCGCGTCCGCGTGTGCACGTTCAATTGGTTTTGTTGAGCCTGGTTCCATTTTTGGTTGAACTGTTGGTATTGGTGAATTAACACCCTGTGCCAAACGTTTTGATACACTCGCTGCATCGTCTATTGATAAACGTTTCATTGGTACAATCATTGTTCCTGTACCACCGGTTTCTTGATTTTCTGCCTCATCTTTAATTCTATGTAATTCCCATTTTATTATTACTTCCGCGAGTTCAACCGCTAGACGACGATGTTCAATTGATGCGGTGGGACTGAATCCAAGACGTTGAATTGAATTCACCATGTGTTGGAGCAAATGATGACGAACGGGATAGTAAACCTAGTGGGGGAAAGAAATTTCGATTTTTTAAAATTAGGGTTTTTTTTTAAAGGTTTTGATGGATTCAAAAGGGGAAAATTTTTAGTAAAATATAGGAATTTAGAGCTAGAAATAATCAAAATTAACAAGATTCAAAAATCCTTCAAGTTTCTCTAAAACGCTCGGTCACCAAAAATCGAGAATAGCTTTAATTGTCTCTGAATCTGGTTTTAAACCGTTTGACGATCAAATAAATTCTAAAAATGTTAATTCCGGATTAAAAATTAGGAAATTTAGGGCTTTTAACAATAAAAATTAACGCGAATCAAAAATCACCGAAGTTCGACTAAAACCCTCGGTCACCGAATATCAGTAATAGCTTTAAATGTCTCCAAATATGGTTTTAAACCGTTCGATGATCAAATAAATTCTAAAAAAGGTTAATTCCGGATTAAAAATTTATGGGCTTCCAATTATAAAAATTACCGCGATTCCAAAATCCTCCAAGTTCGGCTTTCAATTGTAAAAATTAACGAAAATTTAAACAATTCAAAGTTCCTCTAAATCCCTCGGTCTCCGAATCTGGTTTTAAATCATTTTAACTATCAAATAAATTCTAAAAACGTTAATTCCGGATTAAAAAATAAGAAATATAGTGCTTCCAATAATAAAAATTTTCTCTAATCAAAAATCCCGTAAGTTTCATTAAATTCGTCGGTCGTGGAAAATCATGAATAGCTTGAATTGTCTCCGAATCTGATTTTGAACCATTTTACTATCAAATGCATTCTAAAAACGTTAATTCTAGATTACAAAAATGAGAAATTTAGGGTTTCCAATTGTAAAAATTAACGAAAATCCAAAAACTCCGAAGTTCCTCTAAATCCCTCGGTAGCGGAAAATTATGAATAGCTTTAATTGAGGGGCTGATAGTAAAAATGGTTTAAAATAACATTGGGAGCAAAAGTGGGATAAGTGACTTGGGAGCAAAAACGGGTTAAAATGATTCGTGTAATTTATTGATAAATTCATTATATTATCGACTAAAAAATATTAACAATAGGAAAAAATGCATATTTTATTATAATTAATATTTTTTAATCGATAATATAATGAATTTATCAATAAATTATACGAATCATTTTAACCCGTTTTTGCTCCCAAGTCACTTATCCCACTTTTGCTCCCAATGTTATTTTAAATCATTTTTACTATCAGCCTCTCAATTGTCTCCGAATCTGGTTTTAAGCCATTTGATCAGTTAATAAATTCTAAAATCGTTAATTCCAGATTTAAAAATAATAAATTTAGAGTTTACAATTACAAAAATTAACGCAATTCGAAAATACTCCAAGGTCCTCTAAAATTCTCGGTCACCAAAAATCAAGAATAGCTTTAATTGTCTCCGAATCTGGTTTTAATATCATCTACCAATAAAATAGATTCCAAAAATTTTTTTCTAATAAACATCACATACCTTATAGTGTCGCACAACAAGTTGCAGTATATGAAACAGCTGCTGCATCGAATGTCCCTCCTCAACAATAATCTTCTTCGTCCAATGTGTCAGCATTGTATTCCCATCATCCATTCTCACTGGCATTGCCGGTGTTAATATTTCAAGTGCCTGCCTCACAACATTTCTCGCCTCAACAGCGTGTGCCTTCAATAAACTATGAAACACTTGCAATACAATTTTCTTATGAATTCCAAATTTCGCAATAATATGACTCAACAATAAATGACCATGATAACGCGTCGCTGGATCAACACAATTTTTTCCCAATAAACATGGCCATGCAAATGTCATTAATCTACGTAATTTATTTCCCTGTCGTTTATTTGCCTCATCATGTATATGTTGCGATGCTTGTTCAACCAATAAACATGAGAATTGTAGCAAAGAAATTCTCACACAATCAGCTGAACCAAATGGTTTAACTGGATCAATTATTTTTGTTATAAATGCCGAGACAACATTACTTGGAATATCTTGATATGGCATTGGTGCACCACCAACTAATTTTAAACCTTCACCACGTTCAAAACTTGTTGCAAAACATGGTATTATGATAAATTGCATTACTTTTGCCTTCAATTCCTGTGACATATTGTCAGTTGGAAAATGTTCAACAAAACGAAAGAATGCCTCTCTTTTCCATTCAACTGTATAGTCTTGTGCTACAGTATTTTCAAGAAAATCACGAAGAAATTGAAAATCAGGTATAAATCTTTCACAAAATGCACGTAGAAGTTGAAACAAAAGATCAATATCATTTGGATCATGTTTGAAGTAATGAAGAAGAATTTTTACAACTAATTTTGGTTCCTTCCAATGACAAAAATCAACACTGTCAACTTTTTTATGTAGTAATTGATAATCATCGTTACACCAAATTTGTTTCATTGCGGCGACCAATTGTTTTTGTGTTGGTAACCATTGTTCATCGAATTTTATCAAAATTGACACAATTCTAATAGCTTGATGTTGTAATTCACTTTTTTCGTTATTACTCAATGTTGTAATAATTTGCGACTGGGCTAAAAGCATTGTTATTAGACGATTTGTACTTCCATGAAGTACATCTCTAAATGGTTTACCCTCCTTGTGCTTGAGCAAAAATTCCAGAAATCTACTCCACTGTTGATCTTTGATATTATTATCCTGTAGAAATAGATTTAGTGTCTCCGTTGGATAGCGTAGTAAAAATCTCATTAACGGCACTCTAAATGGACTGGACGCTTCAACAAGTAGTGATTTCTCCGTTTGTAGAACAAGCCTGCACAAAACGTCAATAAATTTTGGTGTTGCCGCCGGTATTTGATGAAATATTCCAATAATTGTTGCAATTTTCTGTTCATTTTCACCCGATTTTGAAACACCCTTGTGCGCCTGTATTAAATTTTCCAAAAGTTTTTTCAAATGTTGTAAAAGTTGTTCACAAAGTGTTATACTAAATGTACTGGGAAATAATTGTGTTAGATAAGAAAGACGTTTGGCGCAATTTAAACTTAAATTTCGATGATCACCAAGGGTGAGAAGCATTGGTCGCATAATAGAATGAACCAATTCCATGTCAATTTGAAAACCAGCGATGAATTTTTGCATACATTCAAAAGCGGCGGCTTGAAGTTCTGCATTTGGTTTTTCCAATGCCTTGTAGAGGATGGAGAATATTTTTTCCCTATAGGCGCTGATGTAATGACAAGCGGCGAGGGCTCGTAAAGCAGACTTTTTTAAGGGGATAAAATTGGTCACCGATTTGTAGCAGGGAAGTTTAGAGAGTATTGTATCCTCGGCTTCGCTGAGATTATGAAGCTCCTGAAAGAAGACTTGATGTTCCCTAATGTTGAGATCAATGGTAAATAATCGAGGATTAAGTGTCGTGCAGAATGTGTTACCATCCATGAGACCGATTTGGGCATTTGCTGGTTGATGTCTGAGTAGGTGCTTTTTTGGTGGAATCATGTCGGCAAGGACTTCTTTGTGTGGTTCCATTACTTCGGTGACGGTTTTATTTTGTACATCCGCTAGGAGACGAAGAGAAGACATGGCTTGTTCCCTAACAAGAGTGTGGGGTGACGTGACTTGACGTACCAATTCGTGTGTTACTTCATAGAGACTTTTATTTTGTGCCTCCTTGAGTTCTTTGTTCAGCTCTTGAATATCCGGATTTACACAAACTCGAAGCATTTTTTCCAGATTTGCCTTTGCCATATCGATTGCTCCATTCGAGACTTCGCCGGTTAGATCCATCATAACGAACATGAGGGCTTTGAGAAAGATGAATAGATGATTTAAAACCCATTTGGTGGCCATACGTTCAAAGAGGAATTTAATGGCGATGCATCCTCCGAGTTTTGCGTACCAAGCACGTTCGTAGCAGAGGGAACACATTCTTTCGGCTAGGTATTCCATGAAAGGTAATTGACAGGCTCGTTCCTTAGAACCCAGAATGTTGGTCGCCGTTTCTAGTATTAGGATCAAAGCTAGATGACCGGGTTTACAAAGTTCCTTTTCCTCATGTCCCATTATGACCGCCAATGCATCGATCAGAACCAAAGGATCCTGTCCATGCATTCTTGCCTGCCGACCAGTAACTGCGAAAGGTCCCGCCTGTTGGGCAATAGCAATCATTGTGTAGTGCCTAACATACGAAACCATTGTCCCAAGAACCGATTGTCTTAATTCCTTAATAGCTGCCGCAACAAATAAACCCGTCAAAGCTGTCTGTTGAACATTTCTAGCTACCGCGTCACCGATTTTATAAAATGGACCCTGCTGATGTGGTATGTCTCCTTCCTTAAAACTCGGATGCATAAATAATTTATACAACGTTGTTTTGTCATCATCCAATCGTAGTGAAGCCGCCAAATAACAATTAATCACCTCCCAACACTGTTTACGATAAAACGAATCAGTTGTATTTAATTTTAAAGCTGTGAAAGCTGTCTCAATTACACGTTCGACAGGAAAATCAATAGGTTTCGATGGCTCTTGAAAATAGGCGACAACTGTCGGTGAATTTGTGTCACGATCATTGTACTCTAATTTTTGGGGTTCTATCATCATTTTTCGATTACCACCGCCAAATTTGCCGAGAACACGAAAAGCAACGTGTGCTACTTGATCGGTGGGATTACGTAGTGTTCTCCACAATGCCTGCATTAGATCAGCACGAACTGGTTGAATGTGTTCGTAGAGAAAATCCGGTTGTAAATTATCAACACACAATTCCAGGGTTCTTAAACCTTGACTCACTAAAGTATGACTTCCATTTAATGCCGAAACTAAAGGATCCATTAACATTGGTAAATACGGAAGGAGGGAACTCAAACGAACTGGCACCGTGAGACAAAGTTCAACGAATAAATCCTTCATATGCTGTTTATGTAAACCCGATTGAAGTCTATTGAGACTCTCCAATAAATTTGGAAGCAGGGGAAGAAATTCCTGATAAAGAAGATCGTGTGATCCACCGCCAATTGAACGGAAAAGTGCACGAAGAAGGAGAAAATAATTATATGGTTCCTTGGCTGACATTGCAAGTTCCATGGATCGATTGACAATTTGATGAAGATGTGGACGTAGCATGTGTTCATTCTCCGCTGGAAATAGAGAAACACTACCAAAGACAAGTTTAAATAGTCGTAGATACAAATTACTACGTTCGACATTCGAACCCATATCGTTCATTCGTTCAAGTAGATATTCCACAAGTACAGTTGCAAAAATAGGCGATGTTGTTGGATTTGCTAAAAATGAATTACCCACAACTTGTAGGGCACTATTTTTAAATATTCTCTCCACCATATAATCAATTGTCGTTGAAAATATTTCTTGAAATGTTTGTGGATTCATCATTGAAAATACACCGCTAAAATGTTCGAGAACTTCCTTTTCCTCCTTGGAGCGAACTGTTTGTGTTTGTGCAACTCTTGCTGGTTGGGCAATTGCTCCAACACCTGGTGGACCAATCATGTAGATATCTAATGCCTGAAGAGCCCATTTCACTAAACGAATAAAGACTAAAGTTTCTTTTGGTTGAAATTGTTTTGGTTGAACTGCTTCTATCGATTTACAATTAGCACAACCCCATGTGATAGTTTTTACTCCACAGACCAAAGTTTTAACGAGACTTCTATAGTCGGCGACATTATAGTTTGCTACTTGTGACGCTGGGAAGCCAAATTTCGACTTTCCACAATCTCTATCGTCTTGAAAATCAGGTTTAACATCTTCGATTTTAACTTCCAGTGTTGTCGCCGTTTTTGCTTTATTCAACAAAACGGGCATTTGTAATTTGGTGATGATTTTAAATTTCAGAACAAATACCTCGAGCATACGCATTAGAAGTTCTCGGCCTTGGATACTGTTCTCCAAATCGGAACGATGAGTAATACATTCGACGAGATTTAACAGTAATTTACAGGACATGGTTTGAATCGTTGTTGGGAGACTTTGATCGTGAACGTTTTTACTGAAAAGATGAACAGCCCTAGCAAGATCGGATAGTGGAAGTTGTTTACGAACATGATGGACTAAATCGGCAAGAGTTGAGTAAGCCAAAGGCCTTAGGGATTCGTGTGTTGTCCAACCGGAACCAAGAAGAATTTCCTCATTAAAAAGATGTTCCATGTGAGGAATGAATTTTGTTTTTAAATCCGTGGCAAGAATATGCCTCGTTGCGATAAGAAGTTCTTTTCTTAAATGTGCCACTTCCATTGGACAAAGTGTTAACAGACCAAGCATTCCTTGAACCATCATTGTACTGTGTTGTGAAACAACATCCTGATAAATTCTAATAATATAAGCAAGAAACGAAAGGGTTTTTATTTGTGCTCCCATAAAATCGACAAATACCTCTTTATTAAAACCCGGTGATGCTCGATGTTGGGGACTCGGTTGTAAAGTTATTGTTGTCATAATCAGGGGAATAAAATCCGACACATCTTGATGTACATTGAGCTTGTAAATTTGATACATTAATACAACAATAATTGGTAATTCCTGAAGAACTTTTAATGATAGTACAGCTTTTGGTATTAGATTATAAGTAACCGGTGTACCGTCAGGTCCTTTTTTCTCACTTTGTATCACAGTTATTGTAAATGTCTCCTTTAACAAAGCTTCAATATTAATTTCCGATAAATCATTAACTTTAAGCGGTGGTCGTGGTTCAAATATTTTTGGTAAATTCTCCGGTAATTCACTGTAAATTGATTTGACAAATTGAAGAAAATGTTGTATATCAGGATTAAACGTTGGCCTATATTGTTTATGTAATTCAATGATAATACGCAAACAAACAAGAATATTTTCTTCATTTTCAGTTTCAAGAAGTTTTAATACTAAACTAAGAATTTGTTTCACATATGGACGAAGGCACTCATTTGTTGGTAAACGATGAATCATTTCAAGTATTAATTTACGTACTTGTTGTATATTATATTCAGAGATAAAATGTGGTTCACCTTCTTGAAGAATTTTTAAAAAAATTTTCATCATATGATCGAGAAATGCTGGATATTGTGAGGAGCACATAATAACTTCAAAATTTTCCGATAGTTCTTGTGCGGCTTTTAATTTTAATTCATCCTTGGAATTTGGATCACCTAACATAGTCACATAGGACCTGTAGGTATTCATTTGGGCCACTGGCTCTGGCGGCGCCATTTTTCCCGTTGATTCCGATGATTTGCCGGTTAATCTCGATCTAGAATTATTTGAAATTTTTTTTTTAATGTTAAAACAATAATGCTGTGATCTACCTTATCCATAATCGATAATTTCTTAATCTACTTTACCGACAGATGATAATAATTTAAAAATACGTTAGTGATTTATTGGAAAGAGAGATAACAACACATATAACAACTAGGTGTTACCTGCAGTCGGTAAGGTAGATAGCTGTAAAATTAACGATAATCGACAGTTGGTAAGGTAGTTCGCTATTATGATTATGGTCGCTGTTGTAAGGACTTCGTTTTTAGGACAAATACCTCAAAAATGTTGATTACCGTTTGTCGATAAGGTAGATATCTGCAAAGTTATCGCTAATCGACAGTCGGTAAGGTAGTTTTCTATTATGGTTATGGTTGATATTGTGAGGATTTTGTTTTCAGGACAATTCACTTAAAATTTTCGATTACTGACTGTCGGTAAGGTAGATCCCGGTAATAATTACAGCAATTGTATTGCCCAATGCAAAATTTTAAGTTAAAAATGAAATTTTGCCAGAAAAATTGTAATTAAAATTAAAGTTTTTACATAAAGTTGCAAGTAACAAAAAAATCTTTTTTTTTTTTAAATATATTTATTCCAAATATTTGACATTGTTATTAAAAAAAAAATTTCGAGTATTTTTTTTTTAAAAAAATTATTTTGGGAGTTTTTCGGTGATAATTTTGGTAATCAATATAAAAGTACCTGGTAGCTGAGTAAACAAAGCCTTAGCAACATGATTTACCTCATTTTCACTTAATTCCTTGTTTTCGCGATATTTAACAAACAAAAATTATTGTTTTCATTATTTTTCTGTTTTTTTTAATGCCTTTTTCAATATTTTTGAACTGTTTTTAAAATGTTTTCAAAAATATGCAAATAAAGGAACGAAAACCAAATTTATTTGGAAAATGTGACTTTATATTTTAAGTGTGATGTGGACTTTACTATAGTCAAATTGAAACTATACATTTATTTGAGAAACGAAATATTGTTAATGTTTAGTATCAATGAATAACTCGTGGGAAAAGTATCGCGAAAAAATAAATATTTAAAATTTCCGACCATTTTTTTTTTCAAATGTGGGGAATTTTCAACTATTTTTGAAATTAAATTAATTAATGTCTATTTTAGTTAGGTAGTGAAATAATTTTTTTTTTAAATTAATTACTATTTAAAATAAAAATGTGTAAGAAAAAAAAGTATTTGAAAAAAATTTTTTAAATAAAAATATATTTAAAGTTATTTATTTTTTAGGGTGATATAATTTTTAAAAAATGGATGAAAAAACAATTGATTCAATTTTTGCGGGATCTTTGAAATCCTTGCCACCCGTGAGTTCGAAAATTGTTCGAATTTTCACAAGTTCAACATTTACTGGTAAATATATTACAAATTAATTTTTTTTTTAAATTTGTGTTGAAAATATTTTTGAAAAATATTTTTTTACAGACACAACAATGGAGAGAAATACATTAATGGCACAGTGTTATCCAAAATTAAAGGATTACTGTCGAGAAAAACATGGATTAGAATTTCAGGTAAAAAAAGAAAATTTAAATTTTTTTCAAAAATTTAAAAATTAATTAATACTTTTAATGAAATAAAATAAATTAATTATTACTGTTAATCAAATCAAAAAAATTAATTAATTTAAAAAAAAATTCCTTCTTTAAATTTAGTGTTCTATTTTTTAAAGGTTTTTAAAAAATCCTTATTTGGAAAATAAATAAAAATTGCAATAAATCAACTAACAATTAGATTGATTAATTTTTGCAAAGAAAAAACGAGGAAAAAAAATTTATGTGAAAAGTTTCTTCTAATAATTAGTTTGTAGCATATGTATATATATACAGAAGTTAAAAATTATGATCGAAATGACCTAGAGTTGAACTTTTGACATTCAATAGCTTATCACTATATATGCACTGACAATAAATTGATTTTTGATGGTGCCAGGTACCAAGAAATCCTAAAGTAATAACTACATATATATGTATATATATCGCAAATAACTATTACGAAACTTATTCGACTTAAGAAAAGTTGGGTCACAAAAAAAGTATAGTTAACAGTAAAATTTTTTTTTCAAGTCAATTTAAATTAATTAAGAGAAAAAAAAATGTAAAAAAAATCCCGAGGGTAAAATAAATTTAATTGAATATAAAAATTAAATTATTTTTTTCCCAAATTTTTAAAAATAAAATTTAAAATAATTTAATTTTAATTTTTAAAAATTATATTTTGCAAAATAAAAAATAAAATTAATTAAAAAGTATAAAAATTTAAAAGAAAATTTTTTCTTAAGGTTGTGGATATGAGATGGGGAGTTCGAGATGAAGCAACTGATGATCATATGACAACAGAATTGTGCATGAGAGAAATTGAAAATTGTCAACGATTATCAATGGGACCGAATTTTGTGGTAAAAAAAAATTTCAAATAAAAAATCAAATCAATAAAAAAATATTTCGAAATTTAAATTTTATAAACTCCTTTCAGTAAAAAGAATATAAATTAAAAATTTTTTTTTATTTTTTGATTATAAAAAGTTAGAATAAAAAAATAAATAAAAAACAAAAATTCCAGGTTTTTTTAGGACAAAAATATGGTTACCGTCCAATTCCAACTTATGTCCTAAGCTCGGAATTAGAAATGTTACGCACAGAATTAGATAGTCAAGGAATGGATGTTATTGTTTTGGACACGTGGTATAAAAAAGATAGCAATGCAGTTCCACCTACAAGCATTTTACAACCGATATCATCAATTTTGAAAAATTTCAACAATAAAGTATTTTTTTAATTTAATTATTAATTTTAATAACAATTAATTATTTTAGCAAAATTTAAAGCGAATTTTTATCATTTTTTTTATAAAAATATAAAATTTCTAGAGAATTCCAAAATTACAACAAGAAGATCAGGCAATTTGGTGGGACACAATGTGTAAAATGCAAAAATTATTTCGTAAAGGAGCACAATCACTTTATAATTCTGGAAAATTTGACAAAGACACAATGCACAATTATTTTATGTCCGGTTAGAAAATTTTTTATTTTAAATATATTTTAATATTCTGTTGATTTAAATTTTTTAAATTAAAAAAAAAATTGTTTAAAGATTTTTTAAAATTTTTTATTAAATAATTTTTTTTTCCAGTAACTGAACGAGAAGTGATTAATGGAGTATTGAATGTGAAAAATACGAAAAATCATTGTTTAGCCTACGTTCGTTACATTAATAATATTAATTTGCAAAATTTACGAAAAGCTGGTTTATTTTTGGATATTGCTAATCGCAGTTTGGATAATGAGGCTTCAAAATTATTAGCCGATCTCAGAGACGTTCGATTGCCAAATAAAATAGAAAGCGTTAATTTACAAAGGTTATTTCGATTATTTTATCATTATACCGACAAAGTTTTCTACATTATCGATAATAGTTTTCTACTTTATCTGTAATAGTTTTCTAAATTATCGACAGCTGTTTTCTACATTATCGATAATTGTTTTCTTCTTTATCAGCAATAGTATTTTAAATTATCGACAGCCATTTTCTTCATTACCGACATATAATGCCGTTTTAAAATTAACAATTTTTCAAATAAAATATTTATAGAAAAAAATTATTTTTTTACAGCTAAAATATAATTAAAAAATGGTTTTAAAAAATTTCTAGATACACCGTCGAATGGATTGGACGCGAGGGTTTAGACACAGAAACCCATAGTGAATACCTTCAGCATTTTATTACACATTTTTATCGAAATATGGTAAAACTTATCGACAGAGCAATGCGCAAGGAAGACAGTTCAGCTCAAGGTCAAATAATTACCGAAATTTTACAACATTTACACGCATGCAATAATTCCGTAAAGGTAATGTTTTGTAAATTTATTTATTTATTATAAGAAAAATAATTTTTTTTGATTTAATAGATAGAAAAATAAATGAAATAGCTTTTATTTTACTTATTTGGCAGTGAAAAAATTAGCTTTTTTACTTATTTGACAAAAAAAATAAAAAGGAAATCACGAAATACGGATTTATAACTAAATATAAAGGTAGAATCCCATATTACCGACAGTTACCTACTTTATCATCTGTTGATACGGATTACTGATAAAAAGGAATCTGTATTATCGACAGTAGGTAAAGAAAACGGGTTTTCTCTTCTTGTAATTAAAAAATTTAATTAAATAACTGTTTTGGGGAATCTATATTTTCTTCTATTGATCATAAAACTGCATTTATAAAAATTTTAATTTTTGTATTAAACAGTAATTTATATTTTCTTCTATTAATCATAAAACTGCGTTTATAAAATAAACTTAAAAAGTAAAATATTAATTTTTTCTCTTTTTCTAATAAAAAAAGGTGTTTTATGGTCGCGAAGATAGTTTGGAAAAAATTAAAGACTACATGTTAAATAACGAGGAGAAACCATTGGTTTTATATGGTGAAGGTGGTTGTGGAAAAACTTCACTTTTGTCAAAAAGTGCTGGACTATCAAGTAGTTCATGGCTATTGGGAAAAAAACCAATAAGTATTATTCGATTTTTGGGTACAACACCCGATAGTAGTGCACTGACACCGACATTAATTTCTATTTGTCAACAGGTAATAGATTAAAAAAAAAATTTTTACATTTAGAATCTTAAGTAATAAAATTTTAATAAATTTTATTTTTAGATTTCTTACAATTTTATGCTTCCCTTTGAGGATATTCCCGACGATCTTGTCCCACTGACAGCACATTTTAAATATTTATTAACATTAGCAACGTCCGAGCAACCAATTTTATTATTTTTGGACAGTGTCGATCAATTAACTGGCACTCAAGGAAATAAATTATCATGGTTACCGACTCGTCTTCCTTCAAATTGTAAGGTAAAAAATCACCAATAAAAAATGATTCAAAAAGAAAAAAATTAATAAATTTTATTTAATAAATTTAATTTCTTTAAATTTATAATAATTATTTTTTAATTTAATTTAACAGATGATACTTTCTTGTGCTGCTGAAGAATCAAATCCAATTATTTCTCGTGATTATCATCTTTTGAGAAGAATGATTGACACTGAGGAATGTTTTATTGAAGTAACAGCACTTGGAGAAGATTTAGCAATGGATGTTATAAGGTATTAAATTTTTAAAAAAATTGTAGATAATGCAGATTTCTACATTATCGACAAAAACTATTTTAACAATGTGTTTCCTATAATCGATAAAACAGGATTCTACCTAATCTACAATCGGTTAAAACAGTTTCCTAATCTATTCAAACCTACTTTATTTCAAATTGTCGATAAAAAAGAAATCCAAATGACCAACAGTTGATAAAGAAAATCTCTGTATTTTTTTTAACAGAATGTGGATGAAAACCGCTCATCGTGATTTAAATAATTATCAATGGCGTTTAGTGGCAAATGCAATATCAAAATGTTCATTGCCAATATTTGTAAAATTGGTATTCGCCGAAATATGCCGTTGGCGTAGCTATACAAAACCAGCTGATACACATTTGGCAAGTACAGTAATGGACAGTATAATGATGTTATTCGAAAGAATTGAAAAACAACATGGCAAAATATTAGTATTTCATGCATTAGCATATATAACAGCGGCAAAATCAGGACTCTCTGAATCAGAATTAGAAGATTTAATATCATTGGACGATAAAGTATTGGATGATGTTTATCAGTATCATTTGCCACCAGTACGTCGTATACCACCTTTACTTTGGACAAGAATACGAAATGATTTGCCAAATTATTTAAGTGAACGTGAAGCTGATGGTGTTAGTGTATTAAATTGGTATCATCGACAATTTAGAGATACGGCAAAGGAGAGATATTTTAAGAATATGAATTTAGCGACGTATTTTCATTCAATGATTGCCGATTATTATTTGGGAATATGGGGCGGTGGACGACCTAAGCCATTTAAGTATACAGAAATTCAAAGACATCGGTAATTATTAGTATTTTTATGTACAATAAATTATTACCATCAGTCGATAAATAGAAATCTACTTTACCGACTGTTGGTAACATTTTTCTACACTAAACTACCTTTTATTGTTACCATCAGTTGGCAAAATAAAATCTACTTTATCGACTATTGGTAATATTTCTCTAAATTAAACTACCATCAATTATTACCACCAGCTGGTAATAACGGGTAGGGTTTAGAAAAATGTTACCAACGGTCGTTAAAGTAGATTTCTTTTTATCAGCTGATGATAATAATTGAAGGTGGTTCGATTTGGAAATATATTACCAAAAATAAAATGTAGTTTAGTGTAGAAAAATGTTACCAACAGTCGGTAAAGTAGATTTCTATTTACCGACTGATGGTAATAATTCAAAAAACGTTAAATTTAGAGGAAAACTGTTACTGTAAAATGAAAAAAAAAATTTCAGATTCAATTTAACCGATAAAGAGGGCGTTGCCGATAGAAAAGTTCCAGAGCAACCATTGGCATTTTATTCAAAGGAGGGAAAAATTTCAAGATACAATTTAAGAAAGGTGGAATTTTTAATTTTGTGGAGCGGGGGAAAAATTTTGTTTTTATTAAAAAAGAATATTTTTTTGTACTTTATAAATTGTAAATTATTTTGATTTTAGTTTGGAGAACTTCCATATCATTTGGTGAGGGCTCATAGATTTAAGGATCTATTTGAAAATGTTTTATTTAATTATGAATGGCTACATGCAAAATTAAGTTCGTGTCCACTGCAGGCTGTACTCTCTGATTTTGAGGATGCCTGCAACAATATCGACGATCAAAATTTGGTCAGGTATATAAATACTTTTTTCTATAAGAATGAAAACATAATTTCCTAAAAAAAACAATAAAATTGCTTTTATCATTGGTGGCAAATATGGAATCCTGTATTACCGACATTAATTTTTTTTTAAGTTTAAGCAATGCCGATAAGGCAGAACAATTTCTGTCGGCAATGTAGATCGAAGTAAGGGATAATGTCGATAATATAGGACTCTATACTTCCCTCTAGTGATAAAAAAAACTTATATATTGTATTTTTCCTAAAAATTTAATTCAAATAATGTCGATAGTACAGAATTCCGTTTCTGTCGGCAATACAGATCGCAGTAATGGATAATGTCGATAATATAGGACTTTACAATTTTCTCCAATGTTAAAAAAAATTTCTAATATTGGTTTTTTTTCCTAAAAAAAAATTATTTTTCTTTAATAAATTAATGAAAAATCATATTTTTTGTTTCTCTTTTTATTCAAGGGAACTGATGTTAGTAGCTGATGCTTTAAGACTTGGTGGGGCAATTTTGGGAAATCATCCCGATATGCTAGCACCGCAATTAGTGGGAAGACTTTTACCCGAAATTGGTAATAATGTCAATGTAAGAATGTTATTAAAAGCATGTGATGCCGATGGTGTTAAAGATTGTTCCCTATTACCCCTTTATCATTGTCTCCATACCCCGGGCGGTCCCCTTAAGGTAGGAAAAATTTTTTTTTGGAAATTTTTTTTAAAAAATACATTAAAAATAATTTATAAATAATTTATCATTTTTTTATATTATTATTATTTTTATAGAATAATAATTATCGAAAAAAATATGTTATAATTAAATTAATTTCTTAGTATTCATTGGAGGGACATCAATTTGCAGTTTTTGGCTTTTGTTTAACATCGGATTATCGATATGTTGTATCGATTTCAAATAGATTTATCACTTGGGATTTAAGTACAAGTGATATGACGAGGGATGTTAATCCTGGAGTTGAGGGAATTATGCAACAATTAGTATTGAGTCCTGACAATCGTTATGCCGCTTCTTTTACAAACAATAATCAGGTTAAATTAATTTAATGAATTTCGTAAATTAATTATTGTTCATTAATAATTAATTTTCTTATTATTATTAAATAATTAAATAATAATTAGTAAATTAATTTTATTATTGAAAAATAATTATTTAATTAATATTTATTATTATTGAAAATAATTTTTTAGACCGTCGTTCTAAATACATTGACAAGTGAATTTGTTATTGTTGACAATCCACTACCAAATAATGAACCAGTTTGTGGAATTTATCTAATGAATCAATTTGTATTTATTTTTGGCAAAAGTGCATGGTGCAAATTTGATCTAAGAGGCAATTTAATAGCAAATTTCACAAGTCCCGAGGATACAAATCAATGGTCCATTTTGGGTAATTAATTATTATTATTATTATTATTATTATTACTAAATTAATATAAATCGATAATAATAGTAATAATAATTATTATTATAATTAATAAAATTTAACATATTATTTACGGTTAAGGAATTTTAATTAATTTAACACAGAAATTGAATATACAACATTGGATGAGTATAGAATTATTTTCTGGACCGGAAATCTTGACGATCCACTATTGTTGCTGCACACTTACAGAAAAAAAGGAACAATCGAATCATTTCATTGTCACAGGTTATTGTAAAATTTTCTTACTTTTTTTTTTATTTTTTTGGAAACAAATTAAATAATAAAAGGAAACTATAAATTTAATTTTTTTCAAAATTATAAAACTTAGAAATATTTTTTTTAATGTAGATGTTAAAATTTGAAAAAAAAATTCAGTAATAATTCTTTGTTTTTTTTTTTTTTTAGTGCAATGGTGATGACAAATGACAAAAAAACACTCTATGCATGTACAACAAAGGGAAATTATCGTATAACAAAATATATTATTGAAGAAACATCATCGTATTGGGAAAAAGTTTTGGATATTCCACGAACAAATAACGATGATATTGAATATATTTTACAATTAAAACTTGATAAAGAAGAGGAAATTCTTTTGGCAACAACTGGAAATGGTTTTGTTGTTTGGTTTTTGGAAAGTAAAAGTGATGCACACGTTCTTTCATTGCCAAATGGAGTGAGAAATATACGAACAAAAATGATGAATTCAAGTTCAATAATGATCAGTGGAACAAAAAATTACGCGGTTGCCGGTGTAAGGTGAATAAATAATTTTTTTTTTTAGTTTTGTAACTGAAAATCTTAAATTACAAAAATAAAAATTCATTTTATTTTTGTAAATAAATTAAAAATTTTCAGTTACAAAACTAAAAATTCCTCTTATTTTTTTTTTTTGTAAAAAACAGAAAAAATTTGTACGTCTGGAGTTTGGAGACAACGGAATTGGTGAAAATATTAGATGCTCATTTTGCAAGAATCATTCAATTGGAAGCGTTGACAATTGGCAATTGGAATAGTGTCATTACATCAAGTATTGATAGAAGTGTTAAAGTTTGGAATATTAATAATATTTTTGAGCAAGTTCACGTTATTGATCGCCATGAATTGCAAATCGATTCAATAAGGTTAGAATATTATTAGTATTATTATAATTGTGTTCTTCGTAATGAATAATATCATTTAGAGACGAAAAAATACAAATTTTTGAAAAAAAGTTGATAATCTTTATGGAATGACCCCAAAAAAATTCAAAAAAACGGTTATAACTTTGAAAGAAATTAACGGATTTTTATGAAATTTAGTAAGGATGTTCTTTGCAATGAATAACTTCTTTTAGAGGTAAAAAAGTAAAAAAAAGAAAACAAAAACGTATATTTATTACGGAATGACCCAAAAAAAAATTTTAAAACCAGTGATAACTTTTAAAAAAATTATCGGATCGTTAGGATACTTGGTAATTATGTTTTTAGCGATAAATAACATACTTTCATTGCAAAAAAATACAAAAAAAAAAAAAAATTTTTTTTCGGGACATTCCGTAATAATCATACTATTTTTTTTCGTAATTTTTATTTTTTCGCTTCTAACGGATGTTATACATTGCAAAGAACATAATTAGCAAGTTTCATTAGAATCCCATAATTTTTTTCGAAGTTATAACAGTTTTTTGAAATTTTTTGGGGTCATTCCGTAATAAATTCACGTTTTTTTTTCCTAAATTTGTGTTTTCCTGCAATAAGAAAAGTATATTTATCGCTAAGAATATAATTATCAAGTTTCATAACGATCCGTTAATTTCTTTCGAAGTTATAACCATTTTTTGGATTTTTTTTAGGGTCATTCCGTACTAATTATGTCTTTTTTTTCATAAAATTGTATTTTTTTGCAATAAAAAAAGGTTATTTATCGCTAAGAACATAATTATCAAGTTTCATAACGATCCGTTAATTTCTTTCGAAGTTATAACCGTTTTTTGGGATTTTTTGGGGTCATTCCGTAATAAATTTACGTTTTTTTCGCTAAATTTGTATTTTTCTGCAATAAGAGCATATTATTTATCGCTAAAAATATAATTACTAAGTTTTATACGCCTCTGTTAATATTTTTCACAGTTATAACAGTTTTTTGGATTTTTTTTTTTGGGTCATTCCATAAAGATTTTACAATTTTTTTCCCTAAATTTGTATTTTTTCGTTTTTAAAAGATATATAATTAACTGTAATATAATCTGTGATGTAAATTATTAATAATTTTTTTTTAAATATATTATTATGTCATGCAGTTTAGCGGAACATTCAAATTTGGCAGTAACCGTAACAAGAGGTTGCGTTGGTATTTGGGATTTACAATCAGGAAGATTAATTTCAAAATTAGCTGATAGTCCACTTGGTGCAATTGTTACACACGCAATTATTACTCCCGATGGAAGGCAATTATAAAAATTATATAAATAAAAAAAAATTTGAATTTATTTATATATTATTTAAAAAATTAATGAAAAATTTAAGTTAAAACAAAAATTTTCAAATTTTGGTTCATTTTTTTTTTTTTTTTTTTGGTAGATACATCATATCAACGGAATCTGGTAATGTTTTAATTTGGAATCGAATAACGGAACAAGTATTATTTAAAGAAGAACAATCGGGCGTAAGACAATTGTCATTTATTGAAGAAGCAACGAAATTTATTGCCGTTTCACGACCAAGTAATTTACCAGGTGTTGAAAGTACAAAAACAACAGCCACCCTCGTCACAAGAAATATTCCAGGTGAAAAAAAAAAAAAAAAATTTCCATATCAAAAGAAATTTTTTTTAAAACAATTTTTTATTATTAATAATAAATAATAATAATAAAATTAAAAATAATACTAATAATAATAATAATAATAAATAATTAATTAATTTCATTATAATAATTTTGTTCTTTTTCAAATAAAAAAAATTTAAATTATTAATTGAAATATGTAGAGAAAATATTTTTTTTCAGACGGAACTCAAATTTTTAGTTTTGAATATATTGTAAGAAGTCAAACTGGAATTCCATTTCGTAATGTTTCTGTGACTTCGGATGGGGCATTTTTTGTTGTTCCAGCAGCCGATAAAGGAAGTCGTGATTGTATTATTGTTTATAGTGCAAAAACCGGAACATTAATCAATAAAATACAAGTCAAACTTCCAGGATTTAAAGTAATTTTTCTCTAATTTAAAATTTTTAAATTCATTATTTTATTTACCCTATTAATTTTTGAAAATATTAAAAATTTTCAAAATAAAAAAATAATTTTACACTTTTATTTTAAATATTTTAAATTAAATATCTAATTTATCTATTTTTTAAAATATTTAAAACTTTTTTTAAAATAAAAAAAAAATTGTAACAATAATTTTTAATTAGATAATATAATTTAAAAAAAAAAAAATTGAAAAACAAAAATCCTTTTTTTAAGGATATTATGAGCGTTGTACCAATGCCAAACAAATCACAATGGGTGGGAATAATAGGTTCAGATAAAGGAAGTATAATGGACATTGGAAAGAAGAAAATAATTCGTACAATTCCAAAATGGAGTGGAAATATCAGCAAGGATGGAAAATATACTTTATACGCTCCATCAAGGTTTTTTGTTGTTGTTTTTTGTCATAATTAAAAAAAAATTTACAAAAACTAATTTTTTTGGAACAAAAAAAACCAAATTTTAATAATTTAATTCTTTTAGAAACAAAAAAAGAAAATTTTAGGGGGAAAAAAAATTGAAACATTAAATTAAATATTTAAAAAATTAAGTATTAATTAATAATAATTATTATTAATTACTAATTAATTAGTAATTAATAATTAATAATAATAAATTAGCAATTAATAATTAATAATAATAAATTAGTAATTAATAATTAATTTTTTAATATTTTATTTAATTTTTCAATTTTTTTTATTTCTAATAGAATTAAATTATAAAAATTTGGTTTTCTCGTTCCAAAAATTTATTTTTGTAAATTTTTATTTAATTATTAATTATTATTAATGACTAATTAATTAGTAATTAATAATAATAAATTAGTTATTAATAATAAATAATTAATAATTAATTAGTAATTAATAATAATAATTAAATTGCATTTATTTTCACTCTTTTATTTAGAGGTGGATTGGAACTTATAGAATTAAAAAAAGGGACAACTGTAAAAACTTATATATCAAAAGTTGCCGAGGGAGTTTTCACTGTAATTTCAATGTTTAATCGAACGGATGAATATGTTCTTTATTATCACAGTGGACGGAAAACAATTCGAGTTTTCAGGTAACAAAAATGAAAAATAAATAAATATAAAAAACAAACACAAAAAATTTCAAAACGAAATTGAAATAACAAAAAAATTTAATTACATTTTCCGAAGAAATTGAAATTTTCACTCGAATCGAAATTGATAAAAGAAAATAAAATTTTTAGAAACGAAAACAAAAAAAATTTATTTCATTTAAATCTTATTATTTTACTATTTTTAAATAAATATTTACTTGAAGTAAATTAATTTTTATTTTAAAATTAAATAAACTTTATTTTTGAATCAACAATTTTTGTATTTGAAAGAAATACACAATTTAATTGACTTAAATAAATAATTATTTGAACCAACAAATTTTTGAATTTGAAACAAATACACAATTTAATTGACTCAAATAAATAATTATTTGATATAAATAAATAATTATTTGATACAAATAAATTATTATTTGATATAAGTAAATAATTATTTGATAAAAATAAATATTTATTTGATAATAGTAAAAAATAAATAAATAAATAAATAAATATTTAGAAATTTAGAAAAATAATTTTTTTTAAATAAAAAATTATATTCGTTTGAAAATGAATTTAGTAAATAAATTTTATTCCAATAAAAAATTTACATACGAATGAATTTTTAACCTCCAAAAAAAACAACTAAATATTTCAAAAAAAAATTTCTTACAATAAAAATTATTTGCAAATAAAAAATTTCAAAAAAAAAAAATAAAACAATCATTACAGATCATCAGACTGTGAAATGATTGCAAATTATCGTGTACAAGCTGAATTAAGTGCAATCGACAGCACATACGATGGAAAAAGTATTGTTTTGGGTACAGTCGATGGTTGTGTATCAGTATTAGCAATTGCCGATCCAAAAAAATCCGAAATGAAAGTATATCTCAAAAATTTACCATCTCGCGATGAAACGGCAAGTATTTTTTCAATAATTATTAAAAAAAAATATATACATATATATATGTATATTAAAAACAAAAAAGAAAAACTTTGCGGAGAAAAGTGAGGTTATGTTTGACGTATATTTTTTCGCGGCGCTTCCAAATAAAAAACACATATACACATATCACAAAAATAATAGAAATTAAAACAAACATCCATTTAGAAAACATTATCAAATAATAGTGATTGAACAAAAAAGGAAATATTAATTCCAATATTTTGGGAGAAAAATAGAAAGAAAAAAAAAAAAGAAAATAAACTCACCTTTCCTTTAATTTGTGCCGCCGCGATTTTCCCTTCTTCGTCACATGGCAATTATTAATTATTGTCGATTATTTTATCACTTTTATTTTTATAAAAAAAAAAAAAAAAAATGTAAATTTCTAAATATAAAGAAAACTTGTTTTTATTTTTCACTGATTTATATATACACACAATAAATAAAAACACATACACGTTCTTGTTGGTTAATGGCAACAACACAAATGAAGTTTTTGGCGTGTCGTTCCGTCCACGTCCGTCATGTTTGCCAACGGTGAAAAAACAAAAAAATGGGTGTGTCGCGTTGCGCCTTAAAATATTGTCACCACTGTGGCGGGAAAAATTCAAATATTCAAAATTATATTTATTTCCGAAAATGGAATCGAAATAAAAAAGTAAATTTCTTTTTGTAAAAATAAAAAAAAAATTGTTCTTTTTTTAATTTTAGCGATCCTTTTCCCGTTGGTTTCGTCGTGTCCCACCAGTGGGACTTTTGCCGGGTGCGAGATTTTCCTGCCTCGTACAAAGGATCGCTAGAAATAAAAAAAATTACTACTATCCTCTACAATAATGAAAAAAAAAAAAAAAAAAAAAAAAAGAAAAAGTGAGAAATTAATTTTCTTATATATTATTTTGGGGGGGAAAAATAGAGAAAAAAAAATTAAAAAATTTTTGAATTTCAGTGGAAGAAAAAAATGGAGAAAAAACGTGCAGCAATTAAATTTAAAGCAGCCGCACGCATTGCAACTGTTACCAATGATTTGCATAATTTTCTACGTTTTGGAACTGCAATTGATGACAATTCACAAGGATCACACGACGATGACAATTCTTAATTATAAAAATTACAATAATTTAAAAAAGGATAATTCACTAAAAAATTAAAAAAAAAATATAATTTACAATTTATTTATTGAAAAATTATTTTAATTAATTAGCTAATAATTTGAATAATTAGCTAATAATTAAAATAATTAACTAATAATTTAATTAATTAGCTAAAAATTAAAATAATTGACTGATAATTTAATTAATTTGCTAAAAATTAAAATAATTGACTAATAATTTAATTAATTAGCTAAAAATTTAAATAATTAACTAAAAATTAAATTAATTAACTAACAATTTAATTTATTAGCTAAAAATTTAAATAATTAACTAATAATTGAATAAATTAGCAAAAAATTAAATTGATTTTACCTAATTGCTTATAATGAGATTTTAATGATTAAAAATTTTAAAAATAATGAAATTAAGTCATTGAAATTAAATAATTGAAAATAAAATTAAGAACCCAATTAAGTAATTAAATTAATTATTAACAGTAATTAAATTTATTTTTTTTAATTAATTTTCAGTAAATATAATTTTACACTACTTTTCTAATTATATTGTTAATTTAATTAAATTTCCATTTATTTTTATAATAAAAAGTAAAATGTAAAATAAAATATTGTAAAATGCACAAAAAATTATTATCATCGTTGTAATAATAATAAAAAATAAAAAATAATATATTGAAACTAATTTGTTAAAAAAAATTTTCATGCAACTATAAATAAGCTTTCTTTTACTTTAATTCATATCGAAATCAAAATCTCCATTCAAAATTTTTTCTTCAATTCATAAATCATATCGGAGTAATGTATTTTTTTCTGTGGGCTTTTTTGACCCTTTAAAGCTGTAAATAAATAAATAATGGGAAAATAAAAACAAAATCGTAGTAACGATTATGGAATTTATATTACATTTATTCTGTCTTTTGATGTACTTTTTAAACTTTTTTCTCCCACTTTTTTTTTCTTCCTCTCTCTCTTTTTTCTATCTATCTATTTTTCTCTTTCTTTCTTGCTCTCTTTCTCTCTCTCTCTATCTTTCTCTCTATAAGTCTCTCGTGATAATCGAATAATAAAATACACGAGGCAACTTCATTCCGCAAAAAAAAAAAAAAAAATTATCGCTCGACAATTTTCTTTTAATATTCCTTTCTACTAATTTTTTTTTTAAATTAAAAAAAAATCGTCCGGCGACTCAAAACATTTTCTTCTTCATCTTTTCTTCAAAAGAAAATTCTTTTCACGTTTCAAATTCACATCAATGACAATTTTTTTTCATTCTATTTAAATTTTCGTGAAATTGAGGATTCTTTTTTCGAGGTGTATTTTGAAAAAAAAAAAAACGGGACAATAAGATTCGCTGACACGGTTATTTTACATTTAAAAAAAAAGAAAACTAACGAACACAATAGAGAAATTTCTCTCTCGAAAAATAAAAAAATCATAAAATAGAAATTTAAGTCTTGGTTTATAAAAAAAAAATAAAAAAAAAAAAAATCCGGACACTTTTTTCGGGGGGTAAATATTTTTTCTCGCTGTTCAGTCTTTCAGATTTCAAAAATATCGAAATGAAAAAGAAGAAAGAAAAAGAAAAGTAGAATTTTTAAAACCGTTTCATACGGATCGTTTTTTTTTTTTTTTTGTTCCCGAGCTCGCGAATCATTGACCGTCTTTTTTTAACCCCCAACCCCCCCTCCTCGTAACAATGTACAACTAAAAATTGAAATTAAAAAAAAAAAAAGAAAAGAAAACCTAGCGGAAACTTCGATTTCCCAAAAAATTGTGACGTAATCACTGAAAATAGAGAGAAAAAAAAATTTCAGTGATTCTTTTTCTTTTTCTATTTGCAAGAAAAAGCTTTTTTTCGCTAATTTTTTTCACTGGCAGTCAAGCGCTTTCAGATTTGATTTATTTTTATTTAATCCCCCCCCCCCGCCCCCACTAACCCTGCGAAATTAGATTTTTTCCTTTTATTTTTCCATTCATTTGATTTTTATATATATAAAAAAAAGACACAAATTCGCTTCGATAATTATCTAATTTTTTTCCTTTTTTCTATGAAATTGAAAATAAATTTTTCATTTCCCCAAAAAAATATTTTAAAAACATTTCATTTCCAAAAAAAAATATTTTAAAAATCATTTTCAAAAAAAATATTCAATTTAAAAAAAAAAATATTTCATATTTATAATTTTCAATTTTTTTTTAAAAAAAATTTCTTTTTCGTAATCAACTATTTTAACTGAATTTTTTTTTTTGCATAATTATATTTTCTGTTAAAAATTCAATTTTTTTTTGTATTTTGAAAAAATTTTCCGATTCACAATTTTTTTTTTGAAATTTTTTTTTTCGAATTCTATATTTTTTTTTGTTCCGACTTAATTGAGATCAAGACACACACATTCTCACTCTTTCGCTCTCTCTCTCTCTCTCTCTCTCTCTCTCTCTCGCTTTCTCTCCCTTTTTTTTTGTTTAACAATTCTTTCTTATTTTTTAGGCTTCAATTATTTCGCAATTTTTATAAATCTGTTTTTTTCGCGCCCGATTATAAATTTTGTTTTTTTTTCTTCTTGACTTTGTTTTTTTATTTTGAATTTCGCTGAAGAAAAAAAAAATTTGCCAGCTGTTTTTTTTTCTTTACCCTCACAATTTTCTTTTTTTCAGCGTAAACTGCATATTTTTTTTTTTTTATTGGGCATTGCCACCTTTTTGCCCCTGTTCCTGTTGTTGTTGTTCCGGTTGTGGAATATCTGCCGCTGCCATATCCTTCATGTGTTTCTCGACCTGAGGAAAAAAATTATTTCAATTCTCTTCTTTTTTTTTGATCAAATTTTCTAAATAAATAAAAAATAAAAAAATAAATACAAATAAAATAATTAAATTTCCAAGTATCTAATTGTATCATATAATAATTGAATTTTTAATTAGTAAAATTTGTTCTAAATATAGCTAAAATTTTAAATTAAATTAATTTATTAATATTATTTAAATTTAATTGAATTATATAAAAAGTTTTAATTTAATTTTAAAAATAATTTAATTTACAAAATGCTGCTTATTTTCTTTATATAAAATCTAAAAATGTTAAATAAATTATTGAATTTATAAATAAATAAACTAATAATAATAATAATAATAATAATCATTTTCAGACAATAATAAAATTTTACAGAACTAAAAATAATTTATCAAATAATTTTCGACAACATTTTTATAAAAATAATTGAATTTCAAAGAATTTTATATGAAAATTTTTTAGAAATAATTAAATTTTCGAAGATTTTAAATTGAAATTTTTGAAAATAATTGAATTTTTTTTGCAAATAATGAAATTTTAATTGATTTTGAATTTAAAAAAATTTGTTGATAATTTTATTTGCTAATTTTTTTTTTTTTTTTAATTATAAAAAATTTTATTATGTAAATTTCATAAAAATTTTAATTTGAAAAATAATTTAAGTTTAATTGAATTTGTGAATTGAATTTCAATTAAAATTATTAATAAATAATTAATTTAGTGAAGAATTTTAGTTAAAAATTTGTTAAATAATTGAAATAAAGAAGATTTGTAGATGTGCATTATCTGGAACAAGCGATAAGTTTCACTGAAATAGCGAAAGTTTTTGCTATTCTAGAGAAACATATTGTTGTTCCAGGTAAAGATTTTTTTTCTCTGTAATAATAAAGAACTTTTAAATTCTAAAACTGGAAAGAAAGAAAAAACGGAAGAAAAAAAAAGAGAAAATTGTAAAAAAAACAATACGTACTACTTTTTTAACGTGTATATAGGCTTGATCATCGACTTTGCTGTGTACATTATCGACTTTATATGGCGGTATAATGGTGACGGTATTAAAAACAACGATATTTTGTCCACTCCAAACAATATCGTTAATTGTTTTTGAAATTGCAATAAAAAGCCTTTGGCCCTCGGGTGATACTCCGGCCTGCAGAGCTTTAACCATCCTTTTTTTCTCTTCAATTTGATTACGTACACGTGTATTTAGCCTATTTAAATTCAAACTTTGTGGTGGTTCACTCATTGTTGGACTTACTTCACGTTTTACATGTACATCTGATACTTTTGATAAATTTACTATATGCACATCATTTAACGATGCCCGATTACTCGACGATGGACATTCTATGATTTTCTTTATTAAGGAAATTTATTTTTTTATTTTTGGAAATTATAAAAAGAAATTTTCTCTACCTATTTGTTTTTTTTATATACACAGAAAATTAATTTTAAAAATTATTTTCATTTATTTTGTTTTATTAAATAAAAAATTTTAATTTTGAAAAAAAATAATTTAAATTTCTTTGGAATTTATTTTGTGAAAATTAAATAATTAATAATTCTGGAAAATAAATTTAAAAAATAATAAAAGGGGCATTAACTTAGTGTTTTTATAAAAAAAAAAAAAAATAAATAAATAATAATAATTATAAAACAAATAAATTTAATAATTAATAATAGTAATAATTGGAAAATAAATTTAAAAAATAATAAATGAGAATTTTCACTTCGTGTTTTTATAAAAAAATAAAAAAAACAAATTTAGAAATGTAAAGAAATAAATCTACAAAATGTAAATAACAAAATATTTTCTTTAAAAAATTATTTATAACGTAAAAAAAACAAAAATTATCTAAAATTTTTCCATTAGTAAATATTTGTTAATCATATCGGAATAATGTATTTTTTTCTGTGGATTTCATATCGGAATAATGTATTTTTTTCTGTAGGTTTCATTTTGGAATCAAAATTTCTTTTCAAGATTTTTTCTTCAATTCATAAATCATATCGGAATAATGTATTTTTTTCTGGCCCTTTTAAGTTCTAAATAAATATGAAAATATTTCTTTTCGATGATTTTTCTTTCAATAAATAAATTAATACTGAAAAAAGAAAATTAGTAATTAAATTTATAAACAAAAAAGTTACAAAACGAAATACAAAAAAATCACGTCTTTAAACTTTTCTTTTTAACATTTTTCCAGAAAAATATTTCAAACAAAAATTGAAAAATTAAAAAAAAACTGAAAAATTGACAAATACCGAAAAAACACTCAAAAAAAATAAATTTAGAATAAAAAAAAATCGTAAAACAATGTTACAACAATCGAAATAAGAACAACATTGACACACCTAACCTCAAAAAAAGTAAAATCAACTAAATACCGAAAAAAATAACGAAAGGTGTTTTCTTTTTTTTTTTTTGGTGGGAAAATGGAGATGCATTTTTCCCCCATTGAAGGGAAAGCGAACACTAACACACACACACACACAAACATAGATGACGAAACTTAACCTGACCAAAAAATCTCAAGAGTATTTTTAACGCGTTAATTTCACCGATTTTCACATTTGTAAAATTAATTTCAAACAATAAAAAAATGATAATAAATACAAAAGAAGAAATTTGTTTTCAAATGACAAAATTTTGTAAAAGAAAAAGAAAATTATTTACATTTTAAAATTGATGATGATGATGATGATCAAAGTAAGTGATGGGGAAAGCCAGTTGTGTTGATTGTAGGAAGGACGTGGGTGTGTGTATATACATGTGTGTGTGTGTGTGAATGTTTTTTTTACGATGAAAAAATGATTATTTAGATAAAATTTTTTTTTAAAAAAAGGATACTCAAGATGAGCATTTTTGTTTGTGGATCAAATGCAAGCACTTCGCCTTCGATATCTTTATTGTAACACGTTTTACATGCCACCGTACTACCGATGCTGAACCAGTCGTTGGCGCCGGCCATTTTTCACTGCAGAGAAAATTCATTGGACAATGAGTGCGAGTGAGATAGTTGTTGTTTGCAAACGCCATCTGTGAATTTTCCGCGGGAATATTCAAATTACCCACGTGCGTATATTTTACTTTTTTTTCTCTCTCTCTCTTTTTTATTTCAATAATTATTTATATTTTAATAATCACAGTTTTTATTTTTACTGTCATTTTTTTTTCAATTTGGATAATTAACACAAGTAATTATAGAAAAAAAAGGAAAACAATTAAAATTACTATATTATGAAGTAATAAATATTTTTTTAAAATTATTATTATTAATTAAAATATTTAACTAAAAAAAATTATTTAATATTAAAAATAATTTTTTTAGTCGAATATTTTGGTGCGTAGTTTAAATAAAGTTATATAATAATAATATACTGTATATATTTTAATTTCTGTATTACTTGAACAGGAACGTAGCTAGAAATATTTTTCGGGGGGGGGGGGGGCAAAGTGTAGAAAATTTATTTTTTAACGAATTTTTCAAATATGATAAAATATTTGTTTAAAAAGAATTAATTAACAATTACTGTTAATATTTTTTTAATTTTAATTATTCTTAATTATTAAAATGAAATTTTTTTCTTTTAAATAGGAAACTTTTTAAAAACATTTATTAAATGTTTATACATTTTTTAAAATAATTTACAGTTAAAAATGGTCATTATTAATAATTTGACAATTTTTGAAATTTTATTTTCTTTTTAACAAAACAGTAAACTTATTTTTATAATTATTATAATTACTATTAATATAATTTTATGATTATTATTATTATTATTATTATTATTATTGTCATTATTATAGTTATTATTGTAATTAACATAATTGTTTTATTTATTAACTAATTAAAGACTTAAGCAGAATAACATCCCTAATTAATTTTATTGAACGTGAAGCATGCGTGAGAAAAGGACAGATATTTGTGTCCTTTTCTTTCTCATGCATCTCGTTTGCGAATGGCCTTAGGGTTGGTTTTCATGGTCCCTACTCGCCATTTGTCATAATTTTCATCAACTACCGTACCCAGCTCTAGTGAAACTTTAGAGACTTTTATTGTTAAAATTAAAAGTTACAATTTTTATTAGAGCAGGGTGCGGTAGTTGACGAGAATTATGACAAATGGCGAATGAGGACAATGAAAATAAACCTTAACGAAGCTATTGTGCATTGGCCCTAATCGGCCAGGGACGGATCCAAACAAGACTTTTGGGTAAGGGAGGGGTTCATCTATAAAGGTACGATCACATCTCTGTTTTTTAATGCCCAATGAAATCTCTGGTGAAAATTTATTTACTTTCTACTAGGTTTCTCCAAAATTTTACTTATAAAAACTCACTCGAAAATAACTAAATTCCCACCAGATTTCATTACGAATCTCGTTTGCGAATAACTTTCACAAATTTATTGTGCATTAGCCCTAAATACTTAAGCCACGCCTACAACAAAGATCACAATATAGTGTTATTTCTTTCTCTCTCATCTAAGTCAAATCTTTCTACTCTAATGTGATGGGGGGGGGGAACTTTCCACTTTGAATCCGTCACTGACAACAACTAATTGCTAATTATTAATTAACTAAATTTCTCAATTACATTTATTATAATATTTCAAACCTCATTAAAATTAAATCATAATTAAAAATTAAAAAAAAAATTTTTTTTCCAAAAAATTGTTACTCCTCCTGACATTTCTGATTAACCAATTCATTTCCAATACCTCGAAAATTAATCGACGACGATGACAATGAACTATAATAAGACCGCGATAATTCAAATTGACGAATGACAATATTATTCAACAATAAATTCCATTCTTTAATAAATGTTTCTTTAACAGGTACTGATGACGTTACTGACAATGACGATATTCGATTAAAATTATCGCAATTATTATTATTATCAATTAATTCCTTTTCTATTTCTGGTTCCTTACTAAATAATTTTAATGTCCAAGTGACAACAGTAAATGTCACTGCATTAGTGGGAAATGCACGAATAATTGTTGAATTTAAACCACGAAAAAGTGATGTAACACCTTCGGATTTTAATGATTTTTCAAAACAATCCCAAGCACCTGTATATTTTCCCACTGTATCGGCTTGAATTCTTGATTTAACAACATCCACCGGATAGGTAAATACCCATGAAGCTGTACCTGCCAATCCCCCAGCGAGAAGCATGTACCATGTTGAAATACCAGTAGGACCTGATGATCTAAATATGAAAATTAATATTAAGGCGTGATTTTACGAAAGCCCCGCCTTAAATGAGCGGAGCTATCAAGGGTACAGCCCACTTAAGGCGTGACTTTATGAAAGCCCCGCCTTAAATGGGATAAGCCAACGAGGGTACTGTCCATTTGAGGTGTGAATTTACGAAAGTACCACCTTAAATGAGCGGAGTCAACGAAGGTACAACCCACTGGAGGCGTGACTTTACGAAAACTCCACTTTAAATAGGCAAAACCATTAAGGGTACTTCCCCTTGGAGGCGTGGCTTACTTAAGTCCCGCCTGAAATGGGCGGAGCCAACGAGGGTACTACCCACTGGAGGCGTTGCTGTACGAAAATCCTACCATCAAAGGGCAGAACCATCAATGGTACGACCTATCGGAGGTGTGACTTTACGAAAGCACCACCTTAAATGGGCGGAACCATTAAGGGCACGACCCACTGGAGGCGTGGTTGTACAAAAACCCTGCCTGAAATGGGCGGATCCACTAAAGGTACTTCCCATAGGAGGCGTGACAACAAAAAAAAATTCGAATGTTCCTCTATAAAAAAAGGTTAATTCTTGTTAATTAATTTACCTTGTCAATGCTTCGTAGGTGAGAAAATAAATTCCATAGCTGGGAATTTCACGAATGAGTGTGATTCCTAATCCATTGAAAATTCCTCTCGAACCCTCACGTTTATAAATATCTTTGAGACATTGTAGTGGTCCTGAACGATTATCAGAATTTTGTAGTTGTAAACGAGTTTTTGCTAATTCAATGGGACTGCAAACAGGTGTTTGTGCCATTCCAGCTGAAGCACCCGCTAAAAAATGTACACCCAAGTGTTCGGATTCGGCGAATGATCTGTGTGTTGTTCCATAGACACCAAAAACAATTGCATTCACTGCTGCCACGCCAGCAATTGGTGATGACATTCCTCTATAGAGTCCTGATATCTGCAATTTGAAAATTATTAAATTCTTTTTTGGATTGTTTTTTAAATATTGGACTGACTTGTGGACTGGAGTTTATGTGGGACAGGTTGCCATTTCTGCCGTCCCAACAAGAATAACCGTATCTGCATTTAGGATGAGTCACCTACTTGCCACTGCCACTGCCACCAATAAGTGACTTAACCAAAATGTAGTTACTGCTACTCTTGTTGGGACGGCAGATTTGTCTCATAATTCTCGTCAACTACCGTACCCTGCTCTAGTTAAAATTTAGTGACTTTATAGTTAAAATTAAAAGTTACTATAAAGTCATTAAATTTTCACTAGAGCAGGGTGCGGTAGTTGATGAGAATTATGAGACAAATGGCGTGTATAAATTTTTTTTTAAAAAAGATGTTTATTTACTGAATCTCTGGCCAAAATTGAACGAAAACAATGCCAAGTGCCTTTGTATTTTGGATTATTGTGATCTTGTGTTTGTATATGAACTTTTATTGTATCGAGTGGATAACCAACCAAAATACCTGCGCATCCTGAAATAAATTTGGTAAATATAATTAATTTCTTAATAATTAAGCCGAAATAATTAATTAATTTAAGAAACAAATAATAAAAAATTAATTGTGATGCTCCTCTAAAGAAATAAATCCAAGAAGGAAAAAAAATTCTAGGTTATGTTTATGATTGTTTGACCTTAATTAAAAGCGTTGATTTTAATATTGTAGAATTAGAATTACTTTTGAATGTTACAAGGAACTTAAACATCAAAGGTTAGTATTTTCACAGTTAATTCCTCTTTTGCTTTTTATTACCCCAAAACAATCATAAACATAACCTATAATTTTGTCCTTTTCTTTACTTTCCTTTCTTTAAAACGCGTCACAATTATTAAAAAATTAAATAATAATTATAATATACAATAATAATTAATCATTATGAATATATTAAATAATTTATATTATAATTTCTATATTAAAATATTATAATTAATAATAAATTACCTCCAAGGCATCCAGCGAGAAAATCAAGAGACATTTTTTTTCAAAAAAAAAAAAAAAAAAATTGAGGGAAATTCTTAAAAATAAATTTTTTTTAAATAAAAAAAAATTTCTTTGAATTAAACAAAAAAATTTTTTACTTTAATAAAACATTTTTAATTGATTTAAATAAATATTTTAATAAATTTTCTCCAAAAAACATTTATCTCGCAATCAATGAACAGAATTTTTTTTTTTATTTAAAAAAAGAAAATAATTACAAACACTTTGTTATTGTTTGACGCAAATGACATTGATCTATTTTCTTCTTCTTTTGAATTGAATTTATACGTAATGGAAAAAAATAATTTTTTTTCTCATTTATAATAATAATAACAATAACAAACGATTATGTAACATTTTTTTTTTAACCAAATGCTGTTAACCAAACGGAATTATTAAATGACCAAAATTGTTTTTCCGCTTGTTTTTTTTCTGTGACGGAAATTGATGAGATTTTGAAATTTTTACTGCATAAAAGCAGTGGTGGAAATATTTCATAAGCTCTTGAAGCTCCAATCACAAGCTCGGACTCCATGAAAGATTGACCAATTCTATTTCAGCTTACAATCCAGATTAAGAATTTTTTTTAAAAATAATTATTAAAAATAAATTTTTTTTTCTTTCTCTCTCTCTCTCTCTCTCTCTTTCTTTCACTTTAATTTGTCAATTATTGAAAATTTGCACTCTCTTCTATTTTTCTGTAATAATATTTGCGAATAATAAATTGCAATTCTATTGTTAATAAATGAAATAAATTATTTATTTAATTTTTTTGTTAAATTAATAATAAATTATATAAATTTATTTATTTATTTATTATTATAAATTATTATTTAAATTATTTAAATAAATAAAAAATTTATTAAAATTTTTTTGTTTTAATAATTATATAATTATTTATAATAATAATAATAATAATTAATAATATTTATAATAATTAAATAAATTATTTATTAAAATTTTTTTTGTTTAAATAATTAAAATTAAAAAACATTGTAATAAATTTTTTTAAATTTAAGTAATTAAAATTTTTTTAAAGAAATTAATAAACAAAATTTACAAAAATTTTATTTCAAAAAAATGTAAAAGAAATTGACTTACCTGTTATTTTTTTTCTTACATTTTAACACAATTTTTATATAATTTGTTTAAATAATTTTTACACCCCCGTCACTGATAATTATTTATATTATTCCACCCACATCCAGTTTATAAAATTTTTATTTAATTTACAAAAAAAAAAAAATATTTTTTGCATAATAAATTTAAATTTTTTTAAAAATTAATTTATTTTATTTTTTAAATAAATATTTTTAAAAAAAAATTAAAATTTTTTATTAAAAAATATCGTCTCTTCGCCTTAAACTAAACTAATGAAGAAACTAAACTTATGAACCTCGCAGTTTCTCTAACTTCAAAAAGTTCAAAGATCATATTATAAGCTTTATCTGAAATGATAAAATAAAAATAACAATAAAAAAAAAATTTATTAACACACTCTCGCTTATTATAGTTATCATTGACACATTGTTAATATACAAAATATAAATGTTTATATGTTAATAATAATAATAATAATATAATTCAAGAATATATATATATATATTGGCCAAACATATATACATTTTTTATTTAAAAGTTATTGCGGGTTAAATTGTGAGGTCAAATATGATAAGAAAATATTTATTAAATACGTTTACATGGAATATTTCCGTGTCAATCAAAACATTGCATGTGCCGCGCACGTTTTATTTAGTAAATAGATTTTTTTTTTAAACAGGACAAAATTTTATTTTTTTAATTTTAAAAATTGTTATTTAAATAAATTTTTTTTAAAATTAATTTATTATTTAATTAATTTATTAACAAATTAATTAATTAAAATTTTTTTTTAAATAAATAAATAATTAATTATTTTAAAACAATAATTTTTAATCTCCTTCCGTTTTAAATTTATTAATTTATAAATAATTTATTTATTATTTATTAAATTATTATTATTATTATTTATTTATTTATTTATTATGTTTATTATTTATTTTATTATTAATGTAAAAAATAAATTTATATATTCATAATTCCCGCCCAAAAAAAATATATCGATTATTATCGATAAATAAAAGAAGATCGTAGTTTTCAATTTTAATGAATATAGGTTTTTTTTTTGAGGTTTTTTTTTGTCGAATAAGAACTTTCGTAGTTTCTATTTTTTTTCTCAAAAAAAATTTCAGTGAAAACCAATGAGAAAAACGTGGCTTATTATTGACAATAGTATTGGCGAATTCGATAAAAAAAAAAAAAAAAAAAGTTGCTCGCTTGTTTGACAGTTTACAATTGAATGGCAGACATCTAAGATCAATGTCATTGCCTGGAAAGTTTATTTTTAAAAAAAGAACTCAACAATAACAATTAATATATACACAATTACATTTTTTTCAAAATCTCAAAAAAGAATTATAAATAAAAAATTACGCAAAGGAATAAGAAAATTTGTTGGAATTTATTTATAGTTTTCAATTTTCAAAAACTTCCGAATTTTGAAAGAAAGTAAAAATATTTTTTTTGCAACAAAACAAAAACAAGAAACTTTTATAAATTTCTCCAAAATTGTGACAAGGTTTGTGTATTAATTTTTTTTTATTGTATTTATTTTAATGTTTTTTAAATTTTTATGTAATTATTTTTGTTTACTTTTTATTTATTTAATTGAAAGGTTTTTCTTTGGAATAATTTTTTAGTTTGAGAATTTTTTATTTGATTAAATTTTGAAATGTTTATTTTTTACCAATTTTTATTTATTTATTCCTAAAAATTAAAAAATAATAATTAAATATAAGAAAAGTATTTTTTTTATTTAAATTATTTTTATTTACAAATAAATAATTGCGTAATAGATTATATTTTGTGATAAAAGTAATTTAAATAATTTAAAAAGCCCGCTCATTTTTTACCGTTATTTTAAAATCTCGACGCCTCTGGCGCCTGGTGGTGTTAAGGTGAAGCAAATCGATACCGCCAGACTGGGGACAATTTTATTTCAGGAGTGGGCCAACTACAAAAGTTACTTTAAGCTTAAGGCCCCATTTACAATACACCCAATTACATAAATAACGGTTGGTTTCCATTGTCCCCACTCGCCATTTGTCATAATTCTTGTCAACTACCGCACCATGCTCTAGTAAAAATTTAGTAACTTTATTGTTAAAATCAAAAGTTACTACAAAGTTACTAAATTTTTACTAGAGCAGGGTGCGGTAGTTGACAAGAATTATGACGTCATTTTCAAAAGTCGTGACACTTCTACTGTTCTACAATAATTTTATTAGTTAATGGCGAATGAATTGTACACCATAGACTAATAAAATTATTATTGAAGTGCCACAACTTTTTAAAATGCCGTCAAACCGTAAGGACAGTATTTATGTAATTGGTTATATTAAAATAGCAAAAAAAATAATAATTAATATATATTTAGATTAATTGAAGAAACTGGAGTCGACATCTCGTAACCGTGGCGAGGGCCGCACAGATTGGGAACCTGGGGAGTGAAAATACCAGGGTTCTTGCTATGGAAGTTGACACATCGAATGACAGTGCAAATGATGAAAATTCCGCCATTAATACACAACGTTTGGTGATTGAAAATGGAGGGCGTTGCATGAGTACTCAGGCAATGCAATCACTTTATGATTTACGACAAAATAAACTTCTTTGCGATGCTGTCATTCGACTTGAAGATGGAGGTGTATTTCATATTCATAGAGCCATTTTGTCAGCTTGCAGCACATATTTTAGGTTATTGTTTGCTTTTCGTTGCATTGTAGAGAGAGCTTTATAGTCCTTTCTAATCTAGGGGAAAGATGGTAATGTCCGCACTAAAGTTCCTATTTATCATAATTCTCCGTTAACTATCGCACGCTGCTCTAGTTTCAGTTAAAAATTAAAAATTACTAAATTTTTACTAGAACAGGGTGCGGTAGTTAACCGATAATTATGACAAATGGGAACTTAGTGGGGACATTGACATCTTTCCCTAGCGCATATTCTAGTACCCTTCGTACTTTAAAGTGTCACATTTCGGATGTTCCTCTATTAAACCTTGTGTATTGAACCTAACATCGTAAGGAGGAACATCCAAATAGCGACACTTCCCCTAGTACTTCTCTATATCGTAAACTGTAACATTTTGGAGTTTCCTACCACCAGTCGGTAAAGAAGATACCCACTTTTTCGACTGATGGTAAATTCTTCTTTTTACCTATAAAATACGACTTGTCAAAGATAACTCACTATTGAAAAATAAAAAAAAATTACTTTTCAATTTTCTTTTTTTGGTTCATAAATCCAATGTAGGGCTCTTTTTACAACAACTCTTCACTCATACGAGCAGACAGACGTTCTTCTTCCTGGTGTCAGTAGTTATACAATGAATCTTCTTCTTGAATACGCTTATTTACGAACATTGGAAATTAATTGTGAGAACGTTTGTCAATTATTGATTACGGCTGATTATCTCAATATTATTGGAGTTCTTGATCTTTGTTGTAATTATTTAACCGAAAATTTGGTACCTGAAAATTGTATTGGAATTCTACGATTTGCAAGAGAACACTTTTGTCAAGGTTTAGAGAACGATACCTATCGATATGTGATGCGAAATTTCGTACAAGTATTGTAAAAATTATAATTAATTTACGATTTCCACTTATTACCATCGATCGGTAAAGAAAAAATCTACTTTATCGACCGATGGTAACAATATTTAAATCTCTATTGCCAGCGCTTTTTTACTACATTCCAACTTATTATCATCGGTCGATAAAGAAGAAATCTACTTTATCGACTGATTTTTTTTTACCATTACAATTATTACATAGACATTATTTTTGCATCTATGTAGATTGCACAGAGAAGCATTGAAGTATTGGCATTACCGATCGAGGAATTAAAAACATTAGTTGGCGCCGATGAGCTTAATGTTAAAAATGAGGATATCGTTTGGGAATTAGTTTTACGATGGATTGATTATGATCCAATTGGAAGAAAAGGACATATTGTTGATTTAATGAAAAATATTCGTTTGGGCCTATTGGATACACAATTTTTTCTCGAAAATGTCAAAGATCATCCGTATGTGGCTGGCAATGAAGCATGTCGGCCAATTATCATTGAGACACTGAAATTTCTCTATGATTTGGAAATGATTGCACAAAGAGATGGTGAAGTGCCAACACCGGAAATTGCAAGACCACGTGTGCCACATGAGATTTTATTTGCTATTGGCGGTTGGAGTGGTGGAAGTCCAACTAATTATATTGAAACTTATGATACTCGAGCTGATCGTTGGGTTCAGGTTTTGTTTCTTTTCGTTTTTAGCCTATTTTGATAAAAGAGAGACCTTCTTTACCATCTGTTGGTAAAGAAGTTATCTACTTTACCGACTGTTGGTAAAGAAGATATCTACTTTACCGACTGCTGATAAAGAAGATATCTACTTTACCGACTGTTGGTTTTTATCGACGACACTTGCTTTACATTACCTTTCTTTAGGTAGATCAAGTCGATCCGACTGGTCCACGCGCCTATCATGGAACGGCAGTTGTTGGATTTAATATTTATGTGATTGGCGGTTTCGATGGAATTGATTATTTTAATAGTTGTCGTTGTTTTAATGCAGTGACTAAAGTTTGGAGAGAAGTGGCACCAATGAACGCGAGAAGGTTTTGTTTATTTAATTTTAATTGACAGTTTAAAAAAAATTTTGTCGGAAAAAGTTACGTAATAGTAGATAACGGTTACCACAGCAATGGTTTTTTTTACCATTTTTTACAGATGTTACGTAAGTGTTGCTGTTTTAAACGATATGGTTTATGCAATGGGCGGTTATGATGGCTATAATCGACAAAATTCAGCAGAACGTTATAATTACAAGAGAAATCAATGGTCCTATATTGCTCCAATGTATTATCAAAGATCTGACGCTAGTGCTACCACTCTAAATGGTTTTTGCATTAATATTTTATTTATTCTACTTAAAAAAGTTTAATTAACAATGATTTAAAAAATAACAATTACCATCAGTCGGTAAAGAAAATACCTACTTTACCGACTGATGGTAAAACAGTTTAATTTAAACCAAAACACGAGTTTATTCAGCAGAATTTGTTTAACAGATAAAATTTACATCACTGGCGGTTTTAATGGACAAGAATGCATGAATACAGCTGAAGTTTATGATCCAGACACTAATCAATGGACAATGATTGCACCACTTAGATCACGTAGAAGTGGTGTCTCATGTATTTCATATCACAATTATGTTTACGTTATTGGTAATATAATCTCTTCCTCCGAATCAGAGTTAAAAATTTAGTATTTAATAAATTTTATATCATCAGTTGGTAAAGTAAATATCTTCCTTACCGACCGATGGTAAAAAAATTATTAGCGTTTCCAAACGACAAAGTTTTTTTTATCCTTTTTTTTCTTGTTGTAAAAGGTGGATTTAATGGAGTTTCACGAATGTGTAGTGGAGAAAAATATAATCCCGAAACAGATAGTTGGACTCCAATACCTGATATGTATCATCCGCGAAGTAATTTTGCAATTGAAGTAATTGACGATATGATTTTTGTTATTGGCGGATTTAATGGTGTCACTACAATTTTTCGTGTTGAATGTTACGATGGAAAACACAATGAATGGTAAATGAATAATTCTATTTTTTTTTTTTTGATTATCGATTTTACTCGCATCGTGTAAATGCGCAGTAGATCTTTCTACATTTTACCGATGCGCAATAGATCTCTATGCGATTTGTAGCTGCACAGTAGATCTATGTGCAATGTACCGATGCGCAATAGATCTCTATGCAATTTTTAGCTGCGCAGTAGATCTAAATGCGATCTACCGATGCGCAATAGATCTCTATGCGATTTATAGGTGCGCAGTAGATCTTTATGCGTTCTACCGATGCGCAATAGATTTCTATGCGTTTAATAGTTGCGCAATAGATCTTTATACACTCTACAGATGCGCAATAGATCATTTTGCAATTTATAGCTGCGCAGTAGATCTGTCTACAATCTATCGATGGGCAATAATTTTTAACTCTCTTTTCTTGCAAAATAAATCATTTTTCTAATAGGTACGAAGCAACAGACATGAATATTTATCGTTCTGCATTATCGGCTTGTGTAATAATGGGTTTACCAAATGTTGAAGATTATATTCATAAGCATCGTGAACGATTAATGGAGGAGAAACGACAAAAATTACTTGCCCTTGAAATGACACGCGTACAACAACTTCAAATACAAAGACAACATCAGGGAAATACTAATAATAATAATAATACAACTACTACTAATGTTAATAATAATATTAATAATAATAATAATATCAATAGTGTCGTTAATCTACAAACGACGCAAAATAATCAAAATCAATCGACCCAACAGCGTTAAAAAAATTTTTTCGCACTTGTGAATTTTTAATATTTTAAATTATCATTCAAGTTTTGCATTATTGTCAAAAAAAAAAAATTGAAAAATGAAAAAAAAATCGAAACTATACACGATACACTTTTGATATGAATATTTTATAATATATTTTTTTTCGAAGATTTTTTTCTGATTTTTTTCGTTTTTGGTGGTTGGGTAAGAAAAAGTAAATTTTATTTTATTTTTGGAAAAAAAGAAAATTCGATTTCGAAAAATTTTATTTTTTTTTATTAGAAATAAACAAATTATTAAAATTATTTTTTATATAAAAATTTTTTTTTTTGGTGGTAAAAGAAAATTATTTTTAAATTTTGAGAATTGTAAAATACGAAAGAACGGAAAAGGGAATTAAATTTTTATAAATTGTTAATAAAATTATTGTATTTTATAATTAATTAATTTATTAACATTGTAGTTACAATTTTTTTTAATATTTATAAATAATTTTTTACTCGCATTTAAATTATTTTTCTTTATAATTATTAAATTTAATAAAATTATTAAATAATTATTCAAATAAATTATAATTAATTGTCTTTTATTTAAAAAAAAAAATTTCTCTTTAAAATAAAATTTGTCTCAATTTTAAATTTGAATTTAGCGCTTATTTCCCGCCTCGCAAACAATCACCAATGACGTCTGCGCAATATCCGGAACCTGCTGTCACATATTTTACTCACGTCTTTGGTGGTGAATGACATTTTTCGTATGTGTGTTAAATTTTTTTTTGATAAATGTGTTGTTCTTATCAAGTCGAAAGTTCAATGGTTTTTTAATTACACAAAAAAAAAATATATATGAAATCAACTAAACAAATATTGTATTAAAACTAATTGTGAAAAAATGTCAAAAAACGTAAAAAGTGTCGAATCCACTGGAACAATATTACTTTGCGAATATTGTACTAACCTCAAATTTAAACAAGTTCAAGATTTTGTTCGGTAAGTCCTTATTATATTATATATATTTCTCCATATAGTATATTATATCTTCTGTTACTTTTTTTCTTTATCAGAGAAAAATCTCGCCTATCTTTTTCTATTCACGTGATTATAATATTGTTCAAAAAAAAAAAAAAAAAAATAGGCCTGAAATTTTAATTTGTATAAAAAAATTATTTAATTTTAGGTTAGTTTATTCCTCGTATGTAAATTTTTAATTTTTTTAATTTTATTATTTTAATCTTATTTCGAGAAATTACGAGGTTCAGTTTTTTTTTCGAAATATATTTAAAAAATATATTTTTTTGGTTAATAAAAAATTATTTAGTTCATATAATTTTATTACGATTTTTTTTTTAAGGAAAAATTTTTCTTATATGTAAAATTAGAAAAGGAAATGAAATAATTTTACATAAAATAACATTCTTGTACTTATATTTCGTGACTACATTTTTTTTTTATTTAAATATTGCACAATCATTGAATAATATACGATTGTTATTTAAATCAGAAAAAAGAAAAAGTTAATGAATATTTTATTCCGTCATTTGTTATTATCACTTGCAGAGAAAATAATTTTAAAACAAAAATTATTGTTAAAAAAAAAGAAATTAAATATTTCAATTGTTTTTCTATTTTTAAATGATTTATTTTTTAAAGTTAATTATTTTCAAAAAAATCAATTATTTCGTAATTTACTGAAAACGAATATTTTTTTTGCTCCTTTTTCATTTTTTTTATATTCGTTTTTTCGAAAAATTTAGTATGAAAAAAAAATTAATAAATATCGTTTAAATATTTTTTTTTTTAATTAATAATTTAATGTTTAATTGAAAATTAATAAATTAAAATAAATAAATAATAAAAAATAATAATTAAAATAATAAATAAATTAGAAAATTAATTAATTAATTTTTATTTTTTTTTTTTAATTAGTTATAATTTTTTTAACTACTTATTTTTTCTATTATTATTATTATTATTTATTCTATTTTTTTATTATTTATTTATTTACACTTAAACGGGCCTTAAGCCCTTTTGTAATAATAATAATATTAATTATTATTACAATATTATAATAATAATAATATTAATTATTATTATCATTATTGTTATTTAATGAAGCGAATTTGTTATTCTATTTTTATATTTCGTATTTTTTTTCCTTTAATATTTATTAGAAAATTAAAATTATTTTAATAGTAATTTTTATTTATTTTCATATTTTTATTATTTTTTTATTCTCGTTTTTTTTATTATTTTTTTTATTGTCATTATTATTATTATTATTCAATGAAGCGAATTTTTTGTTCTATTTTTATAATTCGTATTTTTTTTTTTTTTTTGCTTTAAATATTTTTAATAGAAAATTAAAATTATTTAATTTTTATTTATTTTAATTTTTTTTTTTTTATTAATTTTTATTCTCGTTTCTTTAATTATTTTTTATTGTCATTATTATTATTATTATTATTTATTTATTTATTTCAAACATAAACGGATTTGAAATAAAATAATAATAATTATTATTATTATTTAATGAAATGAATTTTTTTGTTCTATTTTCTTTTTGGTTCGATTTTTTTTTTCTTTTAAAAGTTTGTGCGTAAAAAAAAATTATTAAAATACAGTTTGACATTTTTTTTTAATTAATTTTTCAATTATTAATTATTATAAAAAAATAATTTAAAAAAAAAAAAATTGCATTCTTTACAGTCATCTTCGTGATCAACATTGTTCACGTGAAGGTGGATCATTTGTTTGTCGTTATGGTTATAATGGTGTTTGTTCGAGTCTTCCGGTTGAAGGTGTTTCCGATAAAGATTATTTTGTTCATGCAACAAAACACGTGACAATGCAACAACAACAACAACAACAATATCAAAATAAAAAAACAAATGGCCAATTAATGGAAATTAAATCATTATCATCATCCTCGTCATCATCATTATCGTCAACATCATCGTCAACATGGTCAATTTATTCGGCAGCACAAAATTTACCTGCCGTATTAAATGATCCAAATCGTGGTAAACAGAGTAATTTTCTCACAAAAACATGGGGCGATTCGTTTATTGAAAAAATTGATATTCCAAAAAGTCCATTTTTACCCGATGTTACGATGCAACATTTTGAGCTTTATTTGAAAAAAATTGCACGGGTAAGTTAATTAATTAATTAATTAATTAATTATTTAATTAATTAAGTAATTAATTTTATATTAAATGTGAAATTCAATTTAAAAAAAAAATGATTTCATTCTTAAAATTATATTTTTTCCATCACTTTATTTTTAATACTTTGTATTCCATTTTTTTTTTACAATTCAAATTTTATTTATTTTTTATTTATATAAATAAATAAATTTTATATTTTATACAAATTTCCCCGTAAATTACAAATAAACGAATATTTATTATTTCTAATAAAATAATAAAATAAAGAAGCAAACAAATTTATAATCAAGAAATACTGAGTTTTATATATTATTATTATTATTATTATTATTATTTAACGGTGTGAGTGATTGCTTTCAATAATTGTCAAGAGAGTTAATTGTTCGTTTTGATAAAAAAAGGAGGCGAAAAGAAAAATATTGTTTCGCTGTTAAAAGTGAAAAAAAAAAAATAAAGAAAGGGAAATGAGAAAATTTATTGTTTTCTTTTTAAAAATAATTTTTTTCAATGAAATTATTAATATTTTTCAGCGATATAGAAAACATTCGCGTATGAATTCAAATCTCAATCGTTCAACATCACCAAATGAATTGTTGCAAAATTTTCCCAATTTACGAAAAACGAAAGGTCTCGCCAATAATGGACCAACAGGTAAGTTTCTATAAAAAAAAAAAAAAAAAAAAAATTTGACTATTAAATAATCCTTTTTTTTTATTTATTTATAAATTATTTTTTTTTTTAAGTAGAATAATAATATTTACATGTTTTTTTTCCAGAGCGAACGCAATTTGACGTTGCGAATATTCCAAAAATATTTTTAAGTCCACATCTTGATTTGTCGAAACGAGAAAATTTCGACGCAGTATTTTCATTTGCAAAAGATGGTTTATTTGATCAAAGTGGAAACGTCAGCAATCAGGCTAAAGTAATACAAGAACAGGTGTGTTTAGAAATCAAATTTTTAGTTTAAAAAAAAATAGTATTTTCTATTTTTTTCAATTTTTTTCATTTATGTAATTTTTTAAAATTATAATTTATTTTTATTTATTTTTAATTTGTTTTTCTTTTGGAATTTCTAATCTTTTAATTTAAATTTCTAATTTATTTCTTTCAATTTTATAATTTATTTATAATAATTTCATTTGAAAAATAATTATTTTGTTTATTAAAATAATAATAATTATAATACTATTTAATGGAAATAGAATAATATTTGCTTTTTGTTTTTGATAATTTTACAAAAATAATAATTTTCTTTTTTTTCGAATTCACAGTTGACACAATATTTAGACACAGTTGAAGTGAGAATAGCCGAACAAGTTGCATCGAAATCGCAGGCATTTTTTCATGCAATGACCTCACACGATGCACTAATGGAACAATTAACACAAACAATAACTGTTTTAAAAGCGTTAAGAAAAAATATTCATCAAATTGATGATAATTTGGTGAAAAGTTCCTTTCAAATTTTAAGGTAAAATAGAAATTTTTTTTCTCTTTTTCTATTCTTTACTTATTATTATTATTATCATAGTTTGCAAAAAAAAAAAAATAATAATTCTTCCTTTTTCGATTTTTTCATTCCTTTTTCCTTTGGGAAGAATAAAAATAGTTTAAAAAAATAAAAATAAATAAAAAATAATAAAAAATAAAGGAAAAAAAAGAAAAATTGAGGGTAATTTTGAATAAAAAAATAGAAAACTTTTACAGATTAGAACAGGCGCGATCAAATCATCAGCAAGTGCAGGAAAAATTGAAATTAATGGCAACTGTTCATCAAAGTCAACCAATGATACAATTATTACTTTCAACGCCTGATTACGTGGCTGCTCTTGATCTCATTACAACAACTCAGGAAATTTTATTACAGGAATTGAATGGCGTTCATAGTTTCAGGTAATAAAAAAACAAAAGACAGTAAAAAATAATTATTACTATTTTTAATATAATTTTATCGATAATTCTTTGTGTTTTATTTTCCAAAAAGAAAAAAATTTAATTTAACAGAAGAAAAAAGAAAAGAAAAAAAAACACTAATAAAAATTAATAATACCTAATAATAATTAATTTTAATTAATAATAATTATTATTCATTTTGTTTTATTTCCAAAATAAAATATTAATTCTTTAACTGAAGTATAAATATAAAGTAAATTATAAATAATTCTAAAAATAATGAAATAAAAACTATTTTTATAATATTTAAATAAAAAAAAATAGCCATAATTTTCTGTAATATAATTTAGAAAAAAAAATTAATTTTTATAATGTAATTTGAATAGAAAAAATGGCTATTTTTTGTAATATAATTTAAATAAAAAGAAATATCAATTAAGATAATATTTTTTTGATAATATAAAATTAATGTTAAATTTTCATTTTTCTATAGACATTTAGGATCACAATTAAGTGAAATGGAAAAATTAGTCGATAAAATGTTGTCAACTGAATTTGAACGATATGCAACGGCGGATTTAAATAGACCTTTAGGAGGAGATAATACCGTCTTAGATGGGGTAATTTTTCATTTTTTTTTTCAATATAAATATTTAAAAAAAAAAAAAAGATTTTTATATTTCTTAATGAAAAAGAATAGAAAAATTAAAATTTATAAAAAATAGAAATATTAAAATTTTATTTATTTCCTTTTTGCTTCTAGGACAAACTTGTTTCAATTATTTCGGGTTTATTGCGTCAAAAACATTTGCAATTTGTCGATACTTATAAAGAAGAATCAGTGACTGCAGTGAGAGCAGTGACAAAACAAAGAATTATTGAGGCATTAGCGGCAAGTGATTGTTGCAGTGATCAACAAGCAGCAGCATTGGAAGTTGGTGGTTTATCTCTTGCCGAGAGACTTACACTTTTATATAATACAATTCAATCTCTCACATATCTTCTTCATCGAATCAAGGTAGAATTTTTTTTCCTTTTTTTCCCTTTTCTTTATTATTTTTTGCATTTCTCCATTTTTTTCCCAAAATTATATTATATTATATATTATTATATTATATTAAATTTCCTCCTCCAATAAGTAAATTTAATTAATTATTATTAATAAATAAATAATTTTTTTTTCTATTGAATAAAAAATAATTTACAATGAGGAAAGAAAAAAATAGAAAATAAATAAAAAATTTTTTATTCATTAAAAATTTCTTTTAAGGCCGTACACAGTGTAATGCAAGAAACGGCGGATTTATCATCGGGACGATTACCCGATGGTTCAATGGATAATTCGTTAACTGATTATTTATTATCCGAGGAGGAATATAATCGAATTACTAATAAATTAACCGATATGTTAACGTCAATTTGTGATTATTGTCATGAGCGTTTGGGAAATTTATTATCGGCAAGTCCAATTGAAAAGGAAATAACAACAACAACAACAAGTAATAATAATGGTGATAATATAATGACAAAATTATCCGAAAAAGAAAGTCCATCATGGGGTGAAAAATCATCGTGGTTGGGCGATCGTGCAACGGCCGCTCAAGTTTGTCGTCTTGCAAATATGGTCGATGGATTTACTGAAACTTGTGAGAAAATTTGCGGTAAACAATCGACGGCACTGCGCTCTGCATTTCGCGTGAGTTTTTGATTTTTATTTAAAAATTTTTTCTATTTCAATTTTTGTCCTTTCCCTTTTTTTTCCTTTTCTTCGTTTTTTCTTCAAGTGATTAAAAAATTGAATTTATTTATTAAAATTTCAATTTTATTTTTCAAAACAAATTTAATGAAAATTTTATTGCTAATAAATTAGAAAAAATAAATAAAGTATTTTTTTGTTATTGAAATTAATTTTTTTTTTTTTTTCTCAAAAAATAGGCACAAGCAAGTAAATTTGTTCAACGTTTTCACAATGAGAGAAAAACAAAATTAAACCTTCTACTTGAAACCGAAAGATGGAAACACGCCGATGTACCAATTGAATTTCAATCACTCATCACATTTATTTATGAGAATAAATATTTTCCCGATAATTTTAAAATAGAAAAAAAAATGTCCAATGAAAATTCAACAAATTTCATTTTAATTGGAGATGAAAAATTTGCTGTCGTTGGCGCTGCACTTATTCTCATTCAAATAATTCACGAATATTGCAGGTAATTAGAAAAAAAAAAAGAAAAGAAAATTTTCTTACTAAATTTTGATTTATAAAGACAAAAATATTTTCTCTTTTTAAATTATATTTTAATTATATTAATAATAAATAATAATATTTAATTTTTTTTTTCGTAAATATTTGAAAAATTAAAAAAAAAATAGTTTTTTTTTCTTTTTGGTAAATTTAAAGAATATTTGAAAATTTTTAGAACCGCGAGTGAATTGACGACTCTTTCGGGAACAATTGGACGACAATTGGCGGAATTATTGCGGCATTATAATTCACGTTGTTGTCAATTGGTTTTGGGAGCTGGTGCAATGAAAGTCGCTGGATTGAAAACAATTACGAGTACAATTCTCGTTCTTGCTGCACGAAGTTTGCGTCTCATTATTTGGATAATGCCATTTGTCAAGGCACATTTTCAAGGTACTTTTATTAAAATTTTTCTTTTTTCATATATTCAATTTAATATAATTAAAAAATAATTACAATAGATAATTTATAATAATAATAATAATTACAATTTTGTTATTTTTTTCGAAATGTAATTTTTAACGTTAATATTCAAAATTTTAATACATTTTTAAAAATTTTATTTTCCTTCTGTAATTTTTTTTTTAAATCTATTTTTTAAAAAATTCAAATAGGTTTGGCGGAATTGAGTACAAATCGTTCGATTGTTGGAATTTCCGGTGTTACTGGCGGTGTTGCATTATTGGACACTGTCGAACGCGATATTCGATCACACGTCCATGAAATTGATACGAAAATTCTTACAATTGTGGATAATCTTCTTACAAGTCATATTTCAAATTGGACAGCAAAACCTCCAGTTCCATCGCAATCATTTAGAACCATTTCCAAGTAAGAGAATATTTTTCTTTCTTTCTTTCACAAAAATTTACGAAAAAAAAAGAAATTTAATTTACAACAAAAAAATTTTATTCACAACAAAAAAATTTTATTTATAACAAAAAAAAAAAAAAAAAAAATTGATTTACAACAAAAAATCGAACACCTAAAATTTTGGATAAAATTAAATTTTAGGCGAATTCAAAATCGAAACGATTATAAATTTCTAAATTTATATTTTGGATAAAAATTCCAAATTGAATTATTGAAAATCGAACGCTTTCAAATTTGGAAAAATCTAAATTTTTTGGACAAATTCAAAATCTAACGCTTCCAAATTTGTAAAAATCAAAATTTTGGATAAAATTAAATTTTAGGCGAATTCAAAATCGAAACGATTATAAATTTCTAAATTTATATTTTGGACAAAAATTCAAAATTGAACGGTTCAAAATCGAACGCTTCGAAATTTGGAAAAATTAAAATTTTTGACAAATTCAAATTCGAACGCTTCCAAAATTTGGAAAAATCAAAATTTTTGACAAATTCAAAATCGAACACTTCCAAATTTGGAAAAATCAAAATTTTGGACAAAATAAAAGTTGGGCGAATTCAAAATCGAACGATTCTAAATTTCTAAATTTATATTTTGGACTAAAATTCCAAATTAAATTATTCAAAATCGAAGGCTTCGAAATTTGGAAAAATCTAAATTTTGAACAAATTTGAAATCGAACGCTTCCAAATTTGGAAAAATCTAAATTTGGGACAAATTCAAAATCGAACGCTTCAAAATTTGGAAAAATTAAAATTTTTTACAAATTCAAATTCGAACGCTTCAAAATTTGGAAAAATTTAAATTTTGGACAAATTCAAATTCGAACGCTTCCAAATTTGGAATCATAAATTTTGAAAAGGCAAAATTGAACGCTTTCAAATTTGGAAACATAAATTTTGGAAAGACAAAATTGAATAAAAAAAAAAAAAAAAAAATTTCGAATAAATAAATAAATAATTATTTTCAGACATTTGGCGAAATTACATGAAGCTGTTTCCGGTATTTTGCCACCAGCTGAAGTTCAATTATTATATCGTACAGTTAATATTTCATTTAAGGAGAAATTACGTGAACAACTTATAAAAATGAATATTGTCAATAATGGTGGTCCGCAACATGGTGTTGTAACATCTGAATTGACATTTTATTTAGAGGCATTGAGAAATCTTAAAGTTTTACCAATTGAGGAATTAAATGACACATGGTTAAATGATATTTGGTCGAGATAACATGCAGAGCGTGTGGTTTATTGTATTTTAGAAGCGGTCAAATTTTATCGAAAAAGATGACTAAAATTTTTTTCGTATTAATGGAAAAAAATTATTGTAATAATACATGATTTTTCTTTTTTTCTATAATAATATAGGAAAATTATTATGGTTATTAGGTAATTTTTACGCTTTCTTAAATTGAAAATAAAAATTTAGTTAAAGAAACGATGAGAAAAAGAAATATAAAAAATGAAAAAAAAAGAAAAATAAGAAAGAAAAATACAAAAAAAATAAGAAAAACGAAAAAAGGAGGAAAAACAAAATAGTTTAAAATAATTTTTTGTTCAATGGCCTATGAAAAAAAATAATTATTTAAGAAAATATTCATAATTTCAATTTTAGTTTCATTTCTATTTTCTTCATCGAAAATTTTCTTTTATTTTCGTTTTTCTTTCTTTCTTTTTTTTCAAATTTTGTTCTGATTTTTTTTTGTTTTTCTTTTACATAAAACAAGGAAGTGTTTTTTTATCTTTGTAAATTTTAATCTAAAAGAACAAATTATTGTTCTTTTAAAAAAAAAATTTTTTTTTTTAGTTCACATGAATTATTTTTTGAAAAAGAAAATAATTTTGATTTTGGAATTTTCTTCGGTAATTTTGAAATATTTACGAAAGCCGAATTTTACAAATAGATAAAAAATTTTTAATTCTTTTATTCAATAAATTTAATTTATAATTTTTTTTTCTTTTACTAATTATTCAATATCAAAGAAATTTTATTTAAATAAATTTTTAATTTAGTGAAAAATTTTCAATTTTAATTGAAGTTAAAAATTTTTTTTTTCAATTTATTTTTTTAATTTGTTTTTTTAATTTTCTATTTATCGATTTTTTTTCCTTATTTAAGAGGAAAAGAAAAACTATAAATTATAAATATAAATATTATAAATTATAAATATCTAATTAATTAACTAGTTAATTAATTTATTAACTAATTATCTAATTTATTTAATAATTAATTAACTAATTTTCTAATTAATTAATTAATTTACAAATATTATTTACTTATTTTCTTTTTTTTTTATTGTTAATTTTTTTGTCAATTTCTCTCGACGGGGAAAAAAATAGACTGATTAAAATTACATTCGTGTACGAAAAAAGAACGAAAAAAAAGTATTCTAAAAAAAAAAATTAGAAATTTTAGATCAAAATAGTTTTTTTTTCTTTCTTTTTTTTAATACAAAGAAAAATAACAAAAATTAAATTCTAAATTTTTTTCTCCTTTTTTTGGATTAAAAAACAATTCCACTGCCAGGAAAAATAAATATTTCTACTTTACCAAAAAAAAAAAAAATAAAGCAAAAAAATAAAAAAAAATTCATAAATAGTTAGGCTATATTAATTTTTTTCATTGTATATAATTTTATATTATAAATATTATAATAATTATAAAATTATTTATCAATTTTAATTTCTAATTTATAAATAATTATTTATAAATTCTTAATTTATAAAATAATTAAAATAAATAATTATTTATCAATTATAATTTGTAAATAATAATAAGAAAATTTTTCGTCTAAATGGAAAAAATTTCAAATTTTTACTAAAAAATAGAAAAATGGATATAAAAAAAGAATAAAATCTCTCATTTAAAAAAAAGGTAACATTTTTTTCTTTTTTTTTTTTTTTTTGAAATGAATTATTGTACAATTTTTTATATAAAGAAAAAAAGTACAATTTTTGTTATCACTTTTATTTTTATTAATGTACATATTGATATTAGTGATGATTGATAACTGCATTGAATATTCGATAAATGTGTGGATATTATTTGTATTATATTGAAAAAAGAGGAGAGGGGGCTAGGAAAGAAAAAGAAAAAAAAAAGAGAAAAGAAAGCCTGTGTGTCTCTATCGTATATTGTGTTTCCTATTTGTCAAAGGTCATGGACCTAAACATTCCATTGTCTAGTCTGCTTTGTAAATAGAAATATAATCATGTATAAATAATTGTTATTATTATACAGGCTCTTCAGTAGTTTTTTTTTTGTATTTTTTTTTTTTTTTGGAGACTTTGCAATTTTTTTTTGTTATTTACAAAAATTGCGAAAAAAATTTTTCCTGTTTCATTTTAAGAAATATTTGTTTATAATTAGATTAAAAAAAAAAAAATAAAATAAACTATAGTTTTCAAATATTTTTTCTCTGGAAAAATTTGCAATGTATTTTATATGAAATATTTAATTTTTAAAAAATTATTTTGAATTAATTAATTTAATAAGCTTAAATTTGAATTTTTACTTCTAATGACGAAGCCATATGGAACGGGAAACGGAAATAAATATAATAATAATAATTACAATTGAAATAATTATTAAATACTTAAAATAATTATTAAAAAATTCAAATTATAATAAAATAATTAAATAGTTATTAAAGAATTAAAAAATTGTTAAAGTATTTAAATTAATTATGTGATTTTTATTTTCATATTGCGATTAAAGTGAAAAATAAAATAAATTATTCAAAAAAAAAAGAAAATTGGTGAATATAAACAAAATTTCAAAGTCTTCAAAAATTCGTTTTATTAAAAGTGAATTTTTTTCGAATTCACTGCTTTGTTTGTTTTATTTTTCGTCATCAGTCATTTTTAATTATAAGAATATTATTATAATTGTTAATTTTAGGTGGTTGAAATATTTTTATTATTATTAATTATTATTATATAAATAAATTATAAATATATATATTAAAGAAAATTATTGCCTGAAAGAAAAAGAATATTTTTTTTTGCACTTTGTAATATTAAAAAAATGAAAAGATAATATTTATTTCTATATAAAAGTGAAAAATGAATTGAATTTACGACGACGCGTTTCCATGGTAACGGGCAAGTGATGCTTTTAAAAACATTGAAAATCATTGCAGTTTGCTGGACATTTTTTTTTCCTTACAATCCACTTCGAAAAAAGGAATTTTTCACAATATCTCAAGAATTTTTTTTTGTATTTTTTTTTCCATTCTTCTTCAATAATTAACGGGGAGAAAAATGTCTGAGGAATATCCGTAAGTTTTTTCAATTTTTTTTTTTTTAATAATACTTTTTTTGTTTTTCTTTTGTTTTACAATTTTTGTTTTTTTTTTAATAATATTAAATTTCCTTTTTTTCAGTAGTTTAGAAAATACAAGAGAATTAGCGTTACGATTATCATTGGAAGAGGAAAATAAAAGGAAAAATGATGGAATTGAAACACACGAACGATCAATTATTCTTCTTGGTAGTCAAGGAGTCGTGAGTTTTTTTTTCATCTAATTTTCCCTCCACCTTCAAAAAAAAAAAAAGAAAAATTTTCTTTAAAAATTTTCTATTTTATTTTTTACTTTTTTCTCTCACACACAAAGGGCAAAACAACAATGATTTATCGATTTTTGGATAAAGACGATACGCCAAAATCAACAATTGCCATGGATTATTCTTTTGGAAGGAAAGCGGGAAAAAGTTTGGTGAGTTTAGACAAAAAAAAATAATTATTATTTTTAATAAACTTAAAATAAATTTAAATTATTTAGAAATATATACTTCATTGTAATATTATTTAAACAAATAAAAATTATTATTTAAAATAATAATAAAGAAATTACGAATTGGAAATAATATAAAAAATCACTTATAAATAATTAATATTAAATTAATTTTTTTTATTATTTTTTTTCCATGATTAAAAAATTTTAATATTTTTTTTATAATTTTTTTTTATAAAGAATTTTTTGTAATTTTTTTTCATAAAGAATTTTTGTAATTTTTTTTCTATAAATTTTTTTTTCTTTTTTGTTATTTCAATTCAGATAAAAGACGTGATTCACGTTTGGGAAGTGGGTCATTTATCATCGTCATTAATATCGGCGGCAATGATTGGATCAACGTTAATTCATTCTCCACATCATGTGACAATTATGATAATGTTAGATTTATCAAAACCCGAAATGATTTGGTCCTCATTGGAGGAAAGTCTTTCTGTTGTACGAAGTGCAATGAAAATGAGTTACAATGAAAAATTAATTGAATCAATGAATAATCGACGAATTAGAGAAAAACGAAAGGACACAGAAAAAAGTGTCGATCCATTTCCAATGAGACTTTGTATTATTGGTGGGAAATACGATGAATTTAAAGTAATTTAATATTTATTAAATTTTTTTTAAATTAAAAAAAATTCTTTTTCACAACAATTTTTTATTAATTTATTAAATTTATTTTATTAATTTTTTATTTAAATTATAAAATAAATAATTAAATAAAATAAATTTAATAATGAATAAAATATAATTTTTTTAAATTTTTAATTACTGTTTATTCTATTATAAAAAAAAAGAATTGCTTAGAAAAATTTGAGGAAGAAATTTTTTAAAAATTAAATTATTAAAAATGATGAAATTTTTTTTTTTTTTTTTATAAAAAGAATTAAAATTTATAGGAATTTGATTCGACGAAAAAAGGATTAATTGGTCGAATTTTGAGAGCCACGGCTCACGCTCTCGGTGCAACACTTCATTTTCATTCATCAAAAGATTCTGCACTCGTTCGAAGGACAAAAGATTTATTGTCCTTTTATGGATTTGGTTCTCAAACATTGTAAGAATAATTTTTTTTGCGTTATAATTATTATTATTTTTTCTGTTTATAAAAATAGTTTTAAATTATTTTTAAAAAATTATTTAAAATTGTTTTAAAAATTTCTTTAAATTGTTTTAAAAATATTTTAAAATTAATAATTATTTTTTTAAAATAATATTTAAAAATTATTTTTAAAAATTTGAAATAATTCTTTTTGCCCCCCCCCCAAAAAAAAATTTATTTAAAAAAAAAATCATTGAAATAATTTTAGAAAAGGAAATTGTGCCGATTACGAGAAGCCATTAACAATTATTGGTGGTACAGATTCTTTTATGGCAATTGAACTCGATCTTCCGGGACGATTATTGAATCTTGAGAAAATAAAGCAAATTTTTATAAGTCGTATACCCCAGGGTACGAGGGAGGAAATAAAATTAGATGATCCTGCCAATCATCCAAGTTTTAGTGAGCCAATAATTGATCGACTCAAAAATCAACGAGAAGAGGTAAAAAAATATTTTTTTTTTAAATTTAAAAAATATTTTATTAAAAATTTTAATTTTTCAAAAAAAATAATTTTTCATTTATTAATTATTATTCATTATTTATTATTATTATTATTTATTTGTTTATTTCATTTATTATTTTATTTTTATTTAAAAAAATTATTTCATAAATATTAATATATTAATATAGATATTTTTTATTAATAATAATATATTCTTTATACCCAATACTTATATTAATAAAATATTTTTTCTTCATTAGGAAATTAGTTTTCTTCTAAACGAAATGCTAGAAGGAAGATCGACAAAAATTCCAGTACCAGATCCAATTTAAAATTTTCTTTTTTGAATTTTCCCGCCAATATTTAAAAGAAAAAAATTTTTCTACAACTTTCAAATATATTTATTAACAATAATTAGAAAATATTTATTATCAATAAAAAAATAATTTTTGAATTATTAAATATTATTAATTAACTGTTAATTATTATTAATTTATTATTTTTTTATTATTAAATTAATTAAAAGAATTAATTGATAGAGAAAAAGAGAGCGAGAGAGAAAGAGAGCGATTGGGTCAATGATCCATAGTACAAACATTACCATGTGCAAGGTTCACGTGACTATATTTCAATGCCGGAGTTATTTTTGTTCGAGTCTGATCTCATAATAGAGAACACGAGGAACGATTAAGCAGATTAATACGCTCGCATCTTTCTCACTTTCTTATATATAAATACGCGTGAGTGTTTGTGTGACAAAAAAAATTGGAATTTTCCCGCGCAATTCAAGGGTATGACACAACATAACCACATTTTTTTCGTTTTAATCTCTATAATATATAAAATCCCAATATCAATAAGAAAATCGATTTCAACATCATGGAGAATATATAATGTAAGAAAAATAATTTTTTTTGTTTAATTTCGATATATCGCAATTCTTAATCGATTAATCGAAATTTCAAAGCGATATATCGAAATTTATAATCGATGAATCAAAATACTTAATATCACAACTTTTTAATCGATTAATCGAAATTTCAAAGCGATATATCGAAATTTATAATCGATGAATCAAAATACTTAATATCACAACTTTTAAATCGATTAATCGAAATTTCAAAGCGATATATCGAAATTAAAAATCGATAAATCAAAATTCTTTATTCGATATATCGTAACTAATGGAAACTCCCTTGTCACCGTTACGTTTTTTATTGAAACGTACTTTTTGTAAAATTGTCTTTTGAGGTTTTCTAAAAATCCTTGGTTCCAGGTTCAAATGTGATTTGAATTTAAGGTTTCTTGAAAACTCCCTGGTCACCGATACGTTTTTTTTGAAACGTACTTTTTGTAAAATTGTCTTTTGAGGTTTTCTAAAAATCATTGTTTTTAGGTTCAAATGTGATTTGAGTTCAAGGTTTTCTGAAAACTCCCTGGTCACCTATACGTTTTTTTCTTAAACGTACTTTTTTGGAAAATTGTCTTTTGAGGTTTTCTAACAATCCTTGGTTCCAGGTTGAAATGTGATTTGAGTTTGAAGGTTTTATGAAAACTCCCTGGTTACCGATACGTTTTTTTTGAAACGTACTTTTTGTAAAATTGTCTTTTGAGGTTTTCTAAAAACTATTGTTTATGTATTTCCAATAATGCAAAGTGACAAAAATTTTTTACCGTAGCTGTAAATGTATTTTAATATTATTGAAAGTTTCTATAAATACAGCCAGTTGTCATGACAACACGTGTGTTAGAAAAGGACAAAAAAGTGTATGCAAATTGTGTATACACTGTACATCACGAACTAAGAAAATTATTATAGAAATGTCACGAATTTTTATAAGAAATATCGATATATTTATACAGATGGCTTGTGTATCGAAATTTTTTTCGATTATCAATAATTTTCTTCCTCTCTATTTTGGGGGAAAAATTTCTTCAACGGGGCACTTGTATTTCTTCGTCCCGAGTGAATATTCTTGGGATTGATTCGATCCTTGTTGTTTAAAGAGCGCATGCTCAGTTCTTCCTACGAGCGTCCTTTCTCCCCTACCACGAACTATTTTCTTTCTTTCTCTCTCTATTTCCATCTTTCTCCTCAACTCCCACTATTTTCGTTCTATCTCTCTCATCACCCTCTCTCTCTTTCTCTCTTATACTTTCCCCCAACCTCTTCTTTTTCACATTTTCTATTTCTCTCCCTCACTCTCATTGATCATCTTTCTCACTTTTTCCCCCGCAAAGTAAACAAGTATAGGGGTTTTCTCGTCGTGCGGCTGATAAGAAACACACACACACACAAATATTTTTTGTATGTGTGAGTAGAAACGCGTGCGCAAGGTACAATTTTCTCGCGCATGCGCTTTATCAATTCACCGATAGGAGCGTTCAGTATTCAAGTTATATACGAATTACGAAAAGCAAAAATTGCGTCTAGTGAAAAATGCCGCTTTGATCATGACACGCGGTTCCTCGTGATAGACGTGTGTGTGTGTGTTTTATTTGTTTGTGTATATATTAAAAAAAATATATATATATATTTATGTGTACATATATATAAAAGTGTTGGTGGTCCTCTTTTATCGCATTGCCCTTGATTTTTTTTTCTCTTCAAAAATAATAATAATATTTCGCAGGTAATTTATTAAAAAAATGGTTTTTTACTCTCTCGGTTAAAAATAATTCACGGAAAAAAAAGAAATGACATCTTAAAATCCAAATATTGTTTAATAATAATTAATAATTTTCGCGTGTTTTTTTATTTATTTTTTTTTAAATTTATTGTTCGTTTATAATTAATATATATTTGTGACAAAGTGCAGTGATTTAATTAATATAGAAAACAAAAAGGAAACATTTTCATCGTGTGACTAATACTTTTTTTGCAAAAAAAGAAAGGACCTACTTTTTGGGGTGAGTTTTTTATAATTTTCTTTTTATTATTTATTTTTACACTTTTATACAAAAAACAAATATATACACTACAATTTATAAATATTTAGTAATATTTATTTCATTTTATTTAATAATTTATAAATACTGGACAAAATTTGTTGCGAAATTTTTTTTTAGAATAATTTATTCATATTATTATTATTGTTATTTTTATTAATTGTACCATTATTTAATTATATTATTTACATGATAATCCTGTAATTGGTCTTAGTAACAGTTGGATTTATATCAATAAACTAAATTATTATTAGCATAAATATTCTGTGGAAACACCCATAAAGTATGGGTACAATAATTTTAGAAGGATAATATTTTTTTAATACAAAAAATTCTTTCTGGGTTTCAGTATTTTTTTGATATTTTATATTATAAATAATAATAATTATTATTATAGTCATTATTAAAATAATAATAATTATAATAATAAGATAAAAATAATTGTAATAAGAATATGAAATTTTTGATGAATTTGACAAATCTATATGAGCGACACCTATGGTGAACGAGAATAGGGACTAAAAAACGGATGACATAAAAAAATAATGAGTGGAGAATTGATAAACCCAACTATATAATACGATACACCCAATTGTATTAATTGATGTCCTTTTGATACGTTTTTTTAAACGTACTTTTGTAAAATTGTCTTTTGAGGTTTTCTAAGAACCATTGGTTCCAGGTTCAAATGTGATTTGAGTTTAAGGTTTTCTACTGAAAACTCCCTGGTCACCGATGCGTTTTTTTAAACGTAATTTTTGTAAAATTGTCTTTTGAGGTTTTCTAAAAATCCCTGGTCACTGGTCCTATTTTGTCAACTGTTACACTCCCACCAAACTAGTCGTTATGATACTTCTATATGATAATTTTATTAGTTTTAAAGCGTAAGGTATCCGAACGAATGTAAACACCATAGACCAAGAACTAATGAAATTATTATAGAAGTATCACGACTTTTCAAAAAATATTGTCAAACCGGAAGTACACCATTTGTGCAATTGGATGTACATTTTTTAAAAAATTGATCTTTGAAACTTGTTATCTGGGGGTTTTCTGGGTCTCTGATTACGAATCCGTGTATTAGTTTTTCAAAAAACAAAATGACGGATCCAAAGTGGGGAAAATTTTTTTTTTTAAATTGATCAAATTCGCTTGAAAATCATTACTCGGGGGTTTTCAGGGTCGCTGATTACGAATTTGATATTGAAATTTCAAAAAACAAAATGGCGGATCCAATATGGCGGAAGTCTTTTGGAAAAATTTATCAAATTCGCTTGAAAATCATTACTCGGGGGTTTTTGGGGTCGCTGATTACGAATTTGACATTCGAATTTCAAAAAACAAAATGTCGGATGCAATAGGGCGAAAAAATTTAGTTAAAATTGACCATTCAGCTTAAATTTCATTACTAGAGGATTTTCACGAGCGCTGATTACGAATCCAATGTCAGTTTTTCAAAATTCGAAATGACGAATCAAAGATAGCAAATCGAAAATTCTATGTGGATGAAATACGGATGGGATTAATTAATATTTCTTTTTTTTTTTAATTAAAAAAAAGATTAGTTTCCTTTTTTTTATTTTGAAATAAAGGGTCTTGTAAATATTATTTAATTTTTGCTTTTTTTAATGTGAACATTTTTTATCTTATCGATTGTTGGCGGATTATATAATTTTAATGCGACCGATTTTAGATGCTGGTCAAGTGCGGGGGTCAACACACACATATATATATATTTTGCGAGTATACGAACCTCTTTTTCAGCCCGTTATCGATTCCCTCCTTTTGATACACCTCTCCCCGCGACTCCCCTTTAACACCCCCCCCCCCCCCGCCCCACTTCTAATGCTCCACTATATGACGTGATCTCATTTCATTCGCAATTTTACGCGATTCGTTATAGTAAAAAGAAACTTAGGGGGGAAGAAAGAAAGATGAAGAAGAAGAAGGAATAATTAAAAATAGAGAGTTTAATTAAACAATTTTAGAAAATTTTTTATAATATATATTTACTATAATATATTATATAATAATTATAATATTATATATTAATTTTGAAAATAATTTTTTTCGTTAGTCAATTATAATTTTTTTTTTCTTCTTTTATTTTTTCATCTGTGATAAATTTCCATTTTCAACGGAAGTGTCTGAGAATTATTACCATTCCGGTTTCTTGCGAAAATTGTATAGTGGGCGTCCTAAGGGTTGTATTACTAGTTTAGCTCGGGGGCGTGTGGGGGCGGGGGTCAATCATGAAATAGGGGAGGAAAAGTTCAAATGTAATTCCCTGCAGATGTATATATATATATATATTTTTTTTTTATATATGTGTAAATTCTTAACTGATACCGCATTGGCGTGCAATTGGTCCCTTGGTTCCGACAGGCACCACAAAATCACTATTTTTACTATATTATATATATGTAATATTGCCAAACTGTATTATATCTTAAAGTACAACAAAAAAATTATAGTAATATAAATCTTCCAAACTCGGTTAATATTCAGAAACATTTCCTTAGAATATTCTATATATTTAAAATATTTCTATAATATTTAGTCAATTTTAAATATTTAGTAAATTTTTTGGAATATCTTATTTTGGAATATTTAGTAATATTTTTGGAATATCTTTTTTTTTGTGTATTTAGAAAATATTTGGAATTTTTGATAAATTAATATTTTAGTAAATTTTTGGAATATCTTATTTTGGAGTATTTTGGAAGTATTGTGGAATATTTAATTTTGTGTAATATTTATGGAATATATCGAATATTTAAATTTCAATAATAAATTTTATTTCAAATATTAAAAATTGTTTGACGTAAATTTATTTATTTTTCTTTTTTTTTAAATATATTATTCTTTTATAGTAAAGTAAGATTTAAGACGCGATTTTATTAGTGCAAACACACACACATACAGACACACACACACATGCAGGAAACTCGTGAGGTACACACCGGAAATAAGATTGAAAGACGAGCTTTGACCGTGACGAATGGAGTTCAAGTCTTGGAAAACTTTGCAAGAGACCAAAAAAATATACAATATTATTACTAATTAATTAAGAAAAAAAATTTTAAACATTCAAAAAAATATATTTTTTCCACACTTATGAGTTTGGAATATTCCTAAAATATTACAGTGGAATATTCCTAAAATATTTCTGAAATGTTACATTGGAATATTCCTATAATTTTTTTTTTAAATTATTAATCTAAAATATTTCTAGTTTCTAAAATGTTTCTTAAAATATTTCATAAAATATTTCTTTGGAATATTGCTGAAATATTTTTTAAATAATCCAATAAAATATAACTAATATTCCTTATAAAATATTCCTTAAATATTTTTAAATATTATTAGTCTAAAATAATTTTTAAAATATTTAAATTTCCAAATTTAAAATTTCTTTTTTTTTATTGGAATATATTTTTAACGAACTATAGATATAATGAAAACCCTTTTCATTGCGATAATTGCGTGTGGAGAGTTGAGCACGTGGCAGATTTAATAGTATATATGTAGTCAATCTATATATATATATATATATATAACGAGACGTGTGCAGTCATTACTTATCCCGATGATGGTTTTTATTGTCCTTCTGCACGTTTTGTGAGTCACTTTCTACCCCGCAATCAGCTCTTTGAAAGACAATAATTTTTTTTTTGAAATACTCTTTTTTTTAAAACAAAACGGAAATTTTTTTTCTTTTTTAATGAAAAAAGAAAAAAAAATTTTAAATGAAAAATTAAATAAATTTTTTTATATTAGAAAAATAATATTGAATATTAAAAAAAGTACGTTTAAAAAAAAAAAAAAACGTATCGGTGACCAGGGAGTTTTCGCAAAAAACCTTAAACTCAAATCACATTTGAACCTGGAACCAAGTATTTTTAGAAAACCTCAAAAGACAATTTTACAAAAAGTACGTTAAAAAAAATAAATAAATATTAAAAATTATTTTTCAATAATAATAAAAAATAGTAAGAATAATTAAAATAAAAAAATTAATTTATAAGAATTAATAAATTTATTTATTAAATAAGAATAAATAATTTATTTGTTAAATAATAAAGAGTAATAAATTTATTTCTTTTATTTTTTGAATTTAAAACTTTAATATGAAAATAATTTTTTTATATAAAAACATTTTTATAAAAAATAATATTTTTTCCCATAAAAAAAAATTATTAATAAAAAAATTTCGAAAAAAAATAAATGAAAAATGATAAGACAATATAATATGTAGAGTAAATAGAATTGGCTTCTGGTGGTAAAATAACGACAATGTAACTCATTACGAAATGTGTTCTTGCATTGCCATGATCGTAAAAGCGTAACGAAAAATGAACTAACAAGATAGGAGAGGTTCAATTTTATTCTTCTCCACACAATATTTATTAAGTTTCAACCACTGCGTAATACAATCCTTCTTCACTCTCTTTTTTTAAGTACAAAAAAAAGGTAACGAGAAAAATAATATATGTATTTATTTTTTAAATTAAATATTTTATTAAAAAAAAACAAATTGAAAATGTAATTTAAAAAATTTTTTTTTTTAATTTAAAAAAAATTGTTTTTATAATTTTATTTTTTTATTTAAACAAATTTTTATTAATATTTTTTTAATTTAACAAATTTATTTTAATTAATTTTTTGCAATGTAATTTTTTATTTATATATTTTTTATTTTTATTTGTACCAAGAATAAATATTTTTTTTATTTATATTTATATTTAGAAACAATAGAAAAATAAAAAAAATTAATAAAATGTAAAAGAACTAATAAATAATTTAATAATAATAATAAAATTAATTTTTTTTATTTTTATGAAAGAAAAAAAATTATTGAGTTTCGTTTGTTTTTTTTTCGCGAATTTTCTCGCAGTGTATGTGATTAATTAATTTTTTAACCGCCAGAGTGCGTTATTGTTAATTTAACAAATCCACAATCGAAATGAATTTGTCGTGCCTATAAATACTGCTACATTGAACATTTAAATTTTCATAACTTACTTGGCGTGAAGGATATCCATGATCAACAAGGTGGTTCCTTCTGGGTGAGGCTTGTTCATTGCACCATATTAATCGAACAATGCTGAACCTTTCGAGTACTCCTATTGTGAGTATATCGAGCGCAAAATTTTTTGATTTATTCGGGATCTGCGTTCGCGCTGTCCCGTGATTAATATTTAAAAAAATAATTAATTAATTAATTAATAAAAACTAAAAAATATATAATGGGTAAAAATTTTAAATAACCTCCAAAAATTATTTTTCTTTTTTTTATTTTTGTCACTTTTTATAATTTTTTTGAAAATAAAAATATTTTTTTTGAAAATAAAAAAAATATTTATTTTGATGTTTTTTTATTGAGATTAAATTAATTAAAATAAATTTAAGGCGCTATTAATTAATTAAAATGTCATTAAGGAATTTTTATATTAATTAGTAGGTATACATTAGGTAAATTTTTAATTAATTACCTATTAATTACCAATTAACTAATTATTAATTAGCGAATTGTTAGTTAAATAATTAATAATTGGAAAATTATTAATTATGTAATTATAAATTTATTTATTATTAAATAATTAATTAGTTAATTATTGACTAATTACTAATTATTTAATTATTTAACAGAATTTCTCTATTAATTAAATAATAAAAAGGAGATTAATTAATTTTAAAAGAAAGTGTAAAACAAATTTTTTTTAAAAAGAAAATTGTTTTGAGTAAATTTTTTCTTTTTTTATACACAACAAAAGTGAAAGAAATTTTTAATCAGCTTTATAATGAAAACGAGACAGCGTAAATTAATGACAATTATTATTGTGGGAATACGACTCCTGGAGGCAATTAAAATATATATGTATAATATTGAAATAACCGGAAACCAAGAAAAAAAATTTAACCACAAAAATGAAATTAAAAACAATCAAGTTAAAAAAAATTGAATTACAGAATTAAAAAGTTGTGGGTGAAATTTTTTTTTCTTAAAAAAAGGAATTAATTACAAAAAACAAGAAATTTTTTTGTAAAATTACAAAAATTATATTTAAAAAAAAAAATTGTATTTATTTATTTTATTAAAATTATAAAAAAATTTATTTATAAAATGAATAGTGTTAAATATTTTTTTTTAAATTTATCGTAATTTATATATTAATTAAGATAAATAATTTTTGTTTATAATTTTATAAAAATTTTCTACATTTATTTATTATTATTTTTATTTAAATTTTTGAAAAATTATTTTATCAGATTAAAATTTAAAAAAAAATATATGAAAAAAAATCAATTAAAAATAGTGAATGCAGTATTGTTAATTATCTTTTGTAATTTATGCAGCATATAATTAAAGGGTAAACTCTGGAAGGAGAGGAAGGGAGGGGGGGGGAAGGTTGATGAAACGAAAGGGGGATATTGAATTTTTGATGAGTCTTATGTGAATGTTAAATTTATTTATAAAGTGAAACTTTGGTGATTTTCACTGAAATACTGCGAATTCAATTGTAGAGAAACGTTTTGCATAAATAGAAATACAGTTAACAAAAAGACATTTGAGATTTATGAACGTTCTATATTTTCATCATCTCAAGGTTCTTTTTGTTAATTTGATAAAATTAAATTAAATAACAAACAAAAAAAAAATTATAAACAATGAATTTTAAAAAATAAAATTATTCATTTTTTTATTTAAACAACAATTTTGGTCAAATTTTGATTTTTTTGCGGTTTTATTCAAATTTTGACATTTTTTAAAGTTTTATGTCATTTTGGACAGAAACTTTGTAAATTTTAAGCCAATTTTGCCCTAATTTTCATTATTTTTACTCTTTTAGGTCAATTTGGTAAAAAGAATGGGACAACATTGGACATTTGACCATTTTAGGTCATTTTTGGGTCAAAAAATTGAAAGTTTTAAACCAGTTTTGTCCTAATTTTCAATATTTTTACGCTTTTAGGTCAAATTTGTAAAAATAATTGGACTTTGGACATTTGACCATTTTTGGTCATTTTTGGTCAGAAACATTGAAAATTTTAAGCCAATTTTGCCCTACTTTTAATTATTTTTACACTTTTAGGTCAATTTTTTAGAAAGAATGGAACAAAATTGGACATTTGACCATGAGGTCATTTCTGGGTCAAAAAATTGAAAGTTTTAAACCAGTTTTGTCCTAATATTCAATAGTTTTACGCTTTTAGGTCAAATTGGTAAAAATAATTGGACAAATTTGGACATTCGACCATTTTGGGTCATTTTTGGTCAGAAAGATTGAAAATTTTAAGCCAATTTTGCCCTAATTTTAATTATTTTTACACTTTTAGGTCAAATTGGTAAAAAGAATTCGATAAATTTGGACATTCGACCATTTTAGGTCATTTTTGGTCAGAAACATTGAAAATTTTAAGCCAATTTTGCCCTAATTTTCATTATTTTTACCCTTGTAGGTCATTTTGGTTAAAAAAATATACAATTTGGACATTTGACCATTTTAGGTCATTATATTTAAAATTTAATGAAGTTTTTGCCCACTTTTGCTAAATATAGACACTTTTACCAAAAAAAAAAAAAAATTTTGGGTCATTTTAGACCAATTTTTTTTTCTTTCTTTAATAAGAAAAAAATAATATTTTTAATTAAAAAAAAAATTTTTTTTAATATGAAAAGTAGATTTATTTTAAATTAAAGATTGTCAGGGAAGTAGTGAAAAAAGTTCCAAGTCGAAAGACAAAGTGTCGACTGTAATTAACTAATTGTCTGAGAACTATGAGAGAGTGAGCTTCTTTTTTTTTCTTCCTTGTATTTTGGAAAAGCGTGTCTGGATGTATATAATATTTCTCTAAAGTTTGTGCTTGCCTTGGCTACTTGAGGTTTGTCGACAGTCTCTTTTCGCTCTCCAGACGTTCGCCAAGCATCACAAGGGAGTATCCCAATTAAATTTCACTCAGACGAAAGAAAAAAAAATAATTTTTTTTTTGTTTTTCAAAACAAATTACTTTTTAAGTAGTACAACGTCTTCTCTTCTTTTCATATTATGAATAAATATATCATTATTTTCTCTTCATAACAAAAAATAGAAAATAATAATAATAATAATAAATAATATAAATAAATAATAATAATACAAAAAAAATAAATTTTTTTTAAGCAAAAAGTACACGTTTTTGACACTAGGGCGGCGCTACAATAATTATTTCTCGCAAGCTGTGAATTTTTATCTATAAATTTATAGATATTAAAAAAAATTAATTATTATTATTATGTTTTATCTATATTTCGATTTTTTTTCTCCTCAAGTCATTAGAAACAAAATTGCGATAGAATTTGATAAAAAATAAAATATTTTAGTAAAAAAAAAATTACTGCTTGTGAGAGAAAATTACCGCAGAGCCGCTCTGGTGGCAAAATTTGACACTTTTTAGTCAAAAAATATTTTTTTGGTAAAATTTTGCCGGAAAAAAAAGTGAAATTTATAAGTAAAAATTAACCGCTTGCGAGAATTAATTATCGTAGCGCCGCCCTGGTATCAAAAACGTGTACTTTTTACTTAAATTTTTTTTGTCCATTCAAATTTTGACGATAATTAAAAAGAAAAATAACAGAAATAGTAAAAATTAAATATTCCAATCTCTTTTTTTGCGTAATGAATATTGCACTTGTAAAAATAATGATAATAATAATTATGTATATCTGAAGAAGAAATCGACATATTTCACTTGACAATCACGAATAATGAGATCTCAAGTCTAATCGAAAGTTCTGCTTGAAAAAACCCCCCCTCCACCACCACTTTCAGTGAATATAACAGCAAAAGTAGAATGAAAAAAAAAATAAAAGTGAAGTTTGGGGAAATTGATTTTATCTTATTTGTTCACTTCCTTAATAAATCGTAACACGTTAATTGAGTTAAAAGAAGAAAAAAAAGGCAAATTAATTAGTGAAAATAATAATCAAAAAGAGAAAAATAAAAAATATGAAAAAATAAAAATTTAATATTTATAAAAAATTAAATAATAATTAAAGGTATAACAAAATTTTTTGTTTTTTAAAAATTTTGCTATATACTTATTATTTAATTTTTTAAAAATATTAAATTTTTATTTTAATAATAATAATAATAATATTATATTATTTATAATATATTATAATATAATATTTTCAAAATAAGTAATACCAATTTTTTTTTTGAAATGAATAAGATTTTCCATTTTGGTTTTCTGGCACCTGAAAAAGTTGAGAGTGTAACACACGCTTGCCGATATTGATCCACAGGTAGCGCAATGTCAGATACGGATGCTGCGTTATCGTCTTCGACCAGTGGTGGGGGGGGGGATAAGAGGAAAAAGAGCTTTAAGTCTTTGTTGAAACGTGATTCTTTTTATTTTCTTTTTTTCAACTTCGTTTTTGTTACTTTTTTTTTTATTGCCACCAGACGCCAAATTTATTCATAATAAAAAAGTAAATAAAAAAAAAAATATATATAATATCCAATAAAATATTCGAAAATAGTTAGAAATAAAAAAATTTATTTTCCAAATTTAAATAATTTTTTTCAATTGTTGTTTATTATTATTATTTATTAAAATATTTAATTTTACTTGTTAATTTTTTTTTTAATTTGAAAAAAATACTATACTTTTTTTTCTTTTGCGATAAAAAAAAATCTCTAATGGTCTACTATATCATTTGTGAGAAATAAAAAGCCAATATTGTGAGACCTTTTTTTTCTTTTTAAAGTGGAAATCGAATGAACGAAGTGACGAGTTGGCACTGACGCGAAGAAGAAATTTAATTTGCTGACTAACTGGCTCTTTTTGCGATATGAAAAGGAATTCTGCAAACTTAAACATTTTTTTTTCTCATTTTATTTTCTATTTTTTTTTACAATTTGATTTGAATTTAATTTCATAATTTTGCCTTTCTCGTTAAAGTGCCACTTTTCATATTTGTTTGCATGAAATTTGAAATTTAATTTAAAATTTCGAAAAAATTAATAATAATAATTCACAAATAAAGTTTTAATGAGATTGAATATTTTTTTTATTTTAAAAAAAACTTTAAAAAAATATCACAGTTCGTATCTTGTCTAAATAACGTCAGTCGGTAATACCAATTTCTACTTTACCATTCGTAGGTAATACCGAAAAAAATATTCTCTGACATTTTAAAGTACATTTTTATTTTAAAAACTTCAAAAGTCACATGAGTTTAATCTCGGCTAATTTACCGTCAGTTGGTAATATAGATTTCTACTTTACCATACGTAGGTAAAACAGAAAGTAATGTAAAACATAATTTATTGACAGTTTTGTATGATTTGAAATTTAATTTTCTTTAATTTAAAAACTTAAAAAAATAAGTTTTTTTAATAAATTTTGAAATTTTTATAATTAGGGAATTTTTCAAATTTATTCTTTTAAAAAAATGGAAAATATATTTCTTTTTATTATCGTCCAAATTTTTTTGGCACAGTTGAAGAATTTTTAAGTTTTCTACTCTGTGCGCCTGAAAAAGATCTTTTATACATACCGTCGTGATAGTTATAAGACACGTCCGACAGGCTTGGTGAATTGCTTAATTAAACCAAGTTATCTTTAATTAGATGATAAAAAATCCAATTGCGTTCTCAACGTTCCTCGACAGAGAACTAAATTTTTTTTCTTTCCTCTATTCAAAAAAAAGTGAAAAAAATTTCTATCTTTAAAAAAATAAATTTTCTACATTTTCCCGTTGAAATTTTAAGAATTTATTTTGCTAATTATTATTATTATTGTATTATAAATATTGTCGTTTGTTTTTATTTTTAATTATTTTTTAATAATTTTTATTATTATTATTATTATATTTTTTAAAATTATTTTTTAATAAAAAAGTATTTAATTTTGTTTATTAAAAAAACGACTTTAATTAATCTAAAAATAAAAAAATATATATAATATATTTTTGTATATTTGTGACTAAACTTAATATTGTTGGTGAGCGTTTGGAAAAATGTTGGTTTCGCATATTCGTTAAAATGTAAAACGTCGCCACGACGATCGATGGCGATTGGATGATCGTACAACCTCGTTTGGTGTTGCTACTGCCTCGGCATCTTTCGCTATACGTATTATAACATACAATACGTTTTACTATATATATATATATATATATAAAGTTGGTCAGAAAATCGATCCGCGACTTGTTATACTTGACCTACCGCAACGAGTGATTGACTCGATTCCCTTTTTCAGAATTCCCATTCATTTAAATATATAGATCAATATTAAAGTAATTTAAAAATTAAAAAAAAAATTTCTTTCAAAAATTTTTTTTTTATATTTTACTGAATTTCTCGTAAATTAGAAGTATAGTTTTAAAAATTTTTATGCCACTCTATTCTTTAATGCTTAAACTAGGTGCCACATGTATTTTTTTCGAATTTAATTAAAAAAAGTTTCAGTAGAATTTGACATTACCGACTGTCGGTATAGTAGATGTCCTTTTAAACCTTTTAACCTTCTTTAATGTTTAAACTAGGGGCACATGTATTTTTTTCGAATTTAGTTTAAAAAAGTTTAGGTAGAATTAGACATTACTGACTGTCGGTATAGTAGATGTTTTTTGAACTTCAAGATTCAGGTGTTATTTTTTTTACTTAGGTTCTGGTTTAAATGTTACAGCTATTTTATTCCAAATTTGATTATGCAAAAAAGGTAGAATTTGACATTACCGACTGCCGATGTTGTAGATATATTTTTTTACCTTTAAGATTCAGGTCTTTTTCGTTTTCTTAGGTTCTAAACTGAATGCTACAATTATTTTGTTGATTAGAAATTTAGTTCAAATTTGACATTACCGACTGTTGAAATAGAAATTTTGTTTAATTTTCAATATATTCATGTTGTCATTTTAATTTATTTTTAGAATTCCCACAAAAAAAAGAATTTTTTTTTCAATTTAAGTACCTATGAAATTTTTTTAAATCAGATTTCTGAATTACCGACACACGAATAAGTAGATTTCGGCATTATCTACCGTCGGTAAATTAGATTTTATATATATTTAAAAAAAATTTTTTTGTTATTAAGGTTTTGAAATGGATTTTGAAATTAACAGTCACTATTGTTATTTTTAAATATTTTTTTATTTTTATTAATTAGTATTATAATTATTATTGTTCATTTTTAAATTATAATATATATTTTCTACATAGAAAAAAATTTTTTTTTTCTTTCTATTATCCACTTCTTTTTATTTTGTTGTTTACACAAATTTTGAACTTCATAATTGTTTTATTTGGTGATTCAAAAAATAATTTTGTATTATCAATAACTGAACAGTATTTCAATTTTGGATAATAGTAAGCTGATTTTACAGTGAATTTCACAATTTCTGCATTCATCACAATTACTGTTCTTCTTACTTTTTTCCTTGCAACATTTGATACCTACAAAAAAACAAAAAAATTAAAAATTAATTAATTAAATATTAATAAAAAATTTTCTAAATTAATTAAAATTAATTTTCGAATTTTTAAAATTATTTAAAATTAATTTTCAAATTAATTTGCAAATTTTGAAAATGGTTAAAAATTAATTTTTGAATTTTGAAAATTATTTAAAATTAATTTAAAAATTTTGAAAATTATTTAAAATTTTTTTTAGAATTATAAAAATTAAATAAAAATTTTTAAATAGTTAATTAAAAAAAATAATTAAAAAAGTAACTTACATAAATGTTTAAAAATTTTTTTGGAAAAAAAAATTAACTAAAATTTTTACTCACTTGTGTGACACATTTTTTGTCTTGACCGCATTCATTGGCTGATGTGTTGGACAATTCTAACATACTTAAGATGGAATCACTCTTTTTTTGAATATTTTGAATAAAATCATTAATTGATTTTTGTACTGAATTAATGCAATTATTTACTGATCCAACGGCTTCAGAAACTTTTCTCTCAAAATCTAATACATAATTGTAACAGAATGATACATCAACACCTTGAGCAGCATCTGACAATTTTTGTGCTTCGTCTTGTACCTGTTTTTTTTTAAAGAGAAAATTATATTAAAATTATACTAAAAAAATTTTAATTTCGATATTTGATTTTGTAATGCAAAATTTTTAAATAAATAAATTAATTTATTAATTAAATGTATTTATTTAATTAATTATTTATTAATTAATTTCTTAATTTTGCATTTATTTAGAAAATATTGTGATAAAATATTAAATTTTCGACAAGTAGTACAAAAAAATGGAGCGTTGGTGGCGATGGCTTAGTTGGTTAGAGTTAGTCAATATTTCAAAAAAGGTCTGTGGCAGAAGGATCGATGTTCAATTCCCGGTGGGGGTGAATTTTTTTTTTTTTTTTTGCAAAAATTAGTGGATATTTGCACTTACTTTTTTCACTTCAGCTGTATATTTGTCTTCAGTTGATTTTTTTATTTTTTCACCATCTAATTGAAGTCTTCTTGTCATATTGATGACGGTTGTTTTTTTCTTCATTATCGTTGTCTTAGCATCGGCGACAATTTTTGCAATTTCTTCATTTTGTACAATTTCCACTGGTTTTTCAGTTTCGGGTTCAGGTGTTTCAGGTGCGACAGTTTCAGTTTCAACAGGTGCAGGTGTTTCAGGTTCAGGCGTTTCAGGCACAACAGGTGCAGGTGTTTCAGGTTCTGGTGTTTCAGGTACAACAGGTGCAGGTGTATCAGGTTTTGGTGTTTCAGGTGCAACAGTTTCGGTTTCAGGGGTTTCAGGCTCAACAGGTGCAGGTGTTTCAGGTACAACCGGTTCTGGTTCAGGTGTTTCAGGCACAACAGGGGCAGGTGTTTCAGGTGAAACAGGTTCAGGTTCAGGTGTTTCAGGCACAACAGGTGCAGGTGTTTCAGGTGCAACAGGTTCAGGTGTTTCAGGCACAACAGGTGCAGGTGTTTCAGGTTCTGGTGTTTCAGGCACAGCAGGTGCTACTGTTTCAGGTTCAGGTGTTTCAGGTGCAAAAGTTACCGTATCAGGGGTTTCAGGCTCAACAGGTGCAGGTGTTTCAGGTGCAACAGGTTCAGGTTCAGGTGTTTCAGGCACAACAGGTTCAGGTGTTTCAGGCGCAACAGGTTCAGGTTCAGGTGTTTCAGGCACAACAGGTGCAACAGGTTCAGGTTCAGGTGTTTCAGGCACAACAGGTTCAGGTGTTTCAGGTGCAACAGGTTCAGTTTCCGGTGTTTCAAACACAACCGGTTCAGATTCAGGTGTTTCAGGTTCTACCGTTTCACGTTCAGGTGTTTCAGGCTCAACAGGTACAGGTGCTTCAGGTGCTACCACTTCAGATTCAGATGTATCGGGCACAACAGGTTCAAGTGTTTCAGCTTCTACCGTTTCAGTTTCCCTTTTTGCACGCGCAACAATAGGTGCAGTACTTTTAAGCACAGGCTTTACATCTTCACGTTGAATGACAAACGCACTAACAGTCTAAAAAAAATTAATACCACTAATTAATAAAAAATAGTAAAAATTAATAATCCACTATAAAATTTTTTTTACTATTATTAAAAAAAAAAAAAAAAAATTTTTTCTACCCCTTTTGTTACAATAAAAAATAAAATTCAATAAACAAAAATTAATTTTTTTCTACTTACGCTGACCAGCACGAGTGCAAGAAGTAAATTTAGAATCTTCGACATCTTTTTCTCTACTTTACAATTTGTTGAAAAATCATATGCCTGACGGTATTTTATATGCCAACAAAAATGCAAAAAAAAATTTTTTTTTTGCCAAATGAAAAGAAATTTAGTCTTTAAATTTACATATAAAAAAAATTATCATTTCAATGATGCCATTGATTGGAAATAATAGATTTCTATTTGCAAATTATCTAGAATTTATTCATATGTTATTGTGTGTATTTTTTTTGTTAAAACGTAATGTTTTCTTTTAATGATCCACCAAAAAAAAAACCATCTGTATTTACTGAAGAAAGTTTCGTGATTGGCTGTTAGATTTTTGTTGTATGAACTTAATTAAACACAAGTGGCTGTGATGAAATATTTAGATTAAGGTTTTTTTTACTACTTCTGGAAGTAAAAGAGGAATAAAAAAAATAATAATAATTGTGTTAAATGAGGAAAAATTTTCATTTTTGAATTGTAAATAAGATAATGTGTGATTATTAATTATAGGAATAATTATCATTGAAATTGTTTCTTATTATTATTATTATTTTTTAACCATTTTGGATTTGGAATTTTTAAAAAATTTTTAAAATAAGGATTTACAATTTTTTTTTATTATTTTTTTTTTAAATTAAAACTTTTATGTTAAATTAAAAAAAATAATAAAAAAGTAATCTTATAAGTTAAGTTAAACAAAAAAATAGTAATGAAAAAGTAACTTTTGCAAATAAATTAAAAAAATAAATATAAAAGAAAGTAGGTTCGATAGCCGCGGTCGTTAAAGCGCTTCAGGTTAGCTCTAAGATTAGGCCAAGTGTTGGGGTTCGATCCCTGTTGGGTTCAAATTTTTATTTAACTCTCGGAGTTTAATTTAAAACGTGAATTCGTATTGAGTCTTATAATAATAATAAAAAACAATAATAACCATAAATAAATAATTAAATAAAATAAAAAAAAGTTAAAATAATATTAAAAATAATAATACCAAAGTAAAATCTCAAGTTAAATTAAAAAAAAATAATAAAAAAGTAACCTCACAAAAATTATAAAAAAGTCACCTCATTCTAGTATAATTTGAAAAATATAGGAAAGTAACCTCAAAAAAATAAAGAATACCTATTTCTAGTTATAATTAAAAAAGAAAAAAAAATTAACCTTTAAGTTAAATTTAATAAAATAAAAAATTTAACTCACTGCAAATAAATAAATAAAAATAGTAAAAAAATTACCAATTTTCAAGTGAAATTAAAATTATAAATAAAAAAAGTAACATCTCAAGTTAAATAAACAAAAAATGAAATTTATAAAAAAGTATTAAAATTTTAAGACAATTCAAAAATATAGTTAAAAATAATTTTAAAAATAAACTTTTTCATTAAGGAAAGGATTTAGGTAATTGAAAAAAAGATTTAAAATCGAATTATAATTTTAAAAATTATTTTTCTTTATTTATTTTATTTATTTACACAATTTAAAAGTTTTTTGAAAAAATTGCAAAAACATTTTTTTTTAATTCTCATTGTTTTTTTGCTTCTTTTATCTTGGCACGAACGCACAATCTTACTTTATGAACAGGATAACCAGGTACTTGTAACCATAATTTAAAATCATCAATAGCAGGGCAGAATTTTAATTTTAAACTATAGTAAATTGATTTTAATTTAAACATTCGAATTTCCGAATTTATTTCACTATTTGTATCCTTGAATATTTTAAATGCCGTTTCTTTAACCTAAAAAAAAGTTGTCAAATTTTATATTATTTATATAAAAAAGAAAAAAATATTAAGAAAATAAAAAATTTTTATTTAATAATTTAAAAAAATTAAAAAAACTAACAAAAATATATTGAAAAATTAAAAAACATACAAAAATATTTTCAAAAATTAAAAAAACATACAAAAATATATTCAAAAATTTAAAAAAATAAATATTTAAAAAATTAAAAAAAATATAAAAATAAATATTTAAAAAAATAAAAAAACATACAAAAATATTTTAAAAGCTATAAAAAATATTTTAAAAAATGTAAAAATTATTTTTATAAATTTAAAATAATGTAAAAAAGTATTTTTTTAAATATTTAAAAATTATAAAAGATGAAAAACGGACCTTCGTTCTGCATTCTTTACTATCACAATTTTTTTCTAATGAAAACATAGCAATTAACACATTATCGTCAATAAATTTGCATTTTCGATCAATATTTTCAATAAAATTATCAACAGATTCAATTGTTGAATCGACGCATTCATTAACTTTTACAATTGCATTAGCAACAGCATTTTCATAATTTTCCACATATTTATGACATTCTTGAACATCTATTCCTTTTGCAGTGTTCATCCAGGCTTTTGACATTTCTGTAACCTAGTATTGCATTTGTAGAAAAAAATTTTTTTTTTCATTATTTTGTTTTAGCTCAATTGGTAAGAGCGAGTTAATGCGTCAAAAGAGAGACACAGCGGAATGAGATTTGAGTTCGAATCTCAGTGGTGTTGGAATTTTTTTTTTCATCAAAATAAAAAAAAATAATTTTTCAAATTGAATTAAAACAAAAAATAATAATTAGTAAAGTAATATTTCAAATTATAAATTTAAAAAAAAATTGTTTTAAACCTTTTGAATTAAGTTATAAATTTTTTTTTCTTTTTGAAAATGTTTTGAAATAAAAAAAAATATATATATATTTACCCATTTTTTTTGCTTAGCATGATACTCTTTAGTTGAATTTTTTATTTTTCCTCCATCTTTTTTATAACTTTCGGTTAATCTTAAAACTTCGCTCTTTGCTTTTTCTTGTACTTCATTGGCGCGATCAAAAATTGCTTTAGATTCCACTTCATGCGTCGCTTCATTTTCTTCTTTTTTAGTTTGAGATTCTTCAGATGTTGTTGCTAAAGTTTCATTTGCACTCACAGCCTTTGGTAAATAAAATTAATAATATAATTAAAAATATAAAAAAATATAGAATAAAAATATAATAATAAAATTAATAGTAATAATAATAATAGTAAAATAAATAAAAGTAAACAAATAAAAACAAAAAAAAAGTTATAATAGAAAAAAATGATACTTACGCTAAATAAAACGAGAGCAGAAAGTAAAAATACAATTTTCCTCATGATAATTATAATAATGAGTTCAAAATTTTTTTTTATTTTTATATACAAAACGTTTTATATTATGCAAAATAATAGTTATAAAAAGATATCTACGAAATGCACTAAAATTAATACAAAAAAAATTTGCAATGAAAAGAAAAAAATTATCATTACAATAAATATTTTACATATTAAAGGGAGAAATGTTAATATTTTTTTATATTGGCTTATTTTACGATTCAAAAAAAAACATCTGTATTGACTGAGAGAAATTTTAATAAAAATGTATTTACAATTGCAATTTTTTTCTAATTATCTATTCTTTAAAAAATGGAACACAATTAAGGAAACATGATTTTATTTTTGTTTGATAAAATTAACTGTGTAATATCGCACATTTTGTTGTGGAATTTATAATTTTTATCTTTTATTGCTTTCGAAATAAATTTAAATATATATTATTAATGGAGGAAATCCCCTATTTGATTGGTTTAAAAATAGATAAAATTTTATTTGTGGATTTTTATTAATAAATAAATTTTTATTTTCGTATTTTTATTATTAAAAAAAAATAAAATTTTTTTTTGTATTTTTATATATTAATAAAAAAAAATTTTTATTTTTTTTATTTATTAACAGTTTTTTTTTATTTTATTACAAGCTGCAACGTTATATATATTCAGTTACGATTTATCTTAATAAGAATCACCTTTTCTTCTTTAATTTTTAACCTCTTGATGCTCGGACATTATTTGAATGAATGAGCCGTATATGTGATAATGGCTCTGTATTTATAGTGTCCTTGCCTCATGAAACTCGTTCGCTATTGGCTTCGCGCGCCAAGAGTGGGGGAAGTCGAGTTTGCGCAGTGTTTCTAAATGCGCATGACTCATTAAACTCGTGCAAAAAGTAGCGCGCGTTAATTTAAAATTATTTAATCACTATACTCAAACATTTTAATTTCAATAAAAAAATTAAAATTTATATATATATATATTAAAAAGAAAGGAATATATACTTATAATATATTTCTTAAAAAGAATTTAATTTGTTTAATTTTAAATACGATAAAATCTAAAAATATATATAGTTAAAAAAAGGACTTTTTTAAAAAAATGGTTTTATAATTTATTATAAACAGAGATAATAACAACTATTAATTTTTTTTGTTACAGATTTTCGATTACAAAGCGGAATTGTTGTTTGGAAATTTGTAAACATCAAATTAAAAATGCAGGTATGTGGTAAAATTGATTAAAAATTATTTATTTTAATTATTTTATTATTATTATTATATTGTTATTATTGTTAAAAATTATAATTTTTTATAATTATTTATTTGCAATTATTTAAATATTGTTACAAATAAATTTCCAAATTTGATTTAAAATCCATTGTTATTTTACATTCTCTTTCTAAATGTGCTCTAAATTCCGGAATTTTTGGCATCCAAAAATTATGATAAAATTTTCGAAAGCAGTCTTGATTGATACAAGTCGACATACAATTTCGAAAACCATGTGATATGTACAAACACTGTATATAATTTTCTTTCTTTTTATGAGCCTGAAAATGTAAAAAATATTATTTTTTATTTTAATTTTAAAAAAAATTTTTTTTTTATTTTATTTTCTTTTTTAATTTTATTTATATTTATTTTGTTTCTAACTTTTTATTTTTGTTTTTTTTTAATATTTTTATTTTATGCTAAAATAATTTATTTTTTTTAATTTGTTTAATTTATTTATTCAAATAGAAAAAATTTTCATTTAATTAATATACAAAAAATATATTTTGACAAACCTCGTTTATGCAAACATCAGTTTCGTTTTTCTGACATTCTTTAGCCTTTAGTAATTCTATTCTAATATTATTAATATTGTCCCGATAAAACTGATCAAATTGATCTTCTATTAATTTAATACCATATTTTTTCTCATCCAAACATTTGGTATAATTTGTGAATGCTATTCTTCTTCTTAATCTCAATATATCAAGACAATTCTTTTTACATTTATTTCCATAGTCCGAAGTTATCTGCATAAAAAAATAATTATACTCTAAAAAATTTATTTTTTATTTATTTATATATGAACTATAAATAAATAAATATAAAAAAATATATAAATAAATAATAATAATAATAATAAATAAAAATAAATACACACTTGATTCAATTCATTCTCAATCCAATCTGACGTTTCCTTTACCATATCTCTAAGATTTTCATTTAAAACGTCTTGATAAGTCGGACCACCATTTGGGCTGAAATAAAATTTTAAAAAAATATTATTAAATTTTATTACCTATATTATTTCATTTTTAATATAAAATTTAATTTTTATTAACTATAATATGATAGTAAAAAAGTAACATTAAAAGGATAATTTAAAAAAATAACCTCTCTAGTTAAATTATTTTTTTTTAAATTTCTTTACTTATTAATTAATCTACTAATTTTTTTGCTTTTCTAACATTTTCTATCGATAGAATAAAATATATTTATGCTACATTTTTGATAACTGAAAGAAATATTGAACGTTAGTTTCGATAGCTCAATTGGTTAGAACGAGTCAATGTGACGAAAGAGCGACAGCGGAAAGAGATTCAAGTTCAAATCTCGGTGGGAGTAATTTTTTTTTTTTTTAATTCTTTTGTATAAAAAAAATTTTAGATTGTCATGAAAGATTACTTCATTTGTTTGATGCTAATTGCAGATACCGTTTCAGATACAGTTTTGAAATAAGATAAATCTTTAATTGCGTTCATCAAAAAACTATGCCAATCAAGTCCCAGCAATTTATTTATATAATCATCATTAGCATAGTTACTCTAAAACAGAAATTAATTCAATTTTAAATTAAAATTCATAAAAAAAATGCAGAAAAAATTTTATTGTATGAAAATGATTAAATAAAAATTTTGAATACTTACAGCAATAAATTGTGTAATACAAAAAAATAAAACTAATTTCATTTTTTTTTTTTATTAATCAAATTCTAAATGACAGTAACTAACAATTCTATTGGTGTTAATGTTATTTATACTTACATTTTATTTACACAATTGTAAAAAAAATTTAAATAATAACAGAAGTAGTATTTAAATATTTATTGAGTTACACAATATATACTTGAAAAAAGTATTGTTTAAAAATAATTTCTCTATAATATAATATTCAATTTTTTTGCCTCGAAATATATATATTTTTTTTATCGATTTGTTTAAATATATGTTTTAATTTAAAAATTCAAATAACCTAATTTATTTATTGAAAATGGAAATATTTTAATTATCTATTTTTGAATTTAGAAAAATTTTCTTAAGAGAAAAAATTAAAACCTAAAATATTTTTATGAAAAGTAATTTTTATATTACATAAATTGAAAAAAAAATTTTATTTTATTTTCTTGTAATTATTTTTATGACAAATCTTCAATTCTGTCATCAACAAGACATGAATGAACTTGATTCACAATAGTGGTACTATCTTTTATTGAAATTGAACAAAGTGTTGGTAAGCGATTGTAAGTTTCGATGTAAGAATTTCTGTATAATGTTTTTTTTATTGGAACAGAGGATTTATACCAATATTCCAATTGCTCTGTGTCATCAAGAATCTGAAACAATAAATAAATAAATAATTAATTAAATATGAAGAAAAATAAAAAAAATTGTGTGAATTAGTAATACTAAAATAATTTCAAAATTAATTTACGTAAAAAAATAGAAAAAAATATAAAACAAAGTTGTATTAACTAGTAAAAATAAAATAATCTCGAAGTTAACATAGATAAAAATAAAAAAAAATTTTAATTAAAAAAAAAAACAAAAAAAATTATAAAACAAAAAAAATTTTTAAAAACAAAAAAAAATTGCTTTAACTAGTAATTGTAAAATAATCTCAAAGTTAACATACATAAAAAATTTTTAAAAAATTAAAAAAAAATTAAAAATTTAAAAAAACAATGCATACAAAAAAAATAACTAGTAATACTAAATATTAAAAAATAAAAAAAAATTATTAAAATTAAAAAAAAATATTAAAAAATAAAAAAAAATTATTAAAATTTAAAAAAATATATTAAAAAATAAAAAAAAATTATTAAAATTAAAAAAAAATATTAAAAAATAAAAAAAAATTGTTTTAACTAGTAATACTAAAATAATCTCAAAGTTAACATATATAAAAATTTAAAAAAATTTTTAAAAATGAAAAAAATCAAATAAAAATTTGCTTTAACTATAGTAATACTTAAATAATCCTAAAGTTAACATATATTTAAAATTTTTGAAAATTTTTTTTAAATTTAATAAACTAAAAGAACTTTTTTTTTAACACAAACCTTGTTAAGACAAGTCCCACTGCCTAATGCAGAATAATCATTTTTTGAGTCACGCACACAAATTGTCGCTTCCACATGAATTTTATTTATTTGTTCTAAAATCGTATTTAAACTGTAATTAACATATTGAATAGTAATCTCATGAAGTTTATTTAATCCTTTTAAACAAGTGGAATATTCATTTAATTCATTAGGTATTTCTTTTTCAATAATATCTGTTAATTTTGCACAATCTTCAAAATGTGAAGTTTGATATTTTACCTATAAAATGAAGAAATGAAAAAAAAATTCTTACTTGAATATTAATTTGGTTTAAAAAAATTACATCTCAATTTATTATTATTATTAATATTATAATTTCTTTTTATTATTATTATTATTATTATTATTATTATTATTATATTTTTATTACCTCTTCTATTATTTTAGTATATTGATTATTTGCTAATTTAAATTTACGATTTATTCCCTCTTCAAGTTCTAATTTATTTTTACCAATTTCTTCATTTAATTCATTCTTTGCTTCATCAAACTTTTGTATAACTCTTTCTAATTTTGAAAATGAATCATTTTTCAATTTTTTTATTTGTTCCTCAACTGATTTTCCATAAATAGACTGAAAATTAATTTTATTGTTAAACTGCATTAATTTTTTTTTTTATAATAATTTAAAATTTTAACTCACACTGATGAAAAAAGTTGCACACAAAAAAAGAATTAGTCTTGTCATAATTTTGTTTCTTTTTTTTATACTTTAGACAATTATCAGTTAAATCTTATGTTAGAAGAAAAAAAATTGAATCTTACGTTTTTATATCAAACTTCTATACTATAATCATCATAGTTTGGTAAATAAATATTTGAAAGAAAAAAAAATTGAACAATTTATATCATATTTCCGTGTTAGAAAAAAAAAAAATTAAATTTATAAATAGGTACAATTGAATTTTTTTTTATTGTAAAAATATTTATTTAATGTATGATAAGGTGATAAAAATTTTGACATATGACAATAATAGACAATTATATTGCAATACGAACATTAATTACATCATATTTTTAATAATCTTCAGTTTGGTTTTAAAATTATTATTATTATTATTATTATCATTATTATTAATATTATTTTAAAATTACATTTAATTAATTATTTCTCATTTCATTTGATTTTTTTTATTAATTTTTATGCACTCGTCAATTTTATCAATGACATTGTTAGAATCGTCTTCAAGTTTCAATACGCCTTCACCTGCAGTGCATAATATCAATTTTGTAAAAAACCGATTAAAATTCAATTTAAAATTTTCTAAACGCACATGTAAATTTTTAACAATTTCTTTTGCTGCCACAATTTCATTATCAGCCACCTGTGTGTGTGTGTGTAATAATTTATTTAATTATTAAATGTTAATTAAATAATTAATTTAAAAAAAAAAGTTAAAAATAGAAAATATTACTAACCATATTAGAACAAGCTAATGCATTTTTAGATGATGTAAATTTATTGTTATATTTTAAACAATTTTCAGCTGTATTTTTTAAATTTGTCAAATATTTTACAGCATTGTTATAGTTATTTTTAATTTTTGTCATATAATAATTAATATTCTTTAATTTATAATTGATACAAGTTGATAATTCACTGCGTGCTTTGAGAACGATTTCGTTAAAATTATATTCAATATCATTGCATTCTTTTATATTGTATTTGTTTGCCAATTGAATGTAGCGATTAACCTGAAATTATTAGAAAAAATGGGAAATTATTTTTTATTTAAAAAAAAAATTAATAACAGATTCGTAAACACCAAACCCAAAAATCCCCTGGATTATGAATTTCAAGCGAATTTGATCAATTTTTATAAAATTGTGCCGCCATATTGGATCCGCCATTTTGTTTTTTGAAAAAATAATATCAGATTCGTAATCAGCAACCCCAAAAACCCCTGACTAATGATTTTCAAGCGAATTTGATCAATTTTTATAAAATTGTGCCACCATATTGGATCCGCCATTTTGTTTTTTGAAAAACTAATATCAAATTTGTAATCAGCGACCCCAAAAACCTCTTAGTAATGAGTTTCAAACGAATTTAATCAAATTTTACCAAATTCTGCCGCCATAGTGGATCCACCATTTTGTTTTTTGAAAAACTATTGCCTGATTCGTAATCAGCGACCCCAGAAACCCCCGAGTAATGAGTTTCAAATGAATTTAAGCAAATTTTACAAAATTGTGCCGCCATATTGGATCCGCCATTTTGTTTTTCAAAAAACTGACATCGGATTCGTAATCAGCGACCCCGAAAACCCCCGAGTAACAAATTTCATATCATATTAACAAACTATAGCAGCACTAGTAACTTTTTGAAAATTTTCAAGGTCATTGTTTCAGTCATGTTGGTCCGCCATTGTGAATTTTGAAAATCTGATGTCTGATTTTCATTCAGTGACCTTGATAACTTTGAAAAGTGGACAATGATGCTCTTGGACATTTATATGAATTGAAACTTGTTACTCGGGGGTTTTTGGGGTCGCTGATTACGAATTCGGTGTTAGTTTTTCAAAAAAACAAAATGGCTTATCAAATATGGCGGATAATTTTTAAAAATTCATCCAATTTTTTTTTAAAACTTGTTACTCGGGGGTTTTTGGGGTCGCTGATTACGAATTCGGTGTTAGTTTTTCAAAAAAACAAAATGGCTTATCAAATATGGCGGATAATTTTTAAAAATTCATCCAATTTTTTTTTAAAACTTATTACTAGGGGGTTTTTGGGGTCGCTGATTACGAATCCGGTATTAGTTTTTGAATATAAAAATTAACAAATCCAATATGATGATACATTTTTATAAAAATTGATCAAATTTTATTTAATTGTACAAAATTAAATAAAATTAAAAGATAATTAATATAATATTTTCTAATTATTAATAGTTATGAGAGATTTTTTAAAATAATTCTATACTCACTTCAATTCGTTTAGCAATAGTACGATTAGACAAATTTTGCTTGAAATTTTGAGCAGCTATTTTAATATTATAATTTTTGTTTTCTAATATTTTTTCAATTTTATTAAAATAATTCACAACTTCTGTTAATTCATTATTGACATTGTCAATAATATTTGTAAATTTTCCCTCTGTATTTGATGATATTTTTTGTTCATCGATTTCCATCTCAATTTCTTTTGTAAATACATTCTAAATCAGAAATTAAATTTTTTTTAACTTTTGTTAATTGAAAAATTTTTATAAAAAAATTATTTTTATTTTTTATTATTTTATTATTAAAAATTAAAAGAAAGAAAAATTAATTAATAAATTATTTAACTTACCCCTGCCAATAATAGAGCACAAAGGAAAAAATTAATTTTTGTTGTCATGTTTTTATAAATGTTTCTAAATTTCAAATAATAGTAAATACACGATTGTTTTCACTTTTTATATCAAAATTCCATCTATCATGTGATTAATTTAAAATTAGGCCTATAGGTATATATATCTTTAATTTTATTGCACATAAGCACTTGTGTCAATTGACAATAAAAAATTTTATAATTACGATAATAAAATAATAAAAAAAAAATAATAAAATTGTGAATTAGAAAAAAATTATAAGGAAAATAATTAAATATCAAAATTTTTCAAAAAACAAACATTATTTATTTATTTTTATTTATTTTGTTACAGGATGCAATTTTTTATTCACAATTATTACAACTTCCAATGGAATTCCCAGGTTCGTGCAAAATTATAAAAAATTATAATTAATTTTTTTTTGTAATTTTTCATTGAAATAATTTTTATTATACTTTTTCAAAAATTTTTTTTTTATTAAAAGAGGTGAAATAAGGTAAAAATACAAAAAAATTTCCCCCTCCCTGTTGAATTTTTCGAGAAAAAAATTCTGATTCTTTTTTTTCTAGATAAAATTTAGAAAAAATTTCTAGTTGAATAATTTTATTCTAATCTTCAGGTGTTTTTTTTAATCAAACGAATGACGTCAATAAAAAAGAAAAATATTTTAACAGTAATAATAATAATTTGAAATTAGAAAAAAATTAAATGAAAACAAATTTTTTTTAATTAAAAAAAATGTTTAAAATATTTTAATAATTAATATTAATTATTGAAATTTATTTAATTAATAATTAAAATTAATTTATTTAATAATTAATTTCATTAATAAAATTAATAATTTAATTAATTATTAAAATTTATTTAATTAATAATTAAAAAAAAAATTATTTCAATTTTACATATTCTGACAATTCTTTTTTGATTTTAATACAACCCTTGACATCGTTAACAACATGCAACGATCTTTCATTGAAAAAATGAATTTCTTTTAATTGATGACAAATTTCTGATTTCGTCAATAATTGCGTTATACTGAAAACAGTATCTCCTATTTTTTTGCTGAAAAATGAAAGTTGTGCCCCTATAAACGTCGAAAAATGATCGAGAGACGAGCCAAGAAAATTCTTACTGTCAATAAATTGAGTTTTTAAATTAATTAAATTTCTAAGAAAAGAAATATAATTATTTTTCAATTCTCGAGTTTTATTTTCGGCAATATGAATAAAATTCTCATTCATACAACTCCCGAATTTTTCCACAGCCTCCCATTTTGTTTCATCATAATTTAATTTCATTAATAAACATTCACCAATAGTGTAATTACTTTCCTCCTCTAGTGCAATTGAAATTTCATTCCACACCTAACGGAAAATAAAATTTAATAATTAAAAAATTTTTTTTGCTAATTATTTGATTAATTTAAAAAAAATTAATTAGAGATGTATGAAGTAATATTTATTTAAAAGAAATATTAATTAATATTAATATGTAAAAAATTATTAAGGAAATAATTAAAAAAATAATTACAAATATTAATTAAATAATAAAAACATTAATTAAATAATAAAAAAAAATAGCACAGGAGCAATGCGTCCGCCTGCTTGACTGCGGGCAGACTGCGAGCCAGGCAAGCGAGCGTGGGGATTATATACTGAGTCAGAGAGAGTGGTGGGGGAAGCGCAAAGCAGTGTGCGCGCCAGGCATGAGTGGAGAGACGCGTAGCACGTTACTCTCTAGTACCCCACGAAATAAATTGTACAAAGCGGTAGTAATTCCAAGAATAAATCATAAAAAAAATTAACAACTTTAAAAAATATTAATTAAATAATTATTTTAAAAGATAAAAGAAAAATAATCACCGAGCTTCTTATGGGAAAATATTTTTCATGAAGTTGATAATCAAAATTCGTTATTTGCAATTTGAAGTCTCCAATATTGGTATCTGCTAAATTTTCAGCTTCATGTAATACTTCAATGCCACTACTTAATGCTTCATTAACAATTTTCCAAGCTTGCAATTTTATTCCAGTACTATTTTCATTGCCAACAACCTTAAGAAATAAATTAAATATATTTTTTTATTTATTAAAATTTAAATTTAAAAATATTATTACAGTAAAATAGTAAACAATTTTTTTATTAAAAAAAATATATAAATTTTTTATTATAAAAAAGAGATAAAAATGTTTTATTATAAAAAGAAATATAAAAATTTTTTTATTACAAAAAGAAATTTTTTGTAAATGTAAAAAGTATATTTTTAAAAAAATTTTTTTAATTTGAAAACGTAAAAATGAATTAATAATTATATATAGTGAAATAAAATATTTATTAGAAATAATAAATTTTGAAAATTTAAAAAAAAATGATGCTTACCCCTGAAAAGAAAATGGCACCAATGAAAAATATAAATTTCAACATCTTGTTTCAGTTTTTCTCGTAACTTAATGTAATATATAAAAAAAATTTGACTTTTTATATAAAAAAAAATTTCTCATTAAAATAAGATTAGTGTAAATGGAAATTTTTTTTTAAACACTGGACAATTGTGTCAATTAAAATTAACATTTTTTTCTTTCTAATACGCAAAAAAATTAAATAATGTAAATGGTTATTAAACATAAATAAATTTGTTTTTCCATTGTTCAATATTATAATTTTACTTGCCTAGACGAAAAATGTTAAATAAACACATATTTGCAAATTATGTTTTATGAAAGTATAATTTATTTCTATTCTGATAAAGAAAAAAATGGCACGTGTTATAATATATATTCAAATTTTTAATTTAAAAAAATGTAATAAATTAATTAAATTTTCAAAAAATTTTTTTTATAAGAAATAATTTATTAAAAACATGTAAAAAAATATTTTACATTACATTTTTTATTTAGTTTTTATATTAACAGTCGGTAACTGTTTGGTCGGTAATGCAGATTTCTACATTGATAAGAGTGGGTAAAGTATAGCCTATATTATCAGTAGTCAGTAAAACACAAACATATCCCGACTATTCTGTCGATAAGGTAGAAAACAGATTTTACCTTCTGTTGATAAGGTAGGGATCTACATTAACAGCAGTAGGTAAAACAGAAGCCTACATTATTAATAAGGTAGGAAACGAATTTTTCCTGTTGGTAAGGTAGGGATCTATATTACCGATATGAAGAGAATGTTTAGAAAAAAGTATAAAGATGATTGATATTGACAAAAAGGATCGGAGGGAAGAAAAATAAAATGGTTCTTTAAAAATAATATTTTTTTGTAAATATTTATTTATTTCTTTTAAAATACTATTAAATACAATTTTTTATTTTCTTGTAAAATATAATTTGAAAAAATAAATTATTATTTAATCAATAAAAAATGGAAATAAATTTTCAAACCCTAGATGATTTGTAATGTGTACGGAAGGAACCATTTTTTATTTCTTTATATTTTTTTATAAAAAAATTTTCAATTTCACGTATTTCTTTCCAAATAGTTTTTCTTATTTCAGTAAAAGTAAAAGAAACAGTAGTGATAAAATTAAATGTATTTTCTTTTTCCTCAGTTTGTGTTCCAACATCTTCGGCAATTATTGTCATCTTTAATTAATAAATGAAAAAAAATATGTTAAAAGATTAAAATAACGTAAATGAAAATTTGAAAAATTAATTATTTTAATATTAGTATTAAAAAATAAAATTTTTGATAAATTAAATTACAATTTTACTTACCAATGACAAAATTAAAGTAAAAAGAAGAAATATTAATTTTGACATAATTTTTTCAAATTGAAAATTTTTTGTACAATGGAGAGAAGGAAGAAAAATTCGTTTTTTATATCAGATACATTTTTGTTAATTAAAACAGTTTTAAAATTTAATACAAAATTTTTTTTTACCTATTTGTTAAAAATAAATATTAACACACTTGTGTTATAGTTGAAAATAAAATTTTCTTTAGGAAATATGTAAAGACAAATATTGTGAAAAAAATAGAACATAATGTACATTATCAAATTGTGTAATTTTTTAATTTACATTTTAGAGCAAATAAATTTTTTTTTACAAAACATATGTGGACGAAAAAAAATTTTCCATAAATAGCAAAAAATTATATTAAATATTTAAATTTAAAAAAAAATTCCTTAATGGAATTTTTAGAAAAGAAAATTTTATTTTGTTTTCAATTATTATTGTGATTTTTAATACAAGTCTTGACATCATAAGCAAGATGTGTAGATTGTTCAATGAATTTGCGATTTTCTGTCAATTGAGTACAATTTTCTGATTCTGATAATAATTGTCCAATTTTCGCATTAATATCATCTGTGACGTTGGAGAAATTTGGCACACCTTTTTCTATATTATTTTTCGCTTTTAAATTCACCTACAAAAAAAAATTATTACACAATATTGTGAAAAAAAATTAAACTACAATTATTTAAATTAGAAAAAAAAAATTATTTATAAATTCAATTTTTTTATATTAATCGTAAAAAACTAACCGTGTTGAGACAAGTGACAACATTTTCAAATGTTGTTGAATTGTCATTATTATTTTTTACACAATTTTGAGCTTCATTTTTTATATTAATTAAAATACTTTCAAAATTATCAAAATTGTATTCAACTTCTTGTGTATAATTAACAGCAATATTAATTAAATTATTCATACAATTCATCGATTCATTGGTAGCTTGTTGTTTAGTTTTTTCATAATATGTTTCTAATGATAAACATTCAGTGTAATTCTTTTGGTCTGATGTCATCATGATATAATTAATACTGGCCTAATATAAAATAAAAAAGAATTATTTAATTTTGAAAAAATTATATAAATTATTTATCAAATTGGAAATAGTTATTGGTATTTTTAAAAAATAAAAAAAAATTATTACTGTACAATTATTTTATTCATTAGAAATATAATAATTAATATTTAATTTACAAAAATAATAATTGAGCAATAAATAATTTTAAAAAAGAAATATAACGCAGGAGCGATGTGTCCGCCTGCTTGGCTACGGGCAGACTCCGAGGCAGGCGAGCGAGCGCAGGGCTTATATACTAACTCAGCGAGAGTGGTGGGGGAAGCGCAAAGGAGTGTGCGCGGCAGGAGAGAGTGCGGCGACGCTTAGCTATAGTGCCACACGAAATAAATCGTACAAAGCTTAGTGGGACGACTGATGTTAATATTTTACAAACAAATTGAAAAAAAATATTTATTAAATAATTAAAAAAATTATTTATAAATTTTTATTAATTAATAAGTTATTTCAAATTATATATAAATTTTTTTTTTAATTTTAATAAATATTTTTTTAATTCATTCAATAATTTAAAAAAAGTACTCACCTGAAGACGTGTACTAAAAAAAAGTTGATGAATATTATTTCTAATTTCTCTTAAATTTGTTCTTAATTTTTTAATATTTTCATTTGCCACATGTCCAGCTGCTTTAAATGCTTCATCAACATTTTTTATTGCATCATTAATAGTTGTATCAATTTTATTCTTAATTATATCGAGTGACTGTTGGTTTTCTTCTTTTTTATCCTCAATTTTTGTCGCATTATTTTCATTGCATTGAACCTTAATAAATAATTTTAAAATAATAATAAAAATTAACTTTTAATTAATTGAAATATTTAAAATTTAATTTTTAATTAATTGAAATATTTTTAATTTAATTTTTAATTAATTGAAATATTTTTAATTTAATTTTTAATTAATTTCTATTTAATTCAAATATTTTAATTTCAATTGAAATATTTTAATTTTTAATGAATTTAAATATTTTTAATTAATCATAAACTTACCACTGCCAAAAGAAGGGCACCAAAAAGTAATAAAAATTTAAACATGATTTTGTCAAACTATTTTTAATTTGATAAAATAGAAAAAAAATTCAGTTTTTATAGCAACTTTGTCACTAAAATAACTTTCATATGAATAATTTTTTTTGACAATTGTGTTAATTAAAATTTATCTCTATTTTTTGTAAATACGACGCAATAGAATAGTATATTATTAAAATTTTGAAAAATTTACATTCCTCTTGTTAAATAAAAAATATATTATTGGTTTACGAAAAAAAAATGGTTAAATAAACACATGTGCAAAGTTATATTATATATAAAAAAAATAAATTGTATTGTAGAAAAAAATTAATTATTTTTCAAAATTTCATTAAAAAATTGATAATATTTTTTTTAAATTAAAAATTACATGCTAATTAAAAATAATTAAAATTAAAAAAATAATAAATTAAACGCACATATATATATATATTTTTTTTTAAAAAATATTTATTTATCATTCAATTTATTTCTTCTGTTACAGAATTCGAATCGACTCTTCCAAAGGGGATTTTAAGTCACAATTTTAACGTTCAATGGAATTCTCAGGTACGTGTACCTAAATTATTTACAAAATTGTCTCTTTCAAATTAAAAATTAAATTCATCACAATTTTTATTAGAAAATTCTTTTTAAATTCTCTAAAAATAATTTAAAGAATTTTTTTTTTTAAAGTAGACAATTTAAAAAATGCTTTCAAATATTTTTTTTTACCATGATATCAATGACCTTACCCACGATTTTTCTGATTTTCCTGTTTTTTCGGATATTTTCGCTTTAACGCAAGTGACAACATTTTTAAGAACACCCTCACTAGTTTCTTTGACTTTTTGAACACCTTTTTGTACAGCACAAGCTTTTAATTGTGGTGCAAATGTTTGAATTTGCCAATACAAATTGGTAATTTCTAAAATAATAGCCGGAACATTTGTTACTGTTTCCCATGTTCCAACTGCTGCAACCTGAAAAATAATTACAGAATAGGAAAATGTTAATTTATCCGAATTATTTTATTTATTTATTTTCTAAATATTTAGTTGGTTCAAATAAATATTTTTTTTAGTTCAGTTAAATATTTTGTTGATTCAGGTAAATATTTAGTTGATTCAAGTAAATATTTATTTAATTCAGGTAAATATTTAATTGTTTTAAGTAATTTTTTTTTTTTTTTTTTGGTTAACGTAAATATTTATTTAATTCAAATAAATTGATTAATTAATCCGGGTAAATATTTAGTTGTTTCAGGTATATATTTACTTGGTTGAAGTAAATTTTTTTTTTTGTTAAGGTAACTATTTAATTGGTTCAAATAAATAGTTAGTTGGTTCAACTAAATGTTTATTTAGTTCAGTTAAATATTTTGTTGGTTCAAGTAAATGATTATTTAATTCAGGTAAATATTTAGTTGATTCAATTATATAATTAGTTGGTTCAAGTAAATATTTTTTTTTTGGTTGAGGTAACTATTTATTTGATTTAAGTAAATATTTAGTTGGTTCAAATAAATATTTAGTTGGTTTAAGTAAATGATTATTTAATCCAGGTGAATATTTAGTTTGCTCAGGTATATATTTGTTTGGTTCAAGTAAATTTATTTTTTGTTAAGGTAACTATTTAATTGGTTCAAATAAATATTTAGTTGGTTCAAGTAAATGTTTATTTAGTTCAGGTAAACATTTAGTTGGTTCAAGTTAATGATTATTTAATCCAGGTAAATATTTAGTTGATTTAAGTAAATATTTAGTTGGTTCAAGTAAATATTTATTTGGTTCAAGTAAATATTTTTTTGATTCAAATAAATTTTTTTTTTCATTGAATATCTGACCTTAGTGACACAATAGGAGGCGCTGGTGGCACTTTGCCAAGTATCAATATTTTTCACACAAACTGTGGCTTCTTTTTTCACTTGGAACAAATTATCCAAAGCCTCTTGCGATTCTTTAAAAATATTATTCCAAGTATTGACAGCTTTATCGACAAGATCTGTCATACATTGAGTTGATTCCTTGAATGTTTCGCTTGCAATTGGCTTAACAGATGTTGCCATTTTTTTGCATTCCTCTACATCAGAGCCAGCAGCGTCTGATATTACTTTATCAATTTTTGGCAACACCTTAATATGAAAAAAAATTTTTTTTTTTTAATTTCTTTTAGAAAATAATTTTATTTAAAAAAAAAAAAAAATTTTTTTTTTTGGAAGAATTACACTAACCTCTTGTTCCACGTTGACAATTTGATTGTAAACACTACTACGAAGATTAGTTGCTTTAGTTTGTAATGTCGAAATTAATTTTTTAATTGGTTCTGAATATTCATTTAATTTTGTTTCAAGATTTTTTATTGCAGTTTCAGCTGCATCCACTACCTCATTTTTCATTTGCATTACTTTACCAACTTCTTCGCCATATACTGACTAATTAATAAAAATAATAATAATAATAATTTTTTAAATTTTATAATTTAAATTTTATTTATTACAAAAAAATTATATATTTATTAAAAAAAATTATTTTCAATTTAAAAACAAATTGAATTTTTTTTTCAATTAAAAAATTATTAATTAAAGAATTAAATTTCATTTAAAAATAAAAATATATAATTTTATTTACTAGAAAACAATTTTATTTATTGTAAAACATATTGTTTATTAATAAAAAAATAATTTTATTAGAAAAATTTATTTTTCTAAAAGAAAATTAAATTTTTTTTAATTAAAATATTAAAAATATATTTTATTAATTATTTTTATACTTACACCTGCCGCCAAAAGGAAGGCACAAAAAATGAATAAAAATTTAGACATGATTTTTTTTTCTAATTTGTCTTCTCAATTGTAATGATAGCATATTTGAAAATTTTTACCCTATTTATATGGGGAAAAAAAACAATTTAAAAAAAAAAAATTATAATAAAATGAAGATAGACAACAAATATTGATTTAATATTTGACGCTAATTATCGATTAATACGGAAATCTAAACAATATATTTGATATCATTATAATAATTTATTCATTTTCTATTTGATTTTAATTATAAAAAAAAATTTCAAGTCTCACATAGAATATTATATTATTTTTTAATATTCAAATAATATATTTTTGTTTCTTTTAAAAGTATAGGAAAAAAAATTTGTTATTTTCTTGTAAATTGAAAAATAGTCATATTTTATAAAGGTAAATAATATTATTATTTTTGAATAGATGTCAATAAATGTATTAGAGTCAAAAATTATTATTTGTCTTGAATATAATTAAATGTAGGAAATTAAATTTTTTTCTTTTATATTCGATAAAATTATATTATGTGAAAATAGTTTCAAATATAACTTTAAATAATATTTATCATAATTTGAAAATTTAATAAAAAATTTCATCAATTTTTTTTTTATTTTTATATTTTTTATTAACATTTTTTTTTCAAATTACAACATAAAATAATAAAAATTTTATTTTTATTCATATTTTTATCATTTTTTTTTCCAATCTATTTTATTAACTTCATCATTTGAAGAAGATTGCGATGTATTTCCAAATTCTAACGATTTTTGATCATCAATGCAAATTTTCACATTTTTTTTAATAATTTTAACAGATTTCCTAAGTTCAATAAAAGCTTTTTTTGCGGCGCAAACTTTCAATTTCAATGTAATTGTAGCAAAATGAAAACTTAATTTAGTAGTTTCATAGATAATATTTGGCACAGTTTTAACACTTTCCCGTGATCCCAATAATAACATCTGTAAAAAAAACAAAAAAATTTCTCATTAATAAATTTCTAAATTTTTTTTATGTCAAATTCGTAATCAACGACCCCGAAAACCCCCTAACAATGAGTTTCATGCGAATTTGATAAAAATTTTACGAAATAATTCCTCCATATTGGATCCGCTATTTAGAATTTTAAAAAACAAATGTCAAATTCGTCATCAGCGACCACAAAAACCCCCTAGTAATGAATTTTAAGCGAATTTGATTAATTTTTACGAAATTATTCCGCCATATTGAATCCGCTATTTGGAATTTTAAAAAACAAATGTCAAATTCGTAATCAGCGACCCCAAAAACCCCCGGGTGTTGAGTTTGAAACGAATTTGATGCTATTTTATTTAGAAATTCCTCCATATTAGATCCGCTATTTTGAATTTAAAAAATTCGGCGTCAAATTCGAAATCAGCGACCCTGAAAACCCCCGAGTAGTGAATTTCAAGCGAATTTGATCATTTTTTACGAAATTATTCTACCACATTGGATCCGCTATTTTTTATTTTAAACATCCAATATCAAATTCGTCATCAGCAACCCAAAAAAAATCCCCAGGAATGAATTTTAAGCGAATTTGATTAACTTTTAAGAAATAATCACGCCATATTGGTTCCGCTATTATTTATTTTGGGAATTAATTTTGGGGATTAATTTATACGATATTATTCCACCATATTAGATCCGCTAGTGTTTTTTTGATATTCCAATGTCAAATTCGTAATCAGCGACAGCGGAAAATCTGACATTCTCGAATTATAATAAAAGGTGTTTATAACATTCGAAATCAGCGACTCGAAAATTTTCTTAAAAAAAAAAAAACATAAAAAAGTTTATGTAAATTCAAGAAAAAAAAAAATTCCTCAAAACTTTAGGAGACGCTTAATAACGAATTTGATAATATATTTTCAAAATAAAAATAGGGTATCTAATATGGTGGAATTATTTCATAAAATATTATTAAAATCGCTTGAAAGTCATAACACGGGGGTTTTCGAGGTCGCTGATTACGAATTTGATGTTTCTATTATGAAAATAAAAAAAACCTATTCCAATATGGTGGAATAATTTCGTAAAATTTTATCAAATTCGCTTGAAATTCATTACTCGAGGGTTTTCGGGTTTGCTGATAACGAATTTGCCATTGGATTTTCAGAACAAAAAATAGCGGACCTAATATTGCGGAATAATTTCTTAAAAATTGATCACATTCGTTTATAAATCACAACTCGGGGGTTTTCGGGGTCGCTGATTACGAATTTGATATTGGATTCCCAAAATAAATAATAGCGGATTCAATATGGTGGAATAATTTAGTAAAATATCATCAAATTCGTTTGTTAGTTACTACCCAGTGGTTTTCGGGATCGTAGATTACGAATTTGGCATTTGATTTTCAAAATAAAAAATAGCGGATCGAACAGACTAGAATAATTTTGCAAAATTTCATCAACTTTGCTTAAAACATTTAACTCGGGGGTTTTCAGGGTCGCTGATTACGAATTTGACATTGGATTTTTAAAACAAATAATAGCGGACCTAATATGGTGGAATAATTTCGTAAAATTTCATCAAATTCACTTGAAATTCATTACTAGGGGTGTTTTCGGGGTCGCTGATTACGAATTTCACATTTGATTTTCAAAATAAGAAATAGCGGATCAAATAGACTTGAATAATTTTGCAAAATTTCATCAACTTTGCTTAAAACTTTTAACTCGGGGGTTTTCAGGGTCGCTGATTACGAATTTGATATTGGATTTTCAAAACAAAAAATAGCTGACCTAAAATGGTGAAATAATTCTGTAAAAATTGATCAAATTCATTTGTAAATCACTACTCGAGGGTTTTCGGGGTCACTGATTACGAATTTAACAATTTTTATTTGAAATTAAATAATAGCGGATCTAATGTAGTGAAAGAATTTTATTTTATAATGAACCAACGTTATTGACACATTGTGCAATTAATTTTCTTGATGTCTTGTTGTCATTTCCACAAAGTGAAACATTTTTTTTTATATTCACTAAAACATCCCATGTCTTTTCTGCTTTTGTAAATAATTTAATCCATGCATTATTAAGATTATCAATTATTTTTCTTGTACAATTTTTTGTCTTCTCAATTGTCTCAGTAAAAATTGGTTTAATATTATCGGCTATTTCTGAACATTCCCTTATATCGTATCCAATTGTTTTTTCTATTAATTTATCAATTTTTGGCATTACTTCTTTTTCTATTTCATCAATATTATTTGAAGCAATTTTTCTTATAAATAATGTCTTTAATTTTAATTTTGATTGATATATTTTCACTTTTTTAGAATATTTATTTATAACTTTCTTAAGTTTATTCATTGTTTCATCTACTGTTTCTCTTACTTTGGCTTTCATTTTTATTATTTTTTCATCATTTTCAGCCTAATAAAAAAAAAATTTTTTTCTTATATTATAAAAAAAAATAATTATTAGAAAAAAATAATTTTTTTTTCTTAAAGTTTAATTAAAAATATTTTTTAATTTAAATAATATATATTTTTTTTATTGTAATTAAAAAAGAAACAAAATTTTTAAATTAGAAACGACTAATTAATTAATTAATAACTAATTATTAATTATAATTATTAATAAATAATTGATAAATTATTTTTCTTACATTTGCAATAATGATGAAGGCACAAAAGATGATTACAACTTTCAACATAATTTTTTTTTTTTTTGCAAATTGTTCAATTCAATTAAATTACAATTTGAAATTTTTTCCACCTTTTTTCTAATTAAAATAAAATATTTTTTTTATTTTTTTTTATTGGAAAAATTCTTAAATCGAAATTTGTTTTAGAATTTTTTTTTTTTATTTTAATCATACATTTAAAAAAATGCACAGAAACATATTTGTAAGTTGTTTAAAATTTACAAATTAAAAGAAAATATATTTCTAAATGCAATGATTTTTGTTTTTCAAATTATCAACCGGGTAATAAAATTTTTTACATAACATAGAGAGTAGATTGTAACTTCCTTTATCATTGAAAAAAAAAAATTATGTTTCTTTGATAAATAAAAAAAAGTTTCACTTAATTCTTTTAAAATTTTGAAAAAAAATAATTATTATTTTAGAGAATTTTTTTATTTTTTTAGAAAATATTTTCTATAAAAAATTATACAAAATTAAAAAAAATTTCTTTATTGAATTTCTATTTTTTTTTTGGTAATTTTTATTTTCTAAAAAAAATTTTCGAACAATATTTTTTTTTAATTTAAATAATAAGAAAGAAACTAATTATTTTATTTGATAAAAATATTTTTATTTACTTAAAAATTATATTAATTACAAATTAATTATTTATTATAAATCATACATGTGAGATTCTAAAAGAAAAAAGAAAAAAATATTTTTTTTTTTATTCTCCTTTTTTCTTTGATTCAGCAAGTGCTTTTCGTGCTTTAATGCATTCTTGAACTTTTTCAACAACAATTTGTGAACCAGTATTAATTTTTTTAATTCCCTTAACTGTCGAACAATATCCCAATTCAGGCAATAGTGTTGTTATTTTCCATGTGAGTTTACCCAAATCACCCAATAAGGCCGGTACATTTTTTGTTGCTGCCCATGTTCCTTTGGCAGCAGCCTAGAAGAAACAAAAAATAGAAGAAAAAAAAAATTATTTTACCAAATTTTTTTTTTTAAACAAAAAAAAATTAATAGTCTAATTAGAAAGAAAAATTTTTAATTAACAATTTTTATATTAACTAAAATTGAATAATTTTTTTAAATTTTATTTATTTATTATTATTATATTTATTATTATTATTATTATTAATTTTATTTATTAATTATGTATTATTATTATTATTATTATGATGATTATTATTATTATTATCAGTAAAATTTATTATTGATGAAAAAATTTACTAACCATATTGACACATAAAAATGCTTTGGCAGCTGATCCGATATTTTTGACATTTTCCACACAATGCTCGGCCTCCTCTTTGATGGAAGTTAAATTTTTCAAAACAATATCAGCGCTGTGTTGCATATTTTCCGTGTAACCATCAGCGTCCTCTAATACATCGGTAACACAACGTGAAACTTCGGCAATTGCCTGAACACCAGTCTCATCAAATGCTTCAGCCATTTGAGCGCATTCTGTTACATTATAATTAATTGCCTCCTTTATTGCCTTATCAACTTCGGCTTTAATCTGTAAGAAAATTTTTTTTTTCAAATTTCCCACAAAAAAATAAAATAAAAAAAAATACATTAGAATTAAATGTAATCAATTGTAAATTATATCAAATAGAGAAAAAATTAAAAATAAAATTAAATTCAAATTTTAAATTTATTTGAAGCATTTTTTTTAAAAATTAATTATGAAACTAATGTTAAATTTGTAATCAGCGACCCCAAAAACCCCCGAGTAATGAGTTTCAAGCGAATTTGATGAATTTTCACCAAATTCTTCCTCCACATTTAATCCGCTATTTTTTAATTCTAAAATCCAATATCAAATTCGTAATCAGCGACCCCAAAAACTCCCAAGTAATAAATTTTAAGCGAATTTGATAAATTTTTACGAAATTATTCCGCTAGATTGGATCCGCTATTTTTTTTTACTTAAAAATCCATTATTAAATTCGTAATCAGCGGCATCAAAAACCCTCGAGTAGTGAGTTTCAAACGAATTTGATGAAATTTTACAAAATAATTCCGCCATGCTGGATCCGCTAATTTTTATTTTGAAAATCTATTGTCAAATTCGTAATCAGCGACCTCGAAAACCCCCGATGAATGAATTTCCAGCAAAATTTTTGAATTTTAACAAAATTCTTCCACCATATAAGATCCGCTATTTTTTGTTTTGAAAATCGAATATCAAATTCGTAATCAGCGACACTTAAAACCTCCATGGAGTGAGTTTCAAACGAATTTGATGAAATTTTACAAAATAATTCCTCCATGCTGGAGCCGCTAATTTTTATTTTGAAAATCTATGGTCAAATTCGTAATCAGCGACCCCGAAAACCCCCGATTAATGAATTTCCAGCAAAATTATTGAATTTTAACAAAATTCTTCCACCATATAAGATCCGCTATTTTATGTTTTGAAAATCCAATATCAAATTCGTAATCAGCGATACTTAAAACCCCCATATAGTGAGTTTCAAACGAATTTGATGAAATTTTACAAACTAGTTCGTTAATATTAAATCAGCTATTTTTTATTTTCAAAATCTATTGTCAAATTCGTCATCAGCGACCCCAAAAACCTCCGGGTAATAAATTTCAAGCGAATTTGATCAATTTTTACAAAATAATTCCGCCATATTATATTCGCTATTTTTTATTTTGAAAATCCATTGTCAAATTCGTAATCAGCGGCATCGAGAACCCCCGAGTAATGAATTTCAAGCGAATTTGATGAAATTTTACTAAATTATTTCACCACATAGAATCCGCTATTTCCTATTTTGAAAATCCATTATCAAATTCGTAATCAGCGGCATCGAAAACCTCAGAGTAATGCATTTCATGCGAATTTAATTTTTTTTAAATAAAATTATTCCGCCATATTGGATCCTCTATTTTCTATTCTCAAAATATAATATCAAATTCGTAATCAGCGACCCTGAAAACCCGCAAGTAGTGTGTTTCAAACGAATTGGATGAAATTTTACAAAATAATACCGCCCTATTACAACCGCTATTTTTTATTTTCAAAATCTATTGTCAATTTGGTAATCAGCGACCCCGAAAACCCCAGAGTAATGAATCATACGGTTTTTCCGCGGTCGCTTATAACTAATTTGACATTAGATTTTCGGAACAAAAAATAGCGGATTCCGTATTTGTGAAGAATTTTTTGAAAATTGATCTACTTCGCCTGAAATTAATTACTGGGGAGTTTTAGTGGTCTCTGATTGCGAATTTGAGAATGGATTTTCAAAACAAAAAATATACAATATAGCGGAATAAATTTGTAAAAATTGATCCAATTCCGCTAGAAATTTACTACTCAGAGATTTTTCGGGGTCGCTGATTACGAATTTGATATTGTATTTTCGAAATAAAAAATAGCGGATTTAAATGGGCGGAATTATTTTATAATATTTTATCAAATTCGTTTCAAATATACTACCCAGGAGTTTTTAGGGTCGCTGATAGCGAATTTGACATTAGATTTTCAAAATAAAAAATAGCGGATCTAATATTGTGGAATAATATGGTGAAATATTATTAAAATCGCTTGAAATTCATTACACGGGGGTTTTCGATGCCGCTGATTACGAATTTGACATTGGATTTTGAAAATAAAAAATAGCGGATGTAATATGGTTGAGTAATTTTGCAGAATTTCACCAAAATCACTTGAATCTCATTACTCGGGAGTTTTTGGGGTCGCTGATTACGAATTTGACATTGGATTTTGAAAATAAAAAATAGCGGATGTAATATGGTGGAGTAATTTTGCAGAATTTTACCAAAATCACTTGAAACTCATTACTCGGGAGTTTTTGGGATCGCTGATTACGAATTTGACATTGAATTTTCAATATAAAAAATAGCGGATCTGATATGGTGGAAGATTTCAGTGAAAATTAATAAAATACGCTTGAAACTCATTACTCGGGGGTTTTTGGGGTCGCTGATTATGAATTTAGAATCAGTTTTCAAAAATTCAAAATAATGCATCCAGCAATGTGAATTTTTTATTTTTAATTCATTAGATTTGCTTTAAAATCATTAATCGGGGGTTTTTTTTTTTTTTTGGGACGCTGATTGTAAATTTAATAATAAATTTCCATTTTTTTTTTCTAATTCGAATTTAAATAAACAAACAATTAAAGTATACTTACAGTTTGTTGTGCCTCGACAATTTTATCATAAACAGATTTTGTAACTTTTAATGCTTCATCTTTGAGTTTTTGAATTGTTGTTTTTGTTGCTTCCTGTAGTTGTTGAACATATTCTGTAACTTGTTTAATTGCTTCATTGACAATATCTACAACTTTATTTTTTATTTCATCAACTGCACTATGTTTCTCTTCTTGTGGCTCCGTATTATCAGCAAATACCGCCTAAATTATTTATTTATTATTATTAATAAAAACAGTAAAAATAAAATAAAATTAATAAATAAAAAAAATATTTAAAAAAATAGTAAAAAAAAAATAAATAAAAAAATTAATGAAAAAAATAATAATAATTAATGAAGTTTAACCAAAAAAAAAAGAAATTTAATTTTTTTTTCTTACCCCAGCCAAAAGGATGGCACAAAAAAGAAATACAAATTTCGACATATTTTTTCCAAGTAAATCTTATAAAAAATGGAAAAATATAAAATTAATGATTCAAAAAATTTTTATTTTACCTTTTTATATAAAAAAATTTGTCATTTTAATAATTTATAAAATGAATTAATTCCTTTTTTTCTTTTGACAAATCAAACACTTGTGTCAATTGAAATTATAAGTTTTTTTTTAATTTAACTTTTCATATATATATATATATATATATACGCGGAAATAATATTAAATTTTATCTCAATACAATAATAATTTATTTGATTTTAATTTTGTTCTAGAAAAAAAAATGCAGACGTTTTTAACAGACGTGATCAAAATTCGTTTTTAAAATTGAATAAATAATTATATTAAAAAAAAAAGAACGTAAACGTCTGTGTCTGTTATTTCGTTTTTTTATATTTTTTTTTGTAATAAAAATTCCATTCTCAGTAAAAATAGGTTTTTTTTTTTTTTTTTTTTGATAAATTATTAAATAATTTAATAAATAAATTAGATTTTTTTTTTTTTTTTTAATAAAAACTGTTAATTAATTTAATAAACAATTATTGTTTATTAATTAATTTATTAAACAAATTAATAATTTTAATAATAATGTTTAGTTAATAAATTTTTAATTTAATGAAAAAAAAATTAATAATTAATAATTATGTTTTGTCAATAAATAGTTAATTAATTAATAAAGGTAAATAAATAATTTTTTTCTATTTTTTTTTTTTTTTTTTTTTTTAATATTATTTATTAGTTAAATATAATTTTAAATATTATTCCACTTTTATTCCGGCAGGAATAATGTACATAAATATATATATAAATATTTTTTTTTCTTTTTCGAATCACAATAATTGATGTCGACATTGCACGCATTGTTTAATTTCTTGAACAATTTCACTATTATTCAATTCAATATAATCTGTTGAATTTAAACATTGATTCATTTCTTCATCGCGTATATTCACAAGTTTTTCATTCGTTTTAAAAATTTCACGGTAACCATTATTCATTTCATTGAGCATAAAATATGTTGACTTGATTGAAACCTGAAAGAATATTTTTTTTTTTCAAAATATTAAAGAAGATAAATGAAAATTTAAAAAATTTATTAAAATCAAATTAATTAGGTATATTAATTAATTAAATAATTAGGTACACAAAAATAAATAAATAAATTAATAAATTAATAATTTAAAATTAATTTATTAATAAATTCAAATTATTTAATGAATTAATTATTATTAATTTTTTAATTCATTATAATTAAGAGAAGGAAAATTTAATTTTTTTTTAATTTGAAAATAATTAATTAATTAATTAATTATTAATTGAATATATAATTAAATTTTAAAAAAAATATATAACTTACATTCTTAAGGCATTTTAATTTTTCATTATTATTCGAATCTTCATTTTTTAAACAGTTATCAGCTTCAGTTTTGAATGAAAAGTATGTTGTCAAAAGTGTTGTAGATGTTGTTTTAACACTAATAGAAATATTATAGGCTGTATTTGTTTTTGATACCAAACAACCACGTGTTTCTTGCAATGTTGCAAAACCTTTTTCCTCAAAATTAACAAACTTGTCGAAACAGTCAGTTAAATTAACTTCAATATTTTTCGACAATCCCTTTTGAAGTTCATATCCTGACTGTTTTTATTAAATAATTAATAATTAACAATAATTTATCAAAAATAAAAAAATATATTATTATAAATAATAGAATATTATAAATAAATAAAATTAAATGTTATTATTGAAAAATAAATAAATAAAATTATTATAAATAACATAAATAAATTAATTAATTAAATAATATATTATATTATATTATAATATATAATTATATATAATAATAAAATGAAAATATATTGACTTTTAAAATTAAAAAATAAAAAAAAATTTTTTTTAATGTATAGCAAAATGGGACACTCATCAGGTTTACTATTCATAAATTGGTTTGCTTAACTTGAAAAAAAAAAATTTTCATTCTTTATAACAAATAAAACAAAAAAAAAAATTTTTTTTAATTTAATTTAAAAATTTTTTTTTACTTACATCATTTATATTTTTAAAAAATTTCTGATACATTATTTCTCCTCTTACTCCAACATTAATAAATGTTTCTATAGTAGTCTCAAGAATTGTAATTGTTTCATTAAAACGATTACCATAGCAATCAATAAATGCATCTAAATGTTTTAATTCTGCATTTATATCATCTTCTGTTACAATTTTTTCTAATTGTAGACTGCTAACAATGTTGACCTTAAAGAATTTTTTTTTTTTAATTAACAATTTTTTATATGAAAAAAAATTTTTTTTTCTTATTATTTATTTATTTATTAGTTTTTTTAACTGAAAAAAGGAAATTTAAAAATAAATTAACAAATTTTTCATGAAAAAAATAATTTTTTTTTTTATTTATTTATTAGCTTTTTTTTTTTGAAATTGAAATAAGAAATTTAAAAAATAAACAAAAAATAAAAGAAACTATTTTTTGAAATTAAATTTTAAAAAAATGTAAATAAATTTTTTTTTATTAAAAATGTTAATTAGAATTGTTTTTTGTAATTAAAAAATGAAAAAAAAAATTAATTGTGTCAATATTAATATTTTTTATTATTACTATTTTAATAAATACACAAATAAATAAAAAATGAAAGAAATAAATAATTATTATTTCAATAAATAATTATTGATATTTAATTAATAAAATTGCTATTTTAATAAATAAAAAAAAATTATTATTTATATTATTGAATTAAAAAAAAATTATTATTCAAATATATAAATAAATTATTATTATTATTATTTGATAAATTACTAGTATTATTTGTTAATAAATAAATAAATTATTATTATTATTTGTTACATAAATAAATTACTATTATTATTATTTAATTAATAAATGAAAAAAATTATTAATATTCCAATAAATAAATAATTATTGTTATTTAATTAATAAATAAAAAAAAATATTTTTAATAATATTTAATTCTTTTTTTAAATTAAATTTTTTTATCAAAAAAAAATTGTGTATAATAATAATTTTTTTTTTTGACAACTTACAGTCAGAAGAATAATGGAAAGTAAAAAGTAGAAAATCTTCATTTTTTATTTTTTTTTTCACTTCTTTTTTACTGGACACAATTTGAAAAACTGATGGGAAATCATTTTTTTCTTCAACTTTTATTCAAAAAATTCATGTGACTATTGTTGAAATCCATATATAAACAATAGAATTCACCTTTCATGTAAATCTATATGTTCTAATCAAGAGGCCCTATCTTTATTGGAGCTTAAAGAAATTTTAGTGATATATAGTTTTTCTCGTTCAATGTCGTTAAAAATTTTTATGATTTTTAAATATAACCAATAGGGCCAATGAAGAAAAAAATTAGTTTTACCAATAATAATAATAAAAAAAAAAATAATAATATATAAAAAAATTTGGGTTAGTACAATAAAACAAAAGAAAAAAGAAACAATAAAAAAAATTTATGTCATGGAAAAATTAATATTTTCTTACAAAATACAATTTTTTTAGTTTTTTTTTTTATTCATTTTTTTATTATTTTTTAATATTATTATTTTTAAACAAAAAAAAATTTTTTTTAAAACTTTAATTTAATAATTTTTTAATTTAATAAATAATTTAAATTAATTAATTAAAGGGGCTTGTCTTGTCTTTATAAATAAATAAATAAATTTTTAATTTAATTATTTAAATAAACATTTTAATTTATATTTCAAAAAAAAAAAATTAGAAAAAAATAAAGTTTACCAACTATATTTATTTATTTAAAATTTATTATTAAAAAAAAATTAAATAATTAATTAATTTATTTTAATTTATAATTAAACATTAAAATTAAATAAAATAATTAAAAATTTTAATTTAATTAAATTAATATACAATTGTTGTTAATAATTACAAATTAAAATAAAATGTAATTTAAAATAATTGACAAACAATTTGGTACACCATTAAGTTACTAATTTGGTCTGGGTTTGCTTAACTTGTAAAAAAATTTTTTTTTTTTTAAATTCCATTTATTAGTTGGAGGAAAAAAGAATACAATAAATGTGATATAAAATAAATTTATTTATTTATTTATTTATTTACATGTAAACGGGCTTACAAAGAAAGAAGAATTAGCCCTTTCGTACTTATTAATAAATAATAGGAAAAAAATGTAAATTAAAAACGAAAAATTTTTCTAAAATTTTCTTCTTTTTCATTAACACATTTTTGAATTTTCGACATTAAATTCAAATAATTTTCCTTTATATTTTGATATTTATTTAATTCAGGACAAATTGATTCATTTTTCTGAAATTTTTCAAAATTTTTTTTCAAATTATCATTTTCTTCTTTCATAAATGCCAAAAAAGATCCTCTTGATTTTTTTAAATTTTTTAACGACTGAAAAATATAAAAATTAATTAATTAATTTAATTATAATAATATAAAATATAAAATAAAAAATTTTTTTTCAGTATTAAATATAAAAATAAAAAAAAAAAACTAAATAAAATTATTGTGTTAAATAAAAAACAAATTAAATAAAAAATTAAATAGTTTTACTAAAAATTTATATATGAAATATATTATTAAAAAAAAAAATAAAAAAAATTTTCATAATTTAAAAAATAATACCTATAATTAAAAATTATTTTTTTAAAATTATTTAAATTTTTATAATTACTTTTTTAATGCAATTATTAGCTTTATTAACTTTTCTTGTTTCCATGTTCTGAAGACAATTTTCTGAATTGTTTTTCGTAATATTTAAATTTGTGAGAAAATTTTCAAATTTAGTTTCAAATTTTTCCAATGAAATTTTTTGAAATTGTTGTTTTTTATCCAATAAACATTTTTTTATATCCAAAAATATATATAAACTATCTCGATGTAATTCTCTTGACATTTCACTGCATTTTGTCAAATTCAAGTGCATATTTTCAATTAAAATTGTTTCCAATTCCTTGTTTATCTATATAGTATATATATATATATATTTTTTTTTTTCAAGAATAATAATAAAATTAATTAGTAAATAATTTTTTTTAATTTTCATGGTTAAAAAAAATTTATTTAAAAATAATCTATAAATAGAATCTATCTAGAATCTATCTATCTATCTAGATCTATCTAATCTAATCTATCTATCTATAAATTAATTTAAAAATATTTTTAAAAAATTAAGTTTAAAAAAATTAGAAAAATTAAAAAATTAAAATAAAAAAAATTTATTTTTTAAAAATATTTTTTAAATTATAATTATAAAAAATTTAGTATTTAAAAAAATACTTTTAAAATTAAATAAAAATAATGTAGATAAAAAAAAATTTTAATTAAAAATTAATTTTTTTTTATTTAAATAAATATATATATGTATATTGAGGTAAAAATTAAATAATAATTACCGTTTCTTGATTGTTGAGTATTTCTTGAAAAATTGATAAGACATATTTTTGAACATCAACACTTATAGTTTCAGAATATTCAGAATAATTTTCTAAATATTTTTCCTTATTTTTTTTAAATTCATTGGAATAATTAATAAATGTTTCTTCAATTTCATTTTTGACTTTATTAATTTTTGTTACTTTTCTTTGATTATATCCCTTACCTTCAATGATATTGATAATCTATTCATAATTTTTTTTTTTAATTTTAAAATGATTTTTTAAAAAATAAAAGTGAATAAATAAATAAATAATTAAATAAACAAACAAATAAATAAACAAATAAATAAATAATTAATTAATTAAATAAATAATTAAATAAACAAATAATTAACTAAATTATTATTATTATTATTATTATTATTATTATTATTATTATTATTATTTAATAAATAAATTTTTTTTTCTTAATTTAGTAACAATAATTAGAACAATTTTTTATTTTTAAAAAAATAATTAGCAAATAATATATTAAATAAATTATTGACAATAATAATTTGAAAATTGTTAATTAATTAATTAATTAATTAATTAATTTATTAAAAAACATTTTTAACTAGTTTTATTTTTAATTAAAAATTTTTTGTACTGTAGATTATTTATTGTTAACTTACTGATATCAGAAGAAAAATATAAAACAAAATTTTTAATTTATACATGGTTACTCTTTTCCAGCTTCTATTATTGTAATTAAAAATAAAACTAGATGAGTAGAGTTTTTATTCTTTCAATTTTTTTTTATCTATTGTGACAAAAAAAAATTATAGCACACTTTGTCAATAATGAAATCATCAACGAGGAAATGATTTACAAAAATTTTGATTCGAAAATTTATTTGATATTATAAATTTAAGATCATATATATATTTTTAAATAGAAACGAGATATATATGGGACGTTCTTTGTCAACCGGACCACCCCATCTCTCCATAATTGGTTTAATTTAAAAAAATTTTATCATATTGGAAAAATTAGCTTGGAATGTCTACTTTTTAATCCCGTTGGGCGCTTTTTGAAATTCAAAATGGCGACTTAAATATGGCGCCTAAACGACATAAAAAACACAAAAAATCCACTAATATGATCTATATTATTGTTTAAAGCTTCACATATGACGATAAAAATAACCACAACATAGTTTACTTACAAACTGATAACGTATCTCCATTCAAAATTTCAAAATGGCGGATTAAATATGGCGGATAAAATTAAAAATTGAGCTAGACTCGTGAAAATTACTACTTGGGGGTTTTCGAGGTCGTTGATTACGAATCCGGTGTTAGTTTTCAAAAATTCAAAATGGCGGATCCAATATGGCGGACAAAAATTGAAAAATCGTGTAGATTCGATTGAAACTTGTTACATGGGGGTTTTTGGGGTCGCTGATGACGAATCCGGTGTTAGTTTTCAAAAATTCAAAATGGCGGATCCAATATGACGGACAAAAAAAATTGAAAAATCGTGTAGATTCGATTGAAACTTGTTACACGGGGGTTTTTGGGGTCGCTGATTACGAATCCGGTATTAGTTTCCAAAAATTCAAAATGGCGGATCCAATATGATGGACAAAAATTAAAAAATCGTTTAGATTCGCCTGAAACTTGTTACTCGGGGGTTTTTGGGGTCGCTGATTACAAATCCGTTGTTAGATTTAAAAAATTTTAAATGGCAGACTTAAAATAGTAGCCCAAAATTTAAATAATTAAGTTAAACCCGTGAAATTGTTTACTCGGGTGTTTTCGGGGTCACTGATTACGAATCTGCGGTTACTTTTTAATAATTCTAAATGGCTGACCACAAATCCAAAAAATTGAGCTAAACTCGTTAAAATGTCTACCTAAGGGTTTTTCAGGACAATCTTTATGAATTCATCGTTACTTTTTAAAAAATCAAATTGTGAATATAAACTGGTGGACCAAAATATGAAAAATTGATCTAACTTTTTTATATTGAACGTAAAAAGGTGCCATTTGAACTTATCAAATACAACGCCAGATAACTTTTTATGGAAATCACGTGAGGATTATTTAATTAATAATCACAAGACTAGCTTAATTTTTTAATTCTATCCGCCATTTTGAATTTTAAATAGAGATTTGTCATCAACCATTTAAAATTTTTTTAAAACTGACATCGGATTTGTAATCAGCGACCAAAAAAATCCCTATGTAGACATTTTTACGAAATTAGCTCCATTTGTTCAATTTTTGTCCGCCATATTGGATCCGCCATTTTGAATTTTTGAAAACTAACACCGGATTCGTAATCAGCGACCTCAAAAACCCCCAAGTAGTAATTTTCACGAGTCTAGCTCAATTTTTAATTTTATCCGCCATATTTAATCCGCCATTTTGAAATTTTGAATGGAGATACGTTATCAGTTTGTAAGTAAACTATGTTGTGGTTATTTTTATCGTCATATGTGAAGCTTTAAACAATAATATAGATCATATTAGTGGATTTTTTGTGTTTTTTATGTCGTTTAGGCGCCATATTTAAGTCGCCATTTTGAATTTCAAAAAGCGCCCAACGGGATTAAAAAGTAGACATTCCAAGCTAATTTTTCCAATATGATAAAATTTTTTTAAATTAAACCAATTATGGAGAGATGGGGTGGTCCGGTTGACAAAGAACGTCCCATATATTTTTTTAAGTTCATTTGAAAAAAAAATTTAATCATTAATATAATTAATTATTATTATTATTTATAATAAAATCATTATTTAATTTTATTATTTATTTATTTGAACAACAATGAGTTTCAAATAAAACTCATTTATTTATTTAAAAAGTAATTAAATAATTATTAATAATTATAAATTATTGTTATTTTAAATTACAAAAAATAAAAGAATTTATTAAATTCTATAAATAATTATCACCTAAACTAAGTTTTAATTAAATTAATAATTTTTAAGAAAGAATTATTTATAAAAAAATAAAAAAATCAACAACAACAAATTTTAACTAATTTTTTAAAAACTTAATTAAAATTTTAATTATTAACTAATTAAAATTTTAATCAATTTACTAATGAAATGTTTAATTAATTAAAAATAATTAGAAATAAAAATAAAGAAAAAAAAGTAATTATTAAAAAAAAATACAAATAAATGAAAAATCGAAGAAAAAATGAAAAAAAAATATAGTCAAATAAATAAAATCATTTAAAAAAATTATGGAAAATCATCGAAATACATAAAAGTAAGACGGGTTGCATATTGCTTCCAATAGCGTTGAGTTAAGTAACGTTATACATAGGATTTAAAAAAGAAATACAATTTTTTTTTTTTAATATTAATTTAATAATACACATTTACATTTACACTTAATATTAATTTTTATACTTAAAATTATTTTTTTTCCCTTATATTTGCAAAAATAATAATAATAATATATAATAATAATAATTAATAAAATAATTAATTATTCATTTTCTTCTCCATATATATTTTTTTTTTGCATTTTTTAGCGTTTTTTTATAATTTTTTGATTAATACAATTTTGAATATTTTCAATAAAATTTGAAAAATATTTTTCAGGATCTTCAATTGAATTTTTACAATTTTTTAATTGTCCATTGAAATTTGAAGCTTTGTAGGTTCGTCGATAATTATTAACTTTAAGTAATATTTTTTGATGAATTGTAAAAATTTGAAGATGTTGACTTTTTTTTGTAAGCTAAAAAATATAGAAAAATTTTTCATTAATAATTAGTTCATAATTAATAAATAAATAATTAAAAAAAAAATTAATAACTAATCAATAAATAATTAATAAATAATTCATAAATAATTATTAATTAATTAATAAATAATTAATAAATAATTATTAATTATTATTAAATAAATAATTAATTAATTTTTAACTAATAATTAAATAAATAGAAAAAAAATAAAAAAATTTTTTCAAGTTTTTATTTATTTTTGAAAACAAACCTCTTTGATGCATTGGATTTTTTCTGATGTTAATTTTTGATTATTATTTTGATTTTCAACACAATTTTCCGCTTCTTCTATTAATGTTATTAAATTTTTTTCGCCAATTTTAAAATTTTCATTAATATTCGTCAAATTTGGTTTTTTATTGTAAACAGTGTCAAATAAACAAGTACGATAATTTTCTAATGTAACAAAAGCATTTTCAGTATAAATTAATGACATATTTTCACATTTTGACATTTCTCTATTTAGAAAATTGTCTTTTAATCCATTTTCAATTTCCTGCATAATCTGTTTAAAATTAAAAAAAAAAAGCAAAATATTAAATTCACAAAAATTTTTTTTTAATAATTTCTTTTCTCACTTCATTGTTTATTTTTTTTTATTGTAAATTTAATTAATTTTTTAATTTTGATAAAAAAAAAAAATAGATTTTTTAAAATTATAAAAAAAATAACAAAAAATTATTTCAAATTCAAATTTAAAAAAATAATTTTAAATGAAATTAAATAATTGTCAGTTAAAATTAAAATGTTTATTTAAAAAAAAGAATAAAAATAATAAATAATAATAATGAGAAATATAAAATAAAATATATAAACATTGATATTTATAAGAAATTAAATTAATAATAATAAAAAAAAGTGAATTAAATATATAATATATTATAAACACTCACTTTTTGATTAAAGGAAAATATTTGTTCATTCATTGTATTAGATAAATTAATAGCCTCATCTAAAATTATTTTATGTGTTTGTGATATTTCCAATGAGAAATTAGATTCCAATTTATTAATTATCATTTTTTGTTGATTAAGAAATTTAATTAAATCATCTTTTCGTTTTAAAATATCAATTGATGATAAATCCGATGAAAATTGTTTTCCCTCACTTCTATTTACCTAAATAATAAAAAAAATAATAATAACATTTTTCACCAATTAATAACAATAATAAAAAAAAAATTTCATTTTTAAAAAAAAACTTTATTGTTGTTTAAATAAGAATTTTTTTTTTGTTTATTTTATAAAAAAAAAATTAATAAAAAAACTTACTCCAAAAATAATGAGAATTAATAAATAAAAAAAATGATGATAATTTGACATGTTTCACACTTAGACGAGCGAAAAAAATAACTTTAAACATAAGAAAAAATTTCACTTTTTATAACAAAAGTATGTCGTGTTCCAAATACGATCACAGTGTAAATAACCAAAAAAAAAATAGTTTCAGTCATTCTAAATAAACTGGGCACATTTATCAGGGGAGCTTAATGCTATTTGATTTATTTTTTTTTTATCAACAATTACTAAACTATAACCTTGAAATTTTTTTAATGACACAAATTCATTTTGCAATGTGAGAAAAAACTATTAAAAAAAATTATATTTAATTACAAGAAGCAAGAAACAATAACAAATAAAAATAATGACAATAATGACAAAAACAATAACAGAAACAAAGATAATAACAATAATAACAATTATAACAAACAATAAAAAGAAATAACAAAAATAACAATGACAAGAAATAACAAAAAATAACATTAACAATAGAAATAAACAATTACAACAACAATAACAATAGTAATAAACAATAACAACAATAATCATAAACAATATCAACAACAATAGGAACAATAACAATAGCAATAATAACAATAATAAACAAAAACAATTATAAACAATGTCAACAATAACGATAATAATAATAAACAATAACAATAACAACAATAGTAACAATAATATACAAAAATAATTATAAACAATGTCAACAATAACAAAAATAAACAATAGCAATTACAACAATAATAACAGTAACAACAATAATAGCAACAATAAACAGTAACAAGAAATAACAATAAGAACAACTATAATTACAAAAACAATAGTAATAAACAATAACAACAATAATAATAAACAATAACAACAATAATAAACAATAACAACAATAATAATTGACAATAACAACAACAATAGTAACAATAATAAACAAAAATAATTATAAACAATGTGAACAATAACAAAAATAAACAATAGCAATTACAACAACAATAACAGTAACAACAATAATAGCAACAATAAACAATAACAATAAGAACAACTATAATTACAAAAACAGTAGTAATAAACAATAACAACAATAATAATAAACAATAACAACAACAAGAGTAACAATAACAACAACAATAATAATAATAAACAGTAACAGAAAAAAAAATAAACAATAAAAAATAATAATAATAAAAAATTACAAGAAATTTATAATAGTAACGGTAATAATAAGGTTGACCGTAACAAAATAATATTAGTGTTAACAAAAAATTTAAGGATCAAAAACAAACAAAAAATTAAAGTTGTAACAACTGTATATTACGAGTTAGATGTAAAATTAATAGGATGAATAATAAAATTAAAGAGAAATGATGCGAATAAAAAAAATGTTAACATCAATCGGATCATAATCCACTTATTATGTAATAAAGAATATGAAGAAGTAGTGAGAGCATGTAAATATTCAGTCATAGAGTATTTTATATGAAAGTTCACCCCAATATAAAGCTTTCCCATAGAATTGGTGCACGGGGTGTCGTGGGAACCGTCTCGCTCAATATAATGAATTTTTTTTTTTTTTCATTAAGGGTGTCAACTACTGCGGCAAGTAGTTATAGAGATTCCTTTATAACTCATCAATTTTTTTCTTCATCTAAGAAATCCATGATATTAAACAAAAAATTAATTTTTTTTAAAAAAATTTTATATAATGTGAAAAATAATTATTTAAATAATCAAAATAATTATTAATGAATTATATTTATAAATTTATTGTACTTTTTTTTGTTTCAGGAAGTGTTTGAGAATTACGTCGAATTCTAAGGAAATTGTCGGTGAGTCATAATAATAATTTGCCTTAGTCATTTTTTGTTATAAGTATACATGATTAAATAAATAAACATAATTTTCATAAAATCAGATAAGTTTAAACAATCGGAACATTTTTCCATTGGTTGGTACATTATAAAAAAATGTTATTGCAATTTGTCCGGTTCAAAATTAATAGGAAATAACCGAATAGTTATACATACTTTTGATTCCGTAACTGAAAAAAACAAATTTTTTGTTCAATACACGATTTTTGATCAAACAGGTGATTTTTAATAATCGGTACTTTTTTTTATCTGCCATGGCATTGCAAAAAAAAGAGAATGCAATTTATCCCGTTCAAATTTATCCAGAAATAACCGAATAGTAACAAATTTTTGATTCCGTAAGTGCGGATTTTTCAATAAATAAACGATTTTTGACCAATTAGGTTAATTTAAACAATAGAGAATTTTTTCCCCTACTTTTAGCATTGCAAAAAGAAAAGAATACAATTTGTCCGATTCAAATTCATCCAGAAATAATCGAATAGTACAAATTTTTGATTCCGTAACTAATAGAAATAGATTTTTTCAATAAATACACGATTTTTGACCAATCAGGTGATTTTTAATAATCCGGACCTTTTTTCTTACTGGTAGCACTGCGAAAAAAGAGAATGCAATTTGTTCCGTTCAAATTTATCCAGAAATAACCGAATAGTAAGAAATTTTTGATTCCGTAACTGCGGATTTTTCCATAAATACACAATTTTTCATCAATCAGGTAATTTTTAAAATTATGGACTTTTTTTTACTACTAAAGGCATTGCAAAAATAAGCAATTGCTAAAGGTCCAGTCGAAATTTATCCGGAAACAAATAGGAAATAACAAACTTTTGTTTCCGTAACGGATGATTAGGCAAAAAGCAATAAAAAGACAATTAAAAACGTGGGGTTTTTTTTCTGTAAACAATTTTTTCTCTTTTAATTTATAAAAAGGATGTAAATCAACCTTTTTTTTGCCACCAGATAAAAGAAAACGATAGGAAAAACAAATTGTAAAAATGGTATTACACAAACAAAAATACATTGTCCATGTTTGGACAAATAAACAATTTTTTGAGTAACTAAATTATTTTTTTAACAATCGAGACCTTATTCACGACTTTAGGCATTGGAAAAAGAAGAGATTACAATTTGTCCGATAAAAATTTATCAATAATTAACATAACACTAATAGACATTGATTTCCTTAACGGATTTTTGAGCATACAAAGTACACATAAAAATTATCTAAAATAATAGAGAAAAAAAAGAAACGTGTGAAATTTTTTTTGGTTCATTTTTAGATTTATTTTTTCTTTGCATATATACACTTAAAAAATATAAGTATTTAACATACATATACATAATATACAGAAATCAGGGAGGAATGTCACGTTTGCCCTCCACAATAACGGAAGTATCGTATCGATTGCACTCTCTCTCCCTTCTTCTAGCAAATGTTCTCTCTCTCTCTCGCTCTCTCTCCTTCTGCCCCACCACCCCCGACCTCTTCCGGCTTTTTCGTCATACATATATAACCATCCCTTCATCATAAAATATGCTGTTATACCTTTCGGTTTGAAATGTGATGATCAATCATATACTCACCGGAAAAAAAAGAAAATAGTGCGCTGACTAATGTCTCGCATTTTTTTCAGAAACAAAACAAAAATTTGCAAATTTATAAAATTTCTCATTTTTTATTTGATAATCAATAACAATTAATAACAATAACAGTAACAACAACAGGAATAAAAATAATAACAACAACAATAGCAACAAAAACAGTAATAAAAATAACAACGGTAGCCATAACAATTATAATAACAACAAAAACAATAGCAATAATAGAAATAACAACAATAACAATAGCATTAAGAACAATAACAACAACAATAATAATAATAATAATAATAATAATAATAATAATAATTATAATAATAATTATAATAATAATAACAAGAGCAATAACATTAACAATAATAAAAATAACAACAATAACAGTAATAACTACAACAATAGCAACAACAACAATAGCAATAACAATAACAATAGCAATAACAATAGCAACAACAACAATAGCAATAACAATATCAATAACAATAGCAATAACGATAGCAGTAACCATAGCAATAACAATAGCAATAACAATAGCAATAACAATAGCAATAACAATAGCAATAACAATAACAATAGCAATAACAATAACAATAACAATAACAATAACAATAACAATAACAATAACAATAACAATAACAATAACAATAACAATAACAATAACAATAACAATAACAATAACAATAACAATAGCAATAACAATAGTAATAACAATAGCAATAACAATAACAATAGCAATAATAAAAACAGTAATAGAAATAACAACAATAGCAATAAGAACAATAACAACAACAAAAGCAATAACGAAAATAGTAATTAAAATAAATATAATAGCAATAACAACAATAATACTAATAGTAATAACAATAACAACAACAATCATAATAATTATAATTATAATGATAAGCATAACAATAATGATACTAATAATTATAATGATAAGCATAACAATAATGATACTAATAATTATAATTAAAATTATTTTAAAAATAAATTTGTTAATGAGAAAATTGACAAAAGTTGGAAGGGTTTTTGTTTTTTCTAAATTATCAACATGAAAAAGATAGTGTGAGACCTTGATAATTTTTTTTACCCTTCTACCTTTTTTTTCAGAAAAACGCGCTCTTTGACAAGATTCTTTTATGCGTGTAAATTGCAACCTTGGTATTCTATTGGTTCATATAATTTATTGAGTGTCACACACTCTCGTATATAGATACGAGGCATTTGTAAAAATGGAAAGAAGAAAAAAAAGCAGTTGAAATGTTACTTATTATATTTACCAAAGGTTATGTACATATAGAGTATGGCAATTGTAATTATTATTAATTTTTTTTTTTAATATTATTATTGATATTGCTATACAGGTGACTATTATGTATGATAATAAGAAACAAGTTGAGTGAAGAAAAATTGTATATTTCCATGAAACGATAAAATTGAATTGGAGGGGAGGAAAAATAATTTTTCCCGTTTTTTTTTATAGTTAATAATATAATTGGAAAAAGGAAAATTAAAAAAAGAGATCTAGAAATTAAATGTATAATTATTAGGAAAAGAAAAACAAAGTTTATGATGCAAAAAAAATTAAATTATGTTTAAAAAAATGTACAATTATGATACAAAGAGTAAAATTCATATGATACAAGAAAAATGGTAAAATAATGTTAGAAAAATTGTAAAAGTATGATACAAAAAAAGTAAAATTTATGATAAAGAAATTCGGTAAAATTTTGTTAATAAATAGGTAACATTATGATACAAAGTGTAAAATTTATGATAAAGAAACTCGGTAAATATTTTTCCCAAATAACGAAAAAATAAGATACAAAATGTAAAATTTATGATACAAAGAGTAAAACTTATGATACAGCAACTCAGTAAAATTATGATACACAGTGTAAAATTTATAATACAGTAACTCGGTAAAATTTCCTTTACTAGAAATGTAAAATTATGATACAAAGTGTAAAATTTATGATACAGAAAGTAGATAAAAATTTTGTTGTACTAAGGTAAAATTATGATATAAATTTTAAAATTTATGATACAAAGAGTAAAATTTATAGCAAAGAAATTAGTAAAATTTATGATACAGTAACTCAGTAAAATTTCCTTTATTAATAAAAAGGTAAGATTATGATACAAATAGTAAAATTTATGATACAGAAAGTAGGTCAAATTCTATTAGCAAAAAGGTAAAATTATGATTCAAAGTGTAAAATTTGATACAAAAAAGATTTTTAAAAAAACCAATAAAAATAATACACAAAATAAATTTTTTTTGAAGGATAAAACGTAAAATTATAGTAAAAATTAAAATTCAATGGGAAAAATTATCCACTGGCAAACAATATAATACACTGTAAAAAATTTTTATGGTAAATTTCCCATACATGTATTGGACGTAATTAACCCATACAGTAATGGATTTTTTCCATACAATTGTATGGGAAAAAACCCATACATTGTATGGCAAAATTAATATACACAATGGTAATTTTACCCTACAATCGTATGGAAAAAAACCCATAAAGCGTGTGGGAATATTAATATACACGATGGTAATTTTACCCTACAATCGTATGGAAAAAACCCATAAAGAGTATGGGAAAATTAATATACACAATAGTAATTTTGCTATACATTTGTATGGGAAAAAACCCATACAGTGTATAGGAAACTTAATATACACAATGGTAATTTTTCCCTAAATTTGTATGGAAAAAAACCATACTTTGTATGGCAGTATTAGTAAACTAAATGGTAATTTTTCCATAAAATTGTATGGAAATAACTAAATGTGGTGTACAGTAATATTAATATATACTGCACTTTAATTTTTCCATGCAAATTTTATAGAATATATTTTTCGGTATTTGGAATTTTTGGTACAATAAACTGTAGAGTATATTTGTTTTTTAAATATTGAAAGTTATTTTTTATTTCATTAAGATACAATTACCATTTAACAAATGAATCTTATACTTTGAAATTGTGATATAAATTAGATACTTGTTGCTAACTTTCCAGTCACTAATTCAACTTCTTCGTTTTGCGTTTTTTCCTCTATTGTGTCCATTATTCGTGTTTATTTTTTTTGGAAGACTCTAGAAAAATCAAGAAAAAATAATTAAGGTTGACATAATTTCTTGTTATGTATTATAAATAAATATACATATTAATATAACATATAAAATAAGATATTTACCTTAACGTCTTTATTCTTCTTCGTTAAACAAAGATTTTCCTGCAATGAAAATAATAATTACTTAAATTTTCTGAAGTTTTATCACACTGAATATAAAATTGATAATTTAATTATTTATTTTTAATTGTTTTAAGTATGAAATTTGTTATAA